GAGTGACTGACGGTAACTACACAAAAAACCCACTAAAAACATGGAGTGCATAAAAAAAAACACAGATAAAAATTATAAAAATGAAACACAGAAAGAGCATAACACTAAAAAAATTTCAAAAAAAATGAGTCAAAGAAACACTGAGTCTACACGAAAACACAAAAATTAGAGTACACAAAAATTCACTGTAAATGTCTCACACACACAAAGCTTTAAAGCAAAAAAAATGTCTATAAACAAAAATTTTATCCTGAATCGGATAGTAGACGGGAGACTTGATAGGGGAAGGTTTCCTGGGGGTGATGACGCCTACACTCCCCCACGTCGTCGGAAAAAAATCGTTTTCCTCGGTGAACCACATAACGGGGTTTTATCTTTGGCGCTCACTACAATCCTTGCCCAAATTTTTGAGCCAAAACAGTACTAGGCCCCGATACAAGGGTGCAAACAGCCACAGTAGATGAGGTGAATATGGGGGGGGTGGTGGAGGGCACAAAACAACGGGCCCTGTGCACTCTCACTCCACGCACTTCTCACCACGCACAAGGGGTTAACAAAATCACAATGCCACGGGGATGATGAAAAACCCCCTTTTACCAGCACCAAGAAAAAGCGTATAAACAATACTTCAAGGAATTTTGCGTGGCTTCTTCTCTCTCTCACTGGGAAGCGGGTTTTGGCTACTGGTTTAAACCCCACGAGAAGGGCTGACTGGAAACGGTAACAATGCACACACATGAAGGACAGGGGGAACAGGAGCGGCGGTTTAGGCTACTAGGTTCACTTCCACATCTGGTTTTACAAACGGGCTTAATTGCAAAATCCGGGTAAACCCCCCCGGAGATTGAAGAAATTTTAGCACCCCCAACTAACCCGGGAACTTAAAAAAACGGCTGCAACGGGCTGCAGGCTGGAACACAGGGTGGGAGAAGAGTGGGGGTACGAGTAGCTAAAGGTGGCGGACGGTTCACCTTCCTCCCGGCCCCCCAAAAACGTCTTCTAAACTCTGAAATACCCTTAAATCCACGCCCAAAAACCGTGCCACCATTTGTCATGGGGGTTTTTCAAAAAAAAGGTGGAAGGGTAAAATACTCACTGGGCTGGTATACATATAAATAAAACGGAAGTAGGGAAGGCCCAAAAAGCCACCTCCCTCCTGCTCCCTATCTTACTGACTCACAAGTGTCTACATGGGGGGGTGTTTGAAACCCGCTATGGCACGCAATTAATACAGTCAATGATTTACACAGACGGTTTTGGGAGTGAGGGCTTTTCTGGGGCACGGGAACTGGTACTAGGAAAGGGTTTCTACTACTAGATATATATATATATATATTATATATATATTAATATAAAATTATAAATATATAAATATTGGGGCCGAATTTGTAAAATGGTAAATTAGAAATTTAACTCATTTAAAAATTAGTTTTTTCAAAAATTTTTCCTTTTTAGTTTTAAAATAATTTTTTTAATTTGTTAATGTAAAATTATAATTTTGCATCAAAAGAATTTTAAAAAAACTTACCTAACCTTATTATAACAAAAACAAGTTTTTTTTTAGCCTAACCCAACTAAATAATTTTAGATTTTTTTACAATTTTTAAATTACAAAAACAGACAGAGTGAAAAATTTTTTCGTTAGGTTGAAGAATTTGGGAAAATTTTTTTGCAACCAAATTTTTCATTTGTCCTTATGGCAAATGGCGTTGCTATTTAAGCCAAGATCGCAAGTTCGCCTATTCGACCCAAAAATATAATAATATATATATATATATATAAATATATATATATATATATATATATTATATAATATATATAAAAATATAAATTAAAATATTTATATATAATATCACCCTTTAAGCACAAACTAATTTTTTATAGCAAGCGTGGGGCCCATTGAACCACTGTGAGACTTGGGCATATATCCTTGGGTAAGAAAGTTTTTTATAAAGTACCCAAGAACAATATGAAACGTGAAATTTGTAAAATTTCTTAGGTAGCCCCAAAAATTCAGCTGATTTTTTTCCTTTGGGGCCTTGAAATAGATCTTCATGGTGGCACGTACGTTTGTTTTCGTTACATAAAAAAATTTTTATTTTTAAATACAGGTTGTTTTGGGAAAAAGATGTAAAATGAAACACAGGGCATTTTATTTGGGTACGTTTCGTCCTGGGGCCTGGCACTCCAAAAATACTTTTGGGTGAACCAAAATCCCAAAAATACAATTTTTTCAAAAAAATTTCCAATGGGTTGCATTTTGTCAGTTTTTTCAATATTTTTTTGAATGTTTTAATAGTTTATTAATTAATGCGGTTTTTATTCAATATGTCAAAACTGCACTTGATCTATAAAGAATTTAACTGCGCTCACCCTTTATATAACGCTATTATCGAGTTATATATAAATACATTCCCCGAGACTTCTTGGAGTCGTTTCTCTGCAGAACACTGCTTTCAGAATCCCAAAGGTTTGTCAACAATTCCTTGGCTGGTCTGATTTTTGAAAATTAGACCTTTCTTTTTGGTGCAACATTTTGCACTTAAAAAGAAGGATGGGGGAATTCGGGCCCAAATTTCAGTAGGCAACACGGTTACGCCGCCTCGTTCCAAACTGCTGTCCGAGTATTCGGCACGGCAGCCATATCTTCACCAAACCAGCTTGGCTTTGGGGGGTCCCAAAAAAGTGAAGCTCGGGGTTCATGCAACAAGGGCGTATTTTTAACAACCTGCCTGAGGACAATGCAGTGAAAATTAGATTTCAAGAATGCGTTCAATCTCCTAAAAAGAGACGTGGTATTAGCAGCAGTACAAGAACTTTTCCCCTGGTCTCTTCCCTTTGTTTCAGCTGGGTATAGAAGGGAAACAATGCTTCTCTTTGGAAGCATGAAATCACATCATCGGAGGGTGTCCAACAAGGAGATCTCTGCACCATTTCTTTCTGTATAGCAGTTAGGGAAATCACAGTCAGACTGACCAGCGAGCTAAACATCTGGTTCCTAGATGATGGCACACTAGCAGGGACAAAGGAGTCCCTCCTACATGACCTTACACATGTAATGACACGGGGACAGGAAATGGGTCTCGTCCTGATCCATCCAAATGTGAAATCATCTCAGTCAGTCAACAAGTGATAAATGCAGTGAGATCAAAAACTACCAGGAGCAGCATCATTGCCCCCACAAATAGTGTCTTGCTAGGAGCACCTCGGGAAGCAATGCCATTGACACAATTCCAGGAAGAAATTGGAAAAGTTAAGGAGAATGGAACAACGAATAGGCAACCTGGACACCCACGATGCCTTGTACCTTCTCACAAAGTGCTTGGAGTCTGCCCAGGTTGACATAATTCCTAAAAATGTGCACCTTCATATGATAACCCTATACTCACGAGATGACAGTATTCTGAGGGAAATTTTTCGAAAGTACTGAACCTTACTCTAGAAGACGGGGAGTGGAACCAAGCTACACTTCCATCAGACTAGGAGGCTTTGGTGTCCGCAAGTAAAAACAAAAGGGCGTTACCTCCTTTCCTGCCCCCCTCGTGTAGCTTTCCAGAGAGTTTGTAGAAAAGCGTTTCCCCTAACATCTTAGGGACAAAAATTTGGAGCCAGGCCCAAAAAATTCATTGACGGAGCAATGATCTGGGATAATCAAAGGGGTTTCAAAAACAAACCTGCTCTCCCCCCAAAAACCTACAAACAATCGCACTGGGTTTGGCCAATAGTGGGAAAATTTGCCCTCAACAATGCTTCAGAAATGTTCAGGGAAGGGTAGATCCCGCCTCCTGGCATTTTGGGGCCCCTCAGGGTGGGGACCCTTTCCCGGGTTGGGTGTTCCCAAACTCCGCCCCTTGGGACACCCCCTCGACCCACAGAAACCCTCCGCATCGGTGTTTGGGCCCCTTTTTACTGCCTCCCCCCATTCTCGCCGAAAACAGGTATTTTGGGCAGTGAACAGCAGACCGATTCGGGTAACCCTGGCCTTGTGGGCCTAAAAACCAGGAAAAAATTTCAAGACAAAAGGAGGTTTTAAAAACATTTTCAAGAGGAAAACCCCAAAAAACAGTGGGGTGCCCACAGTAAGGGGGCCACCCCAACTATGCAGATCCCGATGGGACCAGAACCTCCAATGGGAAACACCCTTCAAGCCTGGGCAGATGGGGAAACAGGTGGTGTGGGACTATACATTTTCATCTACCTTGGCTGAACCTATCTCCAATTAAAACCAAAGGGGAAGGAGGGGGAGCGCCAGCTTCAGGGGTCCCCAAAAACCCAAAAATTGGAGAACTTGCCCCTCAATTTTTAATTTTTGTTTTCCCCTAAAGGGCCCGAGACCCTTTTTCTCAAGGGGAAGAGGCATCTAAATTCCTTTAAAGGGGCCCGGGAAAAAGACCCCATCAGGGTAACTAGGGGTCCCCCAGGGGGAGCTAGTTTTTCCCGTTCCAGCGGGCTCATTTCGGCTGTTTCAAAGGGGTAATGCCTGCGTAAATTTTTGGGACACGCCCCCGCTCTGATGAGCTGGATGAATTTTCGCCTTATAATCGGTGAAACACACTAACAACATGTACCTTTAAATGCCACCTTTTTTTTCAACAATGTATCTCTTAAATCTTCTGTACCATATTATGTAATAAAATATTCCTATTGGTAAAAAAAAATATATATACTGAAAGATGGGGTGGTAGGGGAAGTGGAATATTCAAACGGCTTCAGGAAGAAATCCAAATATTCTTCCTTGAAGCCTTTTTATCCACTTCTCCGAGGCTATGGGTCCCACAATTTACACCAGAGGTGGACCCCATAATTATATATATATATATATATATATATATATATATATATATATATATATATATATATATATATATATATATATATATATATATATATATATATATTAAATTTCAACCCTTTTAAATGTTATTGTAATGCTCGAAATGTTAGCGAAACCTTGTCAGTTTATGATCTCAACCCTCTATACTCTAATCTCTATATTGCAGGTGGTTTTCCTATGTGATGCATTTGTGCACTAAGGATGAATTCGTGCAGCTGGAGGAGGTGAAGAAGGACCACTTCGCCAGCCTCTCTACCATCGTCTCCCACGACCCGCAACTTCGTAAGCAAAAGGTCATCAAGATCCTCGAAATTGGCGTTGGAACTGGTACGTAAAAATTATTAAATCCCATATCTTAATGCCGTCATGTAGCGTCGGTCCAAGCCGAAATAATTTACAATAGTTTCCTGGTGTTTGTAAACGTACGTAATTGTGAATCAAGATTTCCATAAATGATTTTCATAAGTCTGGCATTGAATTTATTTTAAGTATCAAAAGGATACCATATTATTGCACAGACTTTGTAAATTTCTTTCCAAATTATTGATTAGATTAGTATAAATTATTTACTGACTCGTGATAGTAACATACATGCGGAATTTGGGATTACCGTGGTCGACAGTGGAAAAACCTCGTGTAGGTTTACCTAAAGTTGCACCTATGTCGCAAAGTGCGAATTAGGTGATAAAAAAAAAAAAAGATGCAGGTGTAAAATAATTAACGAGGCTATTTCTACAGGGGATAGCAAGACATTTTTCAGCAGACTAGGAATCGAAGTAGTAATTTTTTCTTACTATTTTATAATGTGAACTGTCTGTGACTCAATGGTGTATTCGACAGGAGTCAACTTCCCTCACTACCCAGACGGCAGCCACCTAGTGGTGGTGGACCCAAACCCACACTTCCAGTCCTACTTCGATGCTAACAGGAAGAAGTTCCCCAACATTCACAGTGAAGGAATCATAGTTACAACAGGTAGACCAAACATAACTGCTGCAGCAGCTATGTATACTTGCTAACCTTGTCTCAGTTTCATGTATACAAAGGTTAATCCAGAATTATTAAAACGTATTTGATACACGCAGTAAAGTGATGTAGAAATATATGCTTTGTAACATCGGTCCAGGACTTAAGATTTTTTTTATGAGTCGCTGTACCCTGGGGGGTCATACGGTTTAAAGAATGGCGGCGGCTCCATCCTGTGTTCATTAATCACGAGACTCTTACCACCATTCAGTACACATATACCTCCTGTAAAGATAAGAGTGTTGCCTCAGTCATTAAGTATTTACGTTTTATTTACAAACTGGAAATGAAAATTGAACATTTCGGTAAGTCTGGGATCATTATCATGTCGGCGAGTAAGTGATATGAGTTGTCATCTCTTCAGGGGACAAGATGGAAATGATCAGTGACAACAGTGTGGACGTGGTGGTAATGACTCTCGTCCTCTGCAGTGTGGACAACATTGACGAGGTCCTCAGGGAGATCCTTCGTGTCCTGGCGCCCGTGAGTTAATTACAACATAAGAGTGGTGGTGGTGGGTGTACGGTGTCTGTTAAAGATGGATAATTTTAGCAGTCAGCTTGTAGGGTAATTATCCTCTTTAAAATGAAAGACACGAATATTAGTGTCAGCAAGGCGAAAATTTGGTGGTGGTGGTGGTTTATTCGTTAGGAAACAAGACAAATATCTACCGGCACGGGTGTTAGTCAAATTATTTACTATTTAATCATTAGCTGGCTTACAGGAGCTAGGAAAAACCCAAGAGGATTACTGATTAGTAGTGTCTTAAAGAGATTATAAACATAAGATAAGCCTTAGTCAGGAAAATTATAAAATATTTTACAGAAAGTAGCATAACTTTTCAGAGTGCATATAAAGACAAATATGTGGTTGTTTAATATATTTATAGATGGGGTTGTAAGAGAAGTAAATGCGAGGGTCTTGGCAAGAGGCGTGGAGTTAAAAGATAAAGAATCACACACAAAGTGGGAGTTGTCACAGCTGCTCTTTGCTGATGACACTGTGCTCTTGGGAGATTCTGAAGAGAAGTTGCAGAGATTGGTGGATGAATTTGGTAGGGTGTGCAAAAGAAGAAAATTAAAGGTGAATACAGGAAAGAGTAAGGTTATGAGGATAACAAAAAGATTAGGTGATGAAAGATTGAATATCAGATTGGAGGGAGAGAGTATGGAGGAGGTGAACGTATTCAGATATTTGGGAGTGGACGTGTCAGCGGATGGGTCTATGAAAGATGAGGTGAATCATAGAATTGATGAGGGAAAAAGAGTGAGTGGTGCACTTAGGAGTCTGTGGAGACAAAGAACTTTGTCCTTGGAGGCAAAGAGGGGAATGTATGAGAGTATAGTTTTACCAACGCTCTTATATGGGTGTGGAGCGTGGGTGATGAATGTTGCAGCGAGGAGAAGGCTGGAGGCAGTGGAGATGTCATGTCTGAGGGCAATGTGTGGTGTGAATATAATGCAGAGAATTCGTAGTTTGGAAGTTAGGAGGAGGTGCGGGATTACCAAAACTGTTGTCCAGAGGGCTGAGGAAGGGTTGTTGAGGTGGTTCGGACATGTAGAGAGAATGGAGCGAAACAGAATGACTTCAAGAGTGTATCAGTCTGTAGTGGAAGGAAGGCGGGGTAGGGGTCGGCCTAGGAAGGGTTGGAGGGAGGGGGTAAAGGAGGTTTTGTGTGCGAGGGGCTTGGACTTCCAGCAGGCATGCGTGAGCGTGTTTGATAGGAGTGAATGGAGACAAATGGTTTTTAATACTTGACGTGCTGTTGGAGTGTGAGCAAAGTAACATTTATGAAGGGATTCAGGGAAACCGGCAGGCCGGACTTGAGTCCTGGAGATGGGAAGTACAGTGCCTGCACTCTGAAGGAGGGGTGTTAATGTTGCAGTTTAAAAACTGTAGTGTAAAGCACCCTTCTGGCAAGACAGTGATGGAGTGAATGATGGTGAAAGTTTTTCTTTTTCGGGCCACCCTGCCTTGGTGGGAATCGGCCGGTGTGATAATAAAAATAAAAAATGTTGTAGGCATACATAAAGATATTTAAAGCATGTGTATCGTCTCAACAAGAGCTGCCTGTAACTTATTATCTGCATTGCACTTGCAGGGCGGTAAGTACTACTTCATGGAGCATATAGCTGAGTTCGACCTGAAGAAACATTGGCTTCGAAGAAAACTTCAGGACGCTTTCTCGTGGTTATGGTCATTCATCTTCGATGGCTGCCGCCTCAACTGTGACGTGCTACCCAACATACAGAGAGCTGGCTTCTCCTCGGTCGACGCGCAGAAGTATTATGCTCCAGTTCCCAGTGTCATCTTCGATCTCGAAAGACCTAATCTGAAAGGAATTGCTGTCAAATAGAGGCTTTTACCTGGAAACTCTCTTTATCCATATCTGCTGTGACATTAGGGGGGAAAATGGTAACACAGAAAGTTGTTGAATTAAAATGTCCCAAAAATTATAGTTTGTTTCAGTTAAACAGAACTTTTAAAGGATATTAAGTTTAATTTAAATTTCAAATCAGATTTAGACTTTTTTTTTTGTACAGATATAGATATGTAGTTATTGTGTTTTATATGGTGGGACATTTGACCTATAAAATTTTCCCCGCCTTTTTCGAGAAGAAAATAGTGATTCCCTTGAAAGAAAGACTTATTATACACAAACTAAAAGGGGAGATTTCTTACCGAAAATAATCGTGTCCTTTTCTTAAGTGAGAACATTTTGAGAGCTGTTTGGCGAGATTAAGATTATTATTTATTTTTAATTATTTTAGTATTAAGGAAGTAAAAGTTTTTTTATTACAAACTCTGAAAATGTTCGGTAAAACCTTAATTTTTTTTTTAAACAAAAAATATTTTGAGAAGTTTGTTCTATTACTCTCCGAAAATTTGAAAAATTTTCAGAGAACGAAAAATGGAAATTTCGACACAAATGTTCATACGGATTTTTATTTTACATGCATATTTATTACATTTTTCGGAATTTTTTCTCATATTACAAATATCAGATAGACGTTAAAATTCATAGTATATATTTTTTAATCGGCTTCTTTAAGCCTATTGGATGAGGTCCCTTCAAGGAGGATGCCATGCTGCTGGAGAAGGTCTCTTGATCCAGGAAATTAGAGCGTCTCTCCCCTTCCTATGATCAATATAATATGTATGGGTTGAGTGCTTCACTATATTGCTGCTGCTGCTACTACTACTACTGTTGCTACTACTACTACTACTGTTGCTACTACTACTACTACTGTTGATACTACTACTACTGTTACTACTACTACTACTACTGTTGCTGCTACTACTACTACTGTTGCTGCTACTACTACTACTGTTGCTACTACTACTACTACTGTTGATACTACTACTACTGTTACTACTACTACTACTACTGTTGCTACTACTACTACTGTTGCTGCTACTACTACTACTGTTGCTACTACTACTACTACTGTTGCTACTACTACTACTACTGTTGCTGCTACTACTACTGTTACTACTACTACTACTACTACTGTTGCTGCTACTACTACTACTGTTGCTGCTACTACTACTACTGTTGCTACTACTACTACTACTGTTGCTACTACTACTACTGTTACTACTACTACTACTACTGTTGCTACTACTACTACTACTGTTGCTACTACTACTACTGTTACTACTACTACTACTACTGTTGCTACTACTACTACTACTGTTACTACTACTACTACTATTGTTGCTACTACTACTACTATTGTTGCTACTACTACTACTGTTGCTGCTACTACTACTACTGTTGCTACTACTACTACTGTTGCTACTACTACTGCTACTACTACTACTGTTGCTACTACTACTACTACTGTTGCTACTACTACTACTACTACTGTTGCTACTTCTACTACTACTGTTGCTACTACTACTACTACTGTTGCTGCTACTACTACTACTGTTGCTACTACTACTACTACTACTGTTGCTACTACTACTACTACTGTTGCTACTACTACTACTACTGTTGCTACTACTACTACTACTGTTGCTACTACTACTACTGTTGCTACTATTACTACTGTTGCTACTACTACTACTGTTGCTACTACTGCTGCTACTACTACTGCTGTTGCTACGACTACTACTACTGTTGCTACTGCTACTACTGCTGCTACTGACTACTACTACTGTTGCTACTACTATTACTACTACTACTACTGTTACTACTATTACTACTACTAGTAGTAGTAGTAATAATAGCAGTAGTAGTGATAGTACTACTGCTACTATTATTATTACTGCTACTACTATTACTTCTACTACTGATACTGTTACTACTACCACTATTACTACTACTATTACGACTACTACTACTACTATTACTACAACTACTGCTGCTGCTGCTGCTGCTACTACTACTGTTGCTGCTACTACTACTACTGTTGCTACTACTACTACTACTGTTGCTACTACTACTACTGCTGCTACTGACTACTACTACTGTTGCTACTACTATTACTACTACTACTACTGTTACTACTATTACTACTACTAGTAGTAGTAGTAATAGTAGCAGTAGTAGTGATAGTACTACTGCTACTATTATTACTACTGCTACTACTATTACTTCTACTACTGATACTGTTACTACTACCACTATTACTACTACTATTACGACTACTACTACTACTACTATTACTACAACTACTGCTGCTGCTGCTACTACTACTACTATTATTGTTGCTACTACTGCTGTTATTACTACTAGTAGTATTATAATAATTTATTTGGAGAACGTTTTGCTCACTTTAGCTCTACTTCGAGCGAAATGCAGTGGTTGACGTGGCAAATGGTTGAGCCAAGTGTGGTAGAGTGTGTAGAGTATACTGGTATACCTTAGAGTATTCTCGGTACGTGCTCTGGAGTTTACTCTGTATACTGTATCAGTGTACTGTCCTTACCTAGCATGTAGAACAAGTCTCCTATTCTGACGATGTTTCGCTCTGTATAGAGCCAAACACAAGTTTCGTGACTTGATGAAGCTCTACACAGAGCGAAACTTTGTCTCCATAAAAGCTCGTTTCGCACACTCGTGGCTTGACCCAAAGTCAATAGGCGTCAGTCATTGTGCTTAGTCAATAGGTGGTCATTCAATAAGGGAGGTCAGTCAGTAGGTGGTCAGTCAGTAAGGGAGGTCAGTCGGTAGGTGGTCAGTCAGTAAGGGAGGTCGGTCAGTAGGTGGTCAGTCAATAAGGGAGGTCGGTTAGTAGGCGGTCAGTCAATAAGGGAAGTCGGTCAGTAGGTGGTCAGTCAATAAGGGAGATCGGTTAGTAGGTGGTCAGTCAATGAGGTCGGTTAGTAGGTGGTCAGTCAATAAGGGAGGTCGGTCAGTAGGTGGTCAGTCAATAAGGGAGATCGGTTAGTAGGTGGTCAGTCAATGAGGTCGGTTAGTAGGTGGTCAGTCAATAAGGGAGGTCGGTCAGTAGGTGGTCAGTCAATAAGGAAGGTCGGTCAGTAGGTTGGGTTAGTCAATAGGCCTTAAAAACACATGGCAGGTGTTGCTCCCTCGTAGGTCGCGCAGACCACTGCGCGCAGGTTATACTGCGCTGCGCGAAGCTGGTGCCGTGTGAACACCTGCGGAGATCAACGAATTAAAATCGCTCTTGATCCCATGAAGTGGAATTCTCTTCCCTCTTCCCTCCCCCTCCCTTCCCAAGAGGAATCTGATTCCTCTCTCATACCCCCAAGCTTTTTATTTGCGTGACCCATACTGGTCTAGCGCTTCTCCAATCTTTTTTTTTTTGCTTGGTTTGTGCATTTATTTTGGGGGAGGGGGGGGGGAAATAAATTTAAGATATTAATTCTGATATTTTTTGGGTTATCCCATTCGGTATAATTTCGAAAGCTGTCTCTTGCTAATATTACCTGGTACCCCTCATATAAACTGAGAGGTGTGTATCTCTGTATATATATATATATATATATATATATATATATATATATATATATATATATATATATATATATATATATATATATATATATATATATATATATATATATATATATATATATATATATATATATATTTCAACAAGTCGGCCGTCTCCCACCGAGGCAGGGTGACCCAAAAAAGAAAGAAAATCCCCAAAAAGAAAATACTTTCATCATCATTCAACACTTTCACCACACTCACACATTATCACTGTTTTTGCAGAGGTGCTCAGAATACAACAGTTTAGAAGCATATACGTATAAAGATACACAACATATCCCTCCAAACTGCCAATATCCCAAACCCCTCCTTTAATGATAGTGGTAATAATAATAGTGGTGGTAATAATGATAGTGGTAGTGGTAGCAGTATGTTAGTGGTGGTGGTCGTGGTACTGACTATTACCTGATTGACGAGGATCCAGGGAACATAGTCTAGGGAAGGGCTGAGAGCAGCCTGGTGAAGGGACAACTGGTGCTGCAAGGCAAGTCCTTCAGCGCCACCATAACATCTCTGTATTTCCTCAAACTCCACCCGCGTCTCATTGGCACACTGCAACCCAGCATTGATATTTCTGTTAGTATTTCCCAGGGATAATCACCCCCGCGGCCCGACCTCTGACCAGGCCTCCTAAATTAAAAAAAATACTCCCAGAGGTGTGTATCTCTATGTAAATCGATGTCGATAGGTTAATTTAATCCCTAATTATAGGGATTAAAGTATTCCTGACTGGTAATGAATAGGTATGCAGCTATAATGACCCTCGTGTAGTCTATAAGCTTTAACTCCATTAACCATGACAAGAATTACTAGAAATACACACGTAAGTAAAGATAAGCTACATGGTGATGAGACAGAAAGGAAAGATCAGTTTATCAGTCAGGGCGAAATGTTCAACATGCTTCTGTTTCACTCATTTCACAAGACGATAGTACCTCCCTGGGTGGTGGTTGTCTTTCAACTTACTGACTTCTATTACTTTTATTATATATCCCCGTATCTATCACAAGGCGATAGTCAAATGATTATAGAGTTGCATATTGGGTATAGGGAGTGGGCCCAATTTTTGACTTCGTATATTTCGGCTTTACACTGACACCCTTATCAGTAAATGGTATATGACTGTTTAATTAACAGGCTAATAAAAAATTAGCAACAGTAGCTCTTAGCCTAAATAAAAAGTGTGAAGAGAAAGGCCTTAGCTTCGTAACAAGTTATATAGCACATTTCGGTTTGTATTGAGCTTCACCAATTCATAACTTAATAAATCTCTACACAGAGTGAAACTTTGTCCCGATAACAGCTTGTGTCTACTTAATTAACTTGCGGCAGTACGACCTTTTATGCACACTGAACAGTGTCCAATAATTGGACAATTCTGATTGCAGCTTACCACAGGTCCGGCGTCGGTGCCAGTAAATCTCGACATCACACACTTTACAAAGTCCAGAAACTGACTCTCGTCTGCGATGTATTTTTTGGCACAAGTTAGCATGGTGTTAGCCCGGCACTCCCTGGAGCCATGCTGACACGTGAACCTGCTCCCACCATCGTATTCCTGAAGATGTTCAGAAACCACATGTTGGAAATAAAGGAAATGTAGATAATGCACACACACATACACTATACACAACAAGTGATCATCGCTTCTGTGATCCACTATAGACCCATCGGTTACCCCACTTAGACACAATCCATCATAGTGCCGGCACTATTGAACGACTTAACTGGGTTCGATACGACGTCAACCGTCAGTAACCCCTAATAAACCAGATGGAAAATGGCTCATCTTGTAACGAAAACCCGTTTCAAGAAGAAATTTTCCCCCTGACGAATAAACCAAGAACCTTCGTTCACATACTCGATTCCCAGAACTCAGTGTAGTGAAGCCACCTACTACTGTCTTGCCGAAGGAATGAATGTCCAGTTGAATGATGTCCTTGAGGTCACGCCACACGGGATACAGCTGCTGAACGATGAATCTTTGGCTGTCTGGACACAGAGTCTCATAGTACACTGACACCTTCACCTTCGGCGCCTCCTGCAGGAGAGGAAGACTTGGCATTTACAGAAGGTTACGAGCAGACATTTTACATATAATTGCTTTATTACAGTACATGTTCTAACTCAATGATATTACTCTCCATATCTCATACACATAACTGTTACACTCTCTACCTCTTATACACATTACTCTTATACATTCTACCTCTCATACACATTACTCTTATACACTCTTCCTCTCATACACATTACTGCTATACACTCTACCTTTCATACAATTTACTATTATACTCTCCACCTCTCATATACATTACTGTTATACTTTTCACCTTTTATACACAATACGTTATACTAAGACTTTATACTCTCATATACGATCTTTTTCCTTGCTTATATTCCTCTGTATGCTGTCTTTATGTTCCCAAACCTCATCACATGCGGTTAGGTTAGGTTAGGTAAGGCGACCAGAGAACAAGACAGGTGTTGTGTTGTGTTGTGATCAAGACAGGTGTTTCCTGACGTGGGTCATATGCTCCAGCATAAGAACATGAGAAATGAGCACTGCAGCAGGCCTACTGGCCCATGCTACACAGGTCCAAGTCATCTACTGGCCTAAGCTAGTCAGGTCCCGATCACATCCACTTAAGAAGGAAGAAGTACCGCACCAGACCCACTGGCCCAAGGTAGTCAGGTCTAACTTACACCCAGACATGAGAAATAAGGAAATGAACTATGTAATCTGGGAATGGGTTTCTCCCGGGGCTCATAATTAATAACTTGGCCACATGTAAGGGTGTGTAGCAAGCAGGTGTTTACCGTAGCTGCCACCAACACCTGTACACACACGTCTTGCAAGTGTCACTACACCTGGTCAAGCAGGTTACTTCCTGCTCACGTAATTTTGTACTGAAGGTTTAGTTAAATGAATTTAAGCTAAATTAGGTTATTGGAAAACAGGAAAAGGTTCATTTAACCACAAATTTGGTTAAATGTGGTTAACCACTAATTTATTTGTGGTTAAATGTTCATTTAACACAAATTTTAGTTTACCAAATAGGCAGGAATACTCTTAATTTTGTTTTACTAGAGTGAAGAGTTCGTGATGCAGTGAACTGGAGCGGCCCTCCCTTTCCTCGGATCAAACTTGATTATTTCCCATTCCACTGGCGTGTGGCTTTTACAGGTTTAGTGCTTCCCCAAGAGTGTGATAATAATAATTAAAACAATGCAAATCATTAGTGTGTTTTATATAAACATTGCAAACACACTATATTTACCATGAGTGATTAATTTTTCATATGGTTGCTTGGTTTACTGGGTTTAAAGCCTATCTACTACATTAGGGTCATTAAGGCTACGTGTCACCTGTACACGTGTAGAGGTGTTGTAGAGATCTGAGCAAAGCTCAGTGTTATCAGAGATTTGTTAAGTTAAACCATTAAGTGTTCTGATCTATTATTTTTACTATTCCTTGATTATGTGAGAAATCACGACAGCGCTTGGAATTTCAATATTTTTTACACTGATTATTTTTCATATTGTGATATCACCTGTTTACTGTGATCTTATTTCATTACTCTGTATGTAAATACCGAATGCATATGTACCGAGAGTTACGTATATTTCGGTGTATATACACTAAGAGGTTTGTATCAGTGACAAAAGATGTGAAAGAACCATCCTGTCTGGTGATGTAGGACAGCAAAACTATCTTTAGTGAGGAAATATGACAGGAACGCCATCCTGGGTGGAGGAGTATGACATGAAGGTTATACTGTATGATGTGTATGTTAAACATACTTGCTATGGTACCACCCGAAACAGAAATTGTGTGAAACAGGTAGTATGAGATTAAAAGGTTGGGTCAGGAGCTGAGTTTTGACCCCTCAACCCCATACACCACGCAGCTACAAGTAGGCAAGTGCAAATATGTGGACAGACACACACACACAGTGAAGTATTGGAGGCAGAATTCATACATAGCCTTAAGAAGAGGTACGATAAGGCTCTTGAGGCAGGGAGAGAGTGGGCGTAGTAGCGATCAGCGAAAAGGATGAGACAAGAGCCAAGATTCGACCCCTGCAACCACAAATAGGTGAGTATACACACACACACACACTACTACAAACAACAGACCAAGTATGTATTGACAATTGTCTTTGACAACAGGTAACTAAGACACACACCACAAACAGGCCAGTGTCTATCGACATGTGCCTTTGACAACTGATAAATACACACACACACATTATCAATCACCACTCTCTTTCAACCCACTCTAGCTACTTCAGTGTCCATTTGAAAGCCAAAATGTCACAGAATTTCACTGTCCACTGACGTATAGTCGCTAACAACTAATTCAGACATAACTGTGTATAGAGATCTTCCACTCATAACTTTTACATGCATTAAAAACAGCCAACATGTACATGGGAATATACCCAACTCGGGGCCAGGAGCTGTGAATCGGCCCCTGCAACCACATATAGATGAGTGCATGGGAAAGACAAATAGTTGATCAAGGACTTAGAGGCACACACCGAGACTATCGGCTGAGAACTATCTATATCTTTCTAGATTTAGAACTGTCGTGGGTTCAGTTCCTTCGAGTTTTTCACAGTTTAATAATAGTACTACTACTACTACTACTACTACTACTACTAATAATAATAAATAATAATAATAATAATAATAATAATAATGTCTAGAAGTACAACGTACAGACCTAGCTGACATCAGTGACGTACTACATATACAGCTTCTGGTTATGTAAAGCATTTAGTGCAATTTAGGTTAATTTTGTTCCCAGAATGCGACCCACACTAGTCAACTAACACCCAGGTACCTATTTACTGCTAGGTGAACAATATTTTAGCTAAAAACTGAAGAATGTCAGAAAATGTTTCAAACCGCTCTGAATCGTCGAATTAATCAACAAAATAACATTTTAGCAAATTTTTCTTATTTTTTTAATATTCATGCATTTTTAAAAAAATCAAATGAAGAAAGTAAACACGCCCTAATGTTTCCACCATTTACTGGATTAAATAGGACTCACAGTGTTTGCAGTAGTGAGAGTGTACAGCTGATGCAGCAGCAACAGCAGTACTGAGACAGATACTCCTCCCATTCCTGTGTAGTTTATAATAGTTTAGTTCCTCCTGCCTTAAATATATATCGTATCCCCGTGACGTCACTACTGGAGGCACCATGGTATGGCTAACTATCATAAAATAAATACTCTGGGAAAACATATTTACAAACCGTAATGAGGAAAAAAATATAGAACGAATGGAAAATAAAAGACGTATTTTCAAAAGAAATTAAAGAGTATGTAATACTTATATAGAATGTATATACAATTAGTTTATTTTAATATCTTCATTATGCACCCCATACCCATGCTGTGGGCGGTAGTCAAAAGATTACAGAGGTACATAATGGGTCCAGGGACTGGACCCCAAAGTTATGATAGCTGAACTTGTTACAAAGGTAATGAACTCCAGGTAGATCTGGTCACAATCATGGCAAGTTAGATGAGTATATACACTGAGACGTATCTTTCAGTGCACATATACATAGAGGTGCATATTGCTCAGTGTATATACACTGAGTGTTTATTATATTTATTATTATATTTCTTGAAGCATTCCTTGTTTGGTGGCAGCAGTAGTTTCATCATGTCCATTTAGAAGGGAAATTGTGCCATCGGGTGAATAGCCTTGTCGAGCCTTGACCAAGGACCATTAGGTTTTAAAGTTCTCTTTTCCTGATATAAACTTTCTCTCTCTCTCTCTCTCCCGTCTAGAGATGGTCCAGTATTCTATTTCCCCCATTCGCCGACAGACTTGCCTGTAGAGGTCCTGTTGTGGGTGTGGTGTGGGGTGTAGGAAAGCATTTTACAACCCTTCCAGGATTCTGCCTACCATTAGCGTCTTCACGGCAGCGATAGTGAATCTAAGGCTAACCTGAAGGCTTGGTTACGTGCTGCCAGTGAGGGATGTACATGATCTACACGATGTGGTAAGTTGGTTGTTAGCGTCACTCTAGAACAAGGGGATTTGTTAAATGATGACATACTCTGAACGAATGATTGGCCAGTTTTTCTTCTCCCACACCAAGGTTGGATCAGATCAAGTTTTCATAGTCTCTGGATACTTTCAATTATGCACCCCAAGATAGATCTAAAGATGAATATTTACATTTTATCTCGTGGGGGGAGGGATTAAAATCTTTTTAGATGCATAATATAATCAAAGATTTGTTTAGTAGTTTCCTTCCTTCTATTTTTTTTTATTCACCCTCGGTTTTCGGTGAGCATAAAACTTATTTTTAGGCTCTGAACACTATTGTGCTCAAAAGATATCTAAGTCTGAACCTACACTGTGTTTGACGATTCTTCTCATTCCGTTGGTATGTAAGCACAGTTGTCGTATCCAAGCTATTTGCGTGTATCTGGATCGTTTGGTAGATCCCTCGCTGCTGGATCGTCAAGTAGATCATTCGCTATTGGATCTCTGGTAGATCACTCGCTGTTAGATCGTCTGGTAGATTACTCACCACTGGATCGTCTGGTAGATCACTCGCCACTGGATCGTCTGCTAAATCAGTCGCCACTGGATCGTCTGGTAGATCACTTGCCACTGGATCGAGGGAAGAAAAACTGATTATATATTGCTGGGAAATGTAACCTTCCGTTGGCTGTCTCTGGCATAGTTATCTAGAAGTCAGTGGGCTGGTTGTGTTTACCAGATGCACACGTATAGATCTTACCAAGGTACCTTGTCGCACAGTGTTGCAACCAGTATTGTTGTGGTTGTTGTTGACTCCGTCTTACAGCTACATTGCTCATGCTCCTTGCGTCTCTGTGTCGTTGGCTTTGTTTTTGTATGGCCTGTCTTTCTTCGTATGTGAAGAAACAAAACTCCTGACACTTGTTGACTGAATGTAACCCACTCAATTGGTTCTCTGAAGCAGTCACAGATGTGCTTTTGTTAAAATCTGTTTTCTCTATGACTAGTATGTGATCAGCTTTCGTATTTATATATGTGAAGCGCCGAGTCTTGATCCTCCGTCCACAAAGCGCGACCCTACCTTTGATCACTCAGGTTGTTGGTGATCAGTCCTATGACACGAGCTCTGAAGATGTCAACCCCTGGCTGGCAGTGTTGGACACTGTGATGTCAACGGATTAAATTAGACGGCTGGCAAGCTAATAGCTACGTGACTGTAACCCTTAACATCGGTGCTTACAGGCGTGGAGAAATGGTCAACAAATGATCAATGTGTTGAGCCAGCTCGGTAAACCACTGTACCTTGACCAGAAAAAGTGCCAACAACACCACCGTCTTCCAGGTCCTCAGCTATAGTGCCGGTATCACTGAACGGCTTGTTAGATTTTTTTTCCGACGAATAAACTAACGACAAAAACACTGACTTTCTGGCTCCTCGTTTATTCTGGAAAGTATCATAATGTTGTAAAAAATATGACTTGGACTTGCCTAGCATGGGCCAGTAGGCCTGCTTTAGCGCTCCTACTTTCTTATAATTATCCGCCAAGCAGGAGTACATGAACTGTCATAACGTAAATAACATCGAAGTCACACTGTGACTTTTTTTTGGAGGAGGAGGGTTATATCAGGTCAAATCTACTTAATTTATCAGTAATACATCACAGGACACATACACCTAGATAGGTATTTCTTTCAGCGTATGTATGATGAGGGTTTAATTTAATCCCTATTTTAAATTAAAGTATCATGACTCATGAACAGAAATAACATGATTGTAAATATATAACAGATGGAGTTGAGATCGAACCCTTGGAAATAATTTTAGGACTCGTCTAGCATGGCGTTCCTATACAGCCGGATTAAGATTTTGTAGACCCTTGTGCTCCAGGTGCTGTGAGGCCCCAGGGCTACAGGTACTGTGAGGACCCTGGGCTACAGGTACTGTGAGGACCCTGACGTTCAGGTACTGTGAGGACTCTGGGCTACAGATACTGTGAGGACCCTGGGCTACAGGTAATGTGAGGACCCTGGGTTACAGGTACTGTGGGGCCCCTGGGCTACAGATACTGTGAGGACCCTGGGCTACTGGTACTGTGAGGACAATGGGCTACAGGTACTGTGAGGACCCTGGGTTACAGGTACTGTGGGGCCCCTGGGCTACAGATACTGTGAGGACCCTGGGCTACAAATACTGTGAGGACCCTGGGCTACAGGTACTGTGAGGACCCTGGGTTACAGGTAATGTGGGGCCCCTGGGCTACAGATACTGTGAGGACCTTGAGCTACAGATACTGTGAGGACCCTGGGCTACAGATACTGTGAGGACCCTGGGCTACAGATACTGTGAGGACCCTGAGCTACAGATACTGTGAGGACCCTGGGCTACAGATACTGTGAGGACCCTGGGTTACAGATACTGTGAGGACCCTGAGCTACAGATACTGTGAGGACTCTGGGCTACAGATACTGTGAGGACCCTGGGTTACAGATACTGTGAGGACCCTGGCTACAGATACTGTGAGGACCCTGGGTACAGATACTGTAGGGCCCTGGCTACAGGATACTGTGAGGACCTGGGCTACAGATACTGTGAGGACCCTGGGCTACAGATACTGTGAGGACCCTGAGCTACAGGTACTGTGATTACTCTGGGTTACAGATGCTGTGAGGACCCTGGGCTACAGATACTGTGAGGACCCTGGGCTACAGATACTGTGAGGACCCTGGGTTACAGTACTGTGGGCCTCGCTACAGTACTGTGAGGACCCTGGGCTACAGATACTGTGATGACCCTGGGCTACAGATACTGTGAGGACCCTGGGCTACAGATACTGTGAGGACCCTGGGCTACAGATACTGTGAGGACCCTGGGCTACAGATACTGTGAGGACCCTGGGCTACAGATACTGTGAGGACCCTGGGCTACATATACTGTGAGGACCCTGGGCTACAGGTACTGTGAGAACCCTGGGTTACAGGTACTGTGGGGCCCCTGGGTTACAGATACTGTGAGGACCCTGGGCTACAGATACTGTGAGGACCCTTGGCTACAGATACTGTGAGGACCCTGGCCTACAGATACTATGAGGACCCTGGGCTACAGATACTGTGAGGACCCTGGGCTACAATACTGTGAGGACCCTGGGCTACAGATACTGTGAGGACCCTGGCTTACAGGATATGTGAGGACCCTGGTTACAGTACGTGGGCCCTGGTTACAGATACTGTGAGGACCCTGGGCTATAGATACTGTGAGGACCCTGGCTACAGATACTGTGAGGACCCTGTACAGATACTGTGAGGACCCTGAGCTACAGATACTGTGAGAACCCTGGGATACAGATACTGTGAGGACCCTGGGTACAGATACTGTGAGAACCCTGGGCTACAGATACTGTGAGGACCCTGAGCTACAGATACTGTGAGGACCCTGAGCTACAGATACTGTGAGGACCCTGGGCTACAGATACTGTGATGACCCTGGCTACAGATACTGTGAGGACCCTGGTACAGTACTGTGAGGACCCTGGGCTACAGATACTGTGAGGACCCTGGTACAGGTACTGTGGGGCCCCTGGGCTACAGATACTGTGAGGACACTGGGCTACAGATACTGTGATGACCCTGGGCTACAGATACTGTGAGGACCCTGGGCTACAGATACTGTGAGGACCCTGGGCTACAGATACTGTGAGGACCCTTGGCTACAGATACTGTGAGGACCCTGGGCTACATATACTGTGAGGACCCTGGGCTACAGGTACTGTGAGGACCCTGGGTTACAGGTACTGTGGGGCCCCTGGGTTACAGATACTGTGAGGACCATGGGCTACAGATACTGTGAGGACCCTTGGCTACAGATACTGTGAGGACCCTGGCCTACAGATACTGTGAGGACCCTGGGCTACAGATACTGTGAGGACCCTGGGCTACATATACTGTGAGGACCCTGGGCTACAGATACTGTGAGGACCCTGGGTTACAGGTACTGCGAGGACCCTGGGTTACAGGTACTGTGGGGCCTCTGGGTTACAGATACTGTGAGGACCCTGGGCTACAGATACTGTGAGGACCCTTGGCTACAGATACTGTGAGGACCCTGTGCTACAGATACTGTGAGGACCCTGAGCTACAGATACTGTGAGGACCCTGGGCTACAGATACTGTGAGAACCCTGGGATACAGATACTGTGAGGACCCTGGGTACAGATACTGTGAGAACCCTGGGCTACAGATACTGAGAGGACCCTGAGCTGCAGATACTGTGAGGACCCTGAGCTACAGATACTGTGAGGACCCTGGGCTACAGATACTGTGATGACCCTGAGCTACAGATACTGTGAGGACCCTGGGCTACAGGTACTGTGAGGACCCTGGGCTACAGATAATGTGAGGACCCTGAGCTACAGATACTGTGAGGAACCTGGGCTACAGGTACTGTGAGGACCCTGGGCTACATGACCCTCAGCTACAGATACTGTGGGACCCTGAGGCTACAGGTACTGTGAGGACCCTGAGCTACAGGTACTGTGAGGACCCTGGGCTACAGATACTGTGAGGACCCTGAGCTACAGATACTGTGAGGATCCTGGGCTACAGGTACTGTGAGGACCCTGGACTACAGATACTGTGAGGACCCTGGGGGTCCTCCAGCTGGGGAAGGCCCCTGGAGGTCCTCCAGCTGGGGAAGGCCCCTGAGACCTCCAGCTGGGAAGGCCCTGGGGCCTCCCGCTGGGAAGGCCCTGGAGTCCTCAGCTGGGAAGGCCCTGGGCCTCCAGCTGGGAAGGCCCCTGAGGCCTCCAGCTGGAAGGTCCCTGGAGGCCTCCAGCTGGAAAGGTCCCTGGAGGCCCTACCAGCTGGGGAAGGCCCCTGGAGGCCTCCAGCTGGGGAAGGTCCCTGGAGGCCCTCCAGCTGGGGAAGGTCCCTGGAGGCCCTCCAGCTGGGGAAGGTCCCTGGAGGCCCTCCAGCTGGGGAAGGCTCCTGGAGGTCCTCCAGCTGGGGAAGGCCCCTGGAGGTCCTCCAGCTGGGGAAGGCCCTGGAGGCCCTCCAGCTGGGGAAGGTCCCTGGAGGCCCTCCAGCTGGGAAAGGCCCCTGGAGACCCTCCAGCTGGGGAAGGCCCCTGGAGGCCCTCCAGCTGGGGAAGGTCCCTGGAGGTCCTCCAGCTGGGGAAGGTCCCTGGAGGCCCTCCAGCTGGGGAAGGTCCCTGGAGGCCCTCCAAATGGGGAAGGTCCCTGGAGGCCCTCCAGCTGGGGAAGGTCCCTGGAGGCCCTCCTGCTGGGGAAAGCTCCTGGAGGCCCTCCAGCTGGGGAAGGTCCCTGGAGGTCCTCCAGCTGGGGAAGGTCCTTGGAGATCCTCCAGCTGGGGAAGGCCCCTGGAGGCCCTCCAGCTGGGAAAGGCCCCAGGGCTGCAGCCCTTAAAGCCTATGCTTTAATATACTGAAATTTTGTATGTAATCTGGCCTCCGTGTTGTGTGACATCTGGTTGACTGGGTAATCAAGAGAAGCCAACAAGTTGGAAATATAGACACTAGTGGTAGAGAATCCTTTTACTGCAGCTGTGCTTGATAATGTCCAGCCTTGGGCGAAACGTTGTATTAAAAGAATTCCCTACTACCAATGTCTTTCTTTCCATTAGACTGAGCGATTCCAAGTCTGTCTGTCTCCATACTGACACGTGCACTGGTATCCGTGCCATATATGATAAGGAAATGCCGGTGAAATATAACAGATTTATTAAATATCTCACAGATTATGTTCTCAAGTAGTGATTGCTCTGAAAAATATACAGCTATCAGTGAATTTCTGACTGGGTTTTGATGACTGGTTTTGCTGATTCTGATGGCCCAGTCAGTGGTCAAATATTCGACTCGTTTGATAAAAGAGAACAATAACAACACGGTGATGTTCTAGGATATACACTAAGCTTTTCTATAAAGCTTCCCTATAATACGATTTCTATTTTGATGTTTTTTTCAATCGCATTTACAAAAAAAAAAAGCCCTATACAGAGGAAATGTAAGAGCTTCGTGGACCTAATTTTTTTTAAGGTTCATGTCGAGATTTATTTTCTTGGCACTTATTCAACTTCTCAAACATTTGCTAATTGTACTGCAAGTGTTTCAGCGTTTGCGAGCTAAATTCTAAGTATTTAAGACACTTAGTATATGGTCAAGGTGACCTGACTGGTATTTGTACATTGTTACAAGCTTGTAGAATTACCTTAACCTGGGTAATGCTGCACTCCCAGTAGAGCTTTCTCAAGCTATATCTGAGACTCGTGTTGAAGGGAGAGAGAGAGAGAGAGAGAGAGAGAGAGAGAGAGAGAGACAGACAGACAGACAGACAGACAGACAGACAGAGACAGAGACAGAGAGACAGAGGCAGACAAACTACCCAAAAATAAAATTAAGTGAACATATGAATATATTGGCAAATGCACATAGACATATTTGTCGTTATTTTTCTAACCTAGAAATATATTTAATGTTTTCTGGTCATCGCGCGATCTACTAGAAATGGGTCCGCGATCTACTGGTAGAACGTGATCTACTAGTAGATCACCACCGACGTTTCGGTCGAGCCTCTTCTAGGAGCTACATGCTGCTGGCAGGTCCCCAGTGTAGGCCTCGCACACCACCTTCTGCAGGTCCTCTTGCGCCTCTATTAACTGATCTGCAGTGAACACCTGCACGAAGAAAAATTATCATTAATTTGTTGTTTGTTATTATTATTATTATTGTTGTTGCTATTATTATAAATTTTGGTTATTCTGATGTACTATATTTATTGAGAAGTAGTGGCTCGATCCTCCGCCCGCTAATCTTAACTGCTATTGCAATAGCGATTCAGTACATACGTCGTTGATAAGGATCCAGGGGACGTAGGTGAGAGGTGGCTGGAGTTGACTCTCCTTCACCCCTACCTCGTGGAGCAGGTACTGCCCCTCCTCGCTGCTATAACACGAATCTATAGGTAGGAAGTCGACTCCGGCCTCCAGTGCACACTGTTACGAGGGTAAGATTGATTTAGAACCCGCACTGTAAGTTACATCAAACACGCTACGCTATTCTATGTATGAGTTAGTAAATTTATTTAGGTAGGGTTTCACGTAAATACAGTTACACAAATTATCACACTTATGTGTAAATTACTTAGGATAACCCCAAAAAAGTCAGATATTATACACAATTATCACCACTTTACGCTATAATAAACTAGTGCAACTACTCACCAGACATATCTATCACAACTACACATACACTACTATCTCCACTACACCTCATACAAAACTATCATCACTACACACCATGCAAAAGCCAAGTGACTTATTGCCATTGCGGTCCTTGTTACCGTGTGAGAACAAGAGCTGCACATTTTCTCCTTTATCATATTCCACCACACGGGATGAGTTTTGTATACATCAGGTACTGGAATGTGTCAGCCTGAGCTGGAAGACTTCAGTGGGGAGCTGAGGATACCATCAAGCATCGCACTGATGAGTTAAGCAGCTACGGCAGCCTCAGAGGCTTCATACATCCAGAACGGTGACGAAGGATAAGAATGTGGAGCTGTGTTGTGCGAATACAACACAAGATGTAGAGCAAGAATTTACTGGGAAAAATTTTCGCTGTGTACAAATTTATCGAGTCATAACTTACGTCTTGACCACTTTGGCTAAACGCTATTTCTTCATCTCCTGTTCCAATGTTATTTTTTTTATCTATAGTAGTTTACCGAGCAAGTAATTATTATTTCATTATATGAACCATATATTTTAAGTTCGTATTCTCAACTACTCTGGCTCGAAGGGAGTCATTTAGATTACGTGTCATCTGTGCACCAGTTAACGGTACTGTAACCCATAAAATAAGCATAAAATTAAACCCTGAGCGTATATACGCTCATAATCTCTATGTGTATGTAGCAGTGCCTTTTTTTGTAAACCGTTATGGATCCAGTGTGGTGGAGCATAACAGGAAAAGTACACTGTCTAATGGATATCTCATGTAAACATAATTACCTTTCACTTCAACCTCGTTAAAAGTCACACAGATCAGGGTAGCCACACAATGTGGTTCACCTAATTATTGTTATTAAAAAAGAGCAATTTCTAACCATAAGCTTACCAGTTCTCCAGCGCTAGCACCTTCGAACTCAGACATAATACAGTTGAGGAAAGTCATGAAGAATTCATCTTCCTCGATATATTCCCTGGCACAAGCCATCATAATGTTACCCTCACACTCGTCTGGTCCATGTTGACATTCAAAGACGTAGCCATCATCCACTTCAGTGTCCTGAAGTGTAATAGATATCAAGTTCTCGCTGACAAGTGATACTGCAAAAATATTGATTTTTTTTAAAGATAAAAGTGCACAAAACAGAAAAATAAAAACCTACTAACTAGCAAACAATCTAATGATTTTCGACCTGCAAATTCCCATATTTCAAATATAAAATATTATGACAAAGTTACAGAAATTGTTCAAGAAAGAACTGAATGGGCAGATTATATGTATTTGGATTAAAAAAATAAGCAAATTTTTTCCGTGAAACATTGACTTTGAAACTTCAAAGGCTAACAGTTACAGTGAATGAGAAACATTTTAAGTTGAAAATGCGAAGTGGTATGAGAAAAATGTCTTCAGGGGTAAATGTCACAAGTGGGGTGCCTAAAGGATGTGCACTTGGCCTGATAATGCCTTTACGTACATAACTTACCGAAATAAACAGAAAACTATATGAATATGGGAGAAAGCAAAATCAGACCACCTGAAGATTTCAGATCGTATGACCAATTCTTCATTAAAAAAATGTCTCACTGGAAGATCAAAATCAATGCAGTTGTGAGTCTCGTCTGCTACGCTACAAAATAATTTTCAAACATACACATGGATAAAGGCTAAACAAAAAAGCTATTCGCAACACATTAGCTAAGAGATGTCCACATCTATAAAAAAAAAGTGGGTAAAACAGTTAAAAAAATGGCTTCCAGAGCTAAAACAGAAGATATGATATATGGCTTCCAGGCTGACAATGCTAAAGATACCCGTGTCGGCCTCATTGGGGTAGAGACATGATAACCACTCATAAGGTCATTAAAACAGATATGAAATAATAAATCAAGAATTTCTAGTACCTGCAGCAGGTTTAATAAGAGACCATAATTCCAAACTAAAAAAAAAAAATTAACAGAAGGAATATCAGACAATGTTCCATCGCAAACAGTGGTTGACCGATGGAATGAATTAAAAAACGAAGCAAAAGGTTGCTGCAACTATGGGAAAATATAAAAAAATGCATATAATGGAAAAATTACGAGCATAGCTGGTCATGTACCTACAAACTAATAACTACTGGGTAATAACACACTTACATTTGCCTTTCCATAAGCATTAATATCAATTTCCATGATATCCATAAGGTTGAGCCACACAGGGTAGAGCTGATTGGTGATGAACCGTTGACTGTCTGGACACAGAGTCTCGTAGTACACAGACACCTTGACAGGGGCACCTGGTTCACCAGTCACCTCCTGCAAAATGCACCAAAATTCGTTGTTTCAGACATATTAGAGTATAACTTGAAGGTTTGAGATAGGCACCCCACCGTAACACCTGGTGTAGCTGGCTGTCAGACTCATGAATCTCGTCAGGGAACACTCGGGTTTAATAGCAGAAATAGGATTGTGCCTCCTTGGTCTCGCACAGCATAATATACAGTTTTTGTTAAATTTAAATTATTTACGAAATAGTAATTCAATAATAGAGCCCCAGGGAGGTGTCCTTAGTCCTACTTTATTAAGCATTCTAATTGAAGCTTTACTGATCAGGATAATAACCTGTGCTAATACTATATTATTTAGAATAGGGAGTAAAACCTAGCTGGGATAAGCTAGCGAAATTTTAACCGCTGAATGAGTTATCATTTAAGAAAGACTCATTTTAGGAGACACTTTGTTTGCTGACGAGCGAAACATTACCACCATCACTGTATTAACCTCGGAGTCCAAGTTAGCAGTGCTTATATTATGATTTACACCAGTGTTCTTAACCATGTACTAGATTCGCGTCTAAACCAATATTTTTTTCCACTTAGAAAACTTAAATACGTGGAGGAGCTGTCTGTAATAAGACACAGCTTCGTGATGGGCCTTTTTTCGACTACGCAACCAAAAATATGTGTTGATGAAACAGAGAAGGAACTAGAAAGGTTCTTTCAGGGCACGACGGATTAGTCGGGTTGTGGTGGGTATGTAGATCTGCGAGCCACATGTAGCAGTAGACTGATTGATCGGGTAGAGGGTATGAAGGATGGGAGGTACTTACCGCCAGGCAGGGAGAGGCTGTGAGGCCTAGTAGCAGCAGTGTAATGTGAATAATCATGACGATGGTGATGTTAGTGACTGCAGCTACAGCTCCTCCCCTCCCTTATATTGTTTCACGGAGCACGAACACGAACACACACACACACACACACACACACACACACACACACACACACACACACACACACACACACACACACACACACACACACACACACACACACACACACACACACACACACACGCACACACACACACACCTGAGGAGTGCCACGAGAATCAGTGTTTGCCCCGGTCATGTTTTTAAATTATATGCATGACTTGCTAGAAAGAGTGAAAAACAATTTGAATGCGTTTGAGGATGATACAGAGATACCCAAGAGTTGCACATGTGTCTAATTTATCAACAGAGATACCATACAAATCAGGTAATAAAATAACTGCAAATCCTTAAAAGAAAACTGATAAATTGAGCAAATGTAATGACAGATGTGGGTTGAAATTTTAAGTGTCATGTAATGGAAATGAGAGCAAGAGATAATACACGAAGAATATAGATTGTGATAAAATACTGAAAAGTCATATATGTGGAGGGAAAAGGCTAAAAAAAACAAAAGGAATTCGGGGCATACATCAAGCGTTGTCTAGCTAATCCTGAAAAATTCAGGATTAGCTAGACAACGACTCAGAGTGCTCTAGGGATGAACTTCGAAGATTGTAACACTAGAAATGTCATTACTGGCCGATATGAGGGGAAAAATATGAGGATTTGAACCCATGACAAGTGAGTCCTCAAACTCACAGGCCAGTGCGTTTTAGGATTCACTTGCCATAGGTTCTAACCCCACTCATTCCCTGATTTGTTTGCAGTCGTGTTATTACGACTTACGAGTATTTAGAGTTTGCGTAAAATGGAACAATCCTTTGTCTGAATCGTAGGTTCGAGTGTGATAAGATAAGATTTCGTTCGGATTTTTAACCCCGGAGGGTTAGCCACCCATGATAACCCAAGAGAGTCAGTGCGTCATCGAGGACTGTCTAACTTATTTCCATTGGGGCCCTCAATCTTGTCCCCCAGGATGCGACCCACACCAGTCGACTAACACCCAGGTACCTATTTGCTGCTAGGTGAACAAGACAACATGTGTAAGGAAACGTGTCGAAATGTTTCCACCCACCGGGAATCGAACCCGGGCCCTCTGTGTGTGAAGCGAGAGCTTTAGCTACCAGGTCCTTGAGACTTCCCTCACTACTTAAATCTTAAGCTCTGGGACTAGTGTAGTTAGAAGCCTTTTTACTTTCTTAACTTACAATGTATATCTGACGGTTTGTGAGCTTTACACCGGCAACGTCTGCACTATCGTGATGTACTTTTTATTTAGGCTCTAGAATGGTGTTCTCACCTTTACCTGCCTTACAAAAAATGTTTTATGTTTTATGCATAATTCTTAGTAGTTGATTAGTTGTCTATATAACAAAGATAAGTTATGTAGACATATGCTTTATTTTGCACGTTGCTCTACTCAGGAGTAATAAAACTCAATCCTGAGAGAAACATCGTGTAAAATAAAGCATTATTAACTGGGCTTAAAGCCTATAGACACACGAGGGTCATTAAAGTTGCATGTTGCTTGTTCACCACCAGTCAAGAATACTTCAATATGTTATTATTGGGAAGAGAGTAAACTTTAAATACCACCCTCCACGTGTACATGCACTGTTTCTCTCAGTTCACACACATCAATAAGATATATTCGGCAGACTCTATTCTAACCTTGTTCTTCATCACGTGTCTTTATACAACCTTGTGGTCCCAATCACATATCATAAAGTTCACTGATATAAGACTTTTCCCTGGGCACAAGTATCAGGCGTGACGTAAGGAAATAGGTGGGAACATGAACACATGACGGGGAATACCTTATGGTGTATTTTTGGGTAAAACCACTACATTACATGGGTAAATAAGCCATCGTGTTGACTCAGTTGGTAGCGGCCTCATCGCAGACACCAAGGGACCGGGGTGCGATTCCCGGACGGCTGGAAACGTTAGGCATGTTTCCTTACACCTGTTGTCCCTTTTCACCTAGCATTAAGTAAATACCTGGATACGACCAATACAGACTAGTATGGGTCATATCTTGGGTAAGAGGATGAAAGAACCATAGTGGAAATAAGCCAGACAGTCTGATAACGGTGGCTTTATAGGGTTATCCATGCATTAGGTTTTGTCTTGAAAAAAAAATTGAAAGACTTAAAAAATGAAGATCAAAGTTATTCTTGCTGTCCTATAACAACCAAAATACTTAATACGAGGAAAGAATTAGGTATATTAAGTGTTCCTGATGGAATACTCGAAAACAATGTCATTATAAGAGTGAAGCAGCTGCCTGGTGATCAAAACAATGTTGTCTTCAAAGAATTACTTGAACACAATTAGTGGGACAAGTGAATAAAAATGGATTTTAATAACAGCCACACAGACAATGTTTGGATTACATAAGCTGTATCATGCTAGAAAACAATAGTATTTCCTTCCACTCTGACTGCAATACAACTGTTTATAATGACAATAAAATACGTAAAAATGGTATTGTTTTCCGTATTGTACTGTGTACATTTGCTATATGAAGTAATTGAAATGTATGAAATGACTACTGTTATTTTAGTGATGTAACAATGCCCAGTGGTGCCTTGTAAGATTCAGTGTGACTCCTGTAAGCTAACCACTCAGGTGGCATAATACAGTACTGTCTAAGGTTAGGCTAAGTTAGGTAAGGTTTATCAGGGAATAGGACAAGTGTTTTCTGACTCGGGTCTTAGTCATATGATGACCCACAGCTGGAGCTTTTGGTCATCTGATTGAAGACTTTGACCGTTGGGTTTATGTGGCTCTCAGGTCGTCGGAAGCCTACGGTCCTTGGATCGTTAGGGTCATATGGTCATGGAACCATTAGGCTCTTACAACCCAAGAACCATCAGGTTCATACGTCCCTAGGACCTAGGGTTATCCTAGGTTCTCTACACATATGCTGCTATGTATGATAATTCTATGTAATTGTATTTGTGTATACCTGAATAAACTTACTTACTTACTTACTTACTTATGATTAAATGATTGTCAGGTTCGTACGGTCTTAGGGCTGGCTGGTGGATTCATACGGCTCTCTTGTTCATTCGGCTCTAAGTCCTAGTGTAACGGAGTCCTTACGGCCATCGGGTTCATTCAGCTCTCGGGAAGTCGGGCTCATACGGCCTTAGGTTCATATGACTCTTGGATCGTCGGGTTTATACTGCCATTGGGTTATCGGAGTCATGCGACCTTAAGGCCATCAGGTTCATACAACCAAGAACTCAGCTCACACACTAAGGGGCCGGGGTTCGATCCCCCAGGCGAGTGGAGACGCTGGGCTTATTTCCTTTCACCTGCTTCCTCTGTTTGCTAAGTATTAAGAAGGATGTTAACCAATTGGTATGAGTCGCATTTTCGGGCAGAAGATAAATGGACCCCATTGGAAATAAAGCAGACGTTTCACCTGCTCACCAGGCTTCCTTAGTCGAGATACATATAAGGCATCAGTAGTGGAGAGGTTGATATGACATATGACATAATCTGTCTTTCAGCCATGAAGAAGAAATAAGCTTGATGTGGTCAGTCCCATTACTGCAATTACTTTTTCTAAGCTGAGGGACTGATCATCTCATATCTACATCTTTCTCATCCAACTGCTGGTGTTGTATACCAGTAACATAATGGCATGGATTTACTGGGCTATATTGAGTTATTATAATAAGTCGAACAAATTCTTTTCTTATTCCGAATTCATACGGTCCTCGAACCTTTGTGACTCTACATCCCAACAACAACAACGAGGCTCGTGTTGATAGGCCTACTTAGGCCTGACAGATTCTCCCTTATCCAGGGTGTATACCGTAACTCAGATAGTCATAACCAAGTCATCTCAGCAGCTGCGGCGCAATCAGTTGCACAGAGATCATCATTTCAACACAGAGGTCGCCATTTCATGTCACCGAAGAGACTGCTCTCTGTAGTCGGCGGTCAAGCTGTCAAGAAAATCCGACGGTTGTCAAGGTCCAGACCAGTTTGGATGGTTAGGAATGAGAGTGGGGGAGGGGAGGGAGTCCCTGAGCCCCCACCTCTACCTCCAGGGGATGTAGAGTACATCTTAGAGCCCTCGCCTCCACCTCCATCACCTCCACTACCTCCACCACCTGTCACAATTCCCAGCTGCCAGTTGCTGTCAACTCCAACTAAGTCTCCCTATGATAAAAAAGAATACAGGTAGACTTCGGAATTTCAAGAATAAAAATTTATTGGCTCGTTGGTTGTGTCTTTGACTCTCAGTCGAAGAATCAGGGTTCGATTCTTTGGCGGGTGGAGACATACAGCACATTTCTTTATACCTGTTGACTGTTCACCTAGCATTAAGTAGGTACCTGGGTGTTAGTAGAGTTGTAGGTCACATTCCAGGAAAGATGACCAAAGGACTCCATTGGAAATACGCTGCATTAGATTGATTCTCTTTGGTTATCCCAGGTTAAAAAATGCAGATAGAAGAAGGAGATCATTATTAATTTGCTGTTTCACCTGCAGGAGACCTTTATTAATTCAGTGTTTCACCTGCAGAAGACCTTTATTAATTCAGTGTTTCACCTGCAGGAGACCTTTATTAATACAATGTTTCACCTGCAGGAGACCTTTATTAATTCGATGTTTCACTTGAAGCAGATTTTTATCACCTCATGTAGGTGAAGCATATTAATAAAAATCTTTTCGCATGTGTGTGTGTTTAACCACTTGACGACTACAACATATTTTTACTTATCATGGATTCCTAACTCTCTGGGTTAGTATTCCCATCAGGAAAAGTTCTGTGGTGCTGGTGAGGGGCTTTTGATCCAAGGAATTAGGCCTGGCCTCCTGTTCCTTGGATCTGGCCTAGTTGCTTCCCATACCCCCAGCCGCTGCATGATTCATGTGGATTTAGAGTTCCCCCATTAATGTAATAATAATAATAATAATAATAATAATAATAATAATAATAATAATTATCTCTTCCTTCGATCAAACCTGATAGCCTCGCATTTCCCAAGTGATGTATGGTCCCTGTGTTTTAGTGCTCTGTAGCATGTCAGAATGCTAAAATGCTCTGGGTCAGTTAAGATAAGGTAAGACTTGTTGGGATTTTTAACTCGGAGGGTTAGCCATAGAGGATAATCCATGAAAATCAGTGCATCATCAAGGACTGTCTGTCTTATTTCCATTAGAGACCTACCTTCAGTAGAGGTGGCTTGATGCTGGTGAAGGGCTCTTGATCTAATATCTCATTCCCCAGGCAGTGTATGACTGTAATGGATTTAGTGCATCCTCATAAAAATAATAGTGTGTGTCAAGTTTCCAATACAGCCTCTTCTCACTTAGTGACATACTCGTTTGCTGACGACTCGGACTTACTCTCGGACTTGGCTCTCTGACCAGTATGCATACTTAAATAATGTATATTAGATCTGATTTCCTCTATTCTGTTTATTTCAATATACAGTACACTACTGTATAAACATTTAAAAATATTCTAGAAGTTTTATAAATGGTGCAAAGGTGACATTAAAACAATATCAAAGATAATTGACACAAACCCACTACCATTATAATTGTATGCTCCTCACTTAGCAATGAATTCGTTTACTTGGAGTTTACCTGGAGAGAGTTCCGGGGGTCAACGCCCCCGCGGCCCAGTCTGTGACCAGGCCTCCTGGTGGATCAGAGCCTGATCAACCAGGCTGTTACTGTTGGCTGCACGCAAACCAACGTACGAGCCACAGCCCGGTCAGGAACCGACTTTAGGTGCTTGTCCAGTGCCAGCTTGAAGACTGCCAGGGGTCTGTTGGTAATCCCCCTTATGTATGCTGGGAGGCAGTTGAACAGTCTCAGGCCCCTGACACTTATTGTATGGTCTCTTAACGTGCTAGTGACACCCCTGCTTTTCATTGGGGGATGTTGCATCGTCTGCCAAGTCTTTTGCTTTCGTAGTGAGTGATTTTCGTGTGCAAGTTCGGTACTAGTCCCTCTAGGATTTTCCAGGTGTATATAATCATGTATCTCTCCCGCCTGCATTCCAGGGAATACAGGTTCAGGAACCTCAAGCACTCCCAGTAATTGAGGTGTTTTATCTCCGTTATGCGTGCCTTGAAGGTTCTCTGTACATTTTCTAGGTCAGCAATTTCACCTGCCTTGAAAGGTGCTGTTAGTGTGCAGCAATATTCCAGCCTAGATAGAACAAGTGACCTGAAGAGTGTCATCATGGGCTTGGCATCCCTAGTTTTGAAGGTTCTCATTATCCATCCTGTCATTTTTCTAGCAGATGCGATTGATACAATGTTATGGTCCTTGAAGGTGAGATCCTCCGACATGATTACTCCCAGGTCTTTGACGTTGGTGTTTCGCTCTATTTTGTGGCCAGAATTTGTTTTGTACTCTGATGAAGATTTAGTTTCCTCGTGTTTGCCATATCTGAGTAATTGAAATTTCTCATCGTTAAACTTCATATTGTTTTCTGCAGCCCACTGAAAGATTTGGTTGATGTCCGCCTGGAGACTTGCAGTGTCTGCAATGGAAGACACTGTCATGCAGATTCGGGTGTCATCTGCAAAGGAAGACACGGTGCTGTGGCTGACATCCTTGTCTATGTCGGATATGAGGATGAGGAACAAGATGGGAGCAAGTACTGTGCCTTGTGGAACAGAGCTTTTCACCATAGCTGCCTCGGACTTTACTCTGTTGACTACTACTCTCTGTGTTCTGTTAGTGAGGAAATTATAGATCCATCGACCGACTTTTCCCGTTATTCCTTTAGCACGCATTTTGTGCGCTATTACACCATGGTCACACTTGTCGAAGGCTTTTGCAAAGTCTGTATATATTACATCTGCATTCTTTTTGTCTTCTAGTGCATCTAGGACCTTGTCATAGTGATCCAATAGTTGAGACAGACAGGAGCGACCTGTTCTAAACCCATGTTGCCCTGGGTTGTGTGGTCTTAGGAATGGAAGTCTGTCGTTAAGTAAGGAGAGGCTGTATATTTCATTGACACTACTTGGCAGTTTGCTCCACTCATTTACAAATCTTCTGTATTACCATGTCAGTTCTTTTCAATCTCATTTCAAAATCTGAACTTGTTGCTAATTTTCTTTTGGTTAGATATATATAATAGTTGTCTAACAGTATTACTAGCATTTTAAATTATTCTTGACAGAGACCAAATAAGAAAAGCTTTGCAGTATTTGGATTTTAAACCCCAGGTTTGTAACCCAAGAAAATCAAGCTTTGTTGCTTATATCCATTGAAATCTATTGGTCCTTTTCCTTTGGATGCAACTTACAACAGCTGGTCAGCATCCAGGTACTGTACCTATTTACTGCTACCATAGGTGAACAAGGGCAGTAAGTATCTTGAGACTTGTCTATATGTCTAGCCTCTCCCAGAATGAGCTCAGGTCCTTTGGTAGTGACCTGAACCTGCTATCATGTTTATCTTATTAGCTCCAGTCCGCATCATTTGAAAACTTGTAGGAATTGTGTAGGTTAAGTAATTACAAAATATTACCTGTTTATGTCTTTAATAACTACAGTATATTAGTCTTGTTATTTTTAATTCTAAAGACAATTTTCTTTATGTTCATTGAAATACAGCACCTCTTTACATGAATTAATTGTAAAGTACTAGCTAACAAAAGTTTCAGTACCCTTTATTAAATGACATCAAATTTTTGGGGTGAGAAATTGGAGATTGGAGGGAGAGAGTATGGAGGAGGTGAATGTATTCAGATATTTGGGAGTGGACGTGTCAGCGGATGGATCTATGAAAGATGAGGTGAATCATAGAATTGATGAGGGAAAAAGGGTGAGCAGTGCACTTAGGAGTCTGTGGAGACAAAGAACTTCGTCCTTGGAGCCAAAGAGGGGAATGTATGAGAGTATAGTTTTACCAACGCTCTTATATGGGTGTGAAGCATGGGTGATGAATGTTGTAGCGAGGAGAAGGCTGGAGGCAGTGGAGATGTCATGTCTGAGGGCAATGTGTGGTGTGAATATAATGCAGAGAATTTGTAGTTTGGAAGTTAGGAGGAGGTGCGGGATTGCCAAAACTGTTCTCCAGAGGGCTGAGGAAGGGTTGTTGAGGTGGTTCGAACATGTAGAGAGAATGGAGCGAAACAGAATGACTTCAAGAGTGTATCAGTCTGTAGCGGAAGGAAGGCAGGGTAGGGGTCGGCCTAGGAAAGGTTGGAGGGAGGGGGTAAAGGAGGTTTTGTGTGCGAGGGGCTTGGACTTCCAGCGGGCATGCGTGAGTGTGTTTGATAGGAGTGAATGGAGACAAATGGTTTTTAATACTTGACGTGCTGTTGGAGTGTGAGCAAAGTAACATTTATGAAGGGATTCAGGGAACCCGGCAGGCCGGACTTGAGTCCTGGAGATGGAAAGCACAGTGCCTGCACTCTGAAGGAGGGGTGTTAATGTTGCAGTTTAAAAACTGTAGTGTAAAACACCCTTCTGGCAAGACTGATGGAGTGAATGATGGTGAAAGTTTTTCTTTTTCGGGCTACCCTGCCTTGGTGGGAATCGGCCAGTGTGTTAAAAAAAAAAAAAATTGTTTGTTGCATTTAATTCTGTTACACATTATAATTTTAATCTTTTTTTTATTTTATCAAGAAAAGATATTATATAACCAGGTCTACTCTTCTTTTTCTAGGATTTTCATTATATATATAAAAACCTATATGGATTTTGCCCTTTTTTGTCATATATTAATTATATACATGAGCATTATTTTATTATTATAAAATGTTCCTAAATTTTTGTAGAGTGATTCAACTTGAAAATGGCTTAAGAGCATTACTCATCTCGGATATGGGCAGACTCGATTCATCCCCAGAAGAGGAAGGTAAGGAGGGTGGATTTTAGTGATGGTGACTGATATGCATTAGCAAATACACAAAAACCATTACCCTGGAATCAAACTAATTAACAATGAAAACACCAGGCACCTCCTACTGGAGCTTGTTAGGTTTCCTCTTGAAAATTTTAGTATGTATATTTTTGAAGCTGAATTCTTATAATCTACCCTGTCCTTCTCTTGATAATGGCTATGCTTTGCTATTCTTTCTAAACATTAGGCTGTTTGACATTCTTATTCCTTAATCTTTTATCTATTCTTTACATTGTATCTTGTGCTCGGTAACATGGAGATAGAAACTCAGAAAATTAATTGATCTGTATATTTAGACCCCTTGCTGAGGTCCTCTTCATCTGCTGAAGAAAACCTCAGCAAGGGGGTCAAAATATGCAGATCAATTAAATTTCTGAGTTTCTGTCTACATGTGAGTTATTATTGAGCACTGACAATTGGCCATTACATTTTCTTTAGCTATTCATTGTGTCCTGTATGTATTTTGAGGTCTTCATTTTTATCTTGTTTAAGGAGTTTGAAATATCATTATTGAGCATCACATCAATTTCTCTTGCCCAGTGAAAGACCTTATTGATATCTAATGCTTTTCCTAATTATTCTTCTTTCAGCAAACTGGCTGTATCCCACCGAGGCAGGGTGGCCCAAAAAGAAAAACAAAAGTTTCTCTTTTCAACTTCAGTAATATATGATAAATTAGACACATGTGCAACACTTGGGTATCTTTAATGAGGAAATGTTTCATCACACAGTGGCTTCACCAGTCCATACAAAGGAGAATGGTGAAGAACAGGAGAGTTTGAGGTAATCAGTCCCTCAGCCTTGAGTTGATGTAATCAGTCCATCTTGATGGACTGATTACATTGACTCAAGGCTGAGGGACTGATTACCTGAAACTCCTCCTATTCTTCACCATTCTCCTTTGTATGGACTGATGAAGTCACTGTTTGGCAAAACGTTTCCTCATTAAAGATACACAAGCGTTGCACGTGTCTCATTTATCAACTTGTCGGTTCTCTGAACCATTCATCTACTTTAGTAATGTATACAGGAGAAGGGGTTACTAGCCCCTTGCTCCAGGCATGTTAGTAGCCTCCTACAACATGCATGGCTTACAGAGGAAGAATTCTGTTCCATGTCTTCATGGAGATAAGAGGAAATAAACAAGAACAAGAACTACTAAGAAAATAGAAGAAAGCTTGGAGGGGTGTGTATATATATGCTTGTACATGCATGTGCAGTGTGATCTAAGTGCAAGTAGAAGTAGCAAGACGTATCTGAAATCTTGCAAGTTTATGAGATAGAAAAAAGACACCAGTAATCCTATCATTGTGTAAAACAATTACAGGCTTTCATTTTACACTCACTTAACAGGACGGTAGTACCTCCCTTGGCGGTTGCTGTCTACCAACCTACTACCTAGAACTTTTTTTTAATTATGGGAGTGAAATAATTTTCTCCAAAACTAGGATACACAAACAAGGAGAGTGCATCTTAATAAAAATATATGTTTGAATGTTAGCTTTAAATTGAACAGAGTGGACAAAGTGAGGTATAGGCTGTGATAGGAGCATATAGAAAATCTTTTTCTTTCAACAAACCGGCCGTATCCCACCGAGGCGGGGTGGCCAAAAAGGAAAAACGAAAGTTTCTCCTTTTACATTTAGTAATATATACAGAAGGGGTTACTAGCCCCTTGCTCCCAGCATTTTAGTCGCCTCTTACAACACGCATGGCTTACGGAGGAAGAATTCTGTTCCACTTCCCCATGGAGATAAGAGGAAATAAACAAGAACAGAACTAGAAAGAAAATAGAAGAAAACCCAGAGGGGTGTGTATATATATGCTTGTACATGTATGTGTAGTGTGACCTAAGTGTAAGTAGAAGTAGCAAGACGTACCTGAAATCTTGCACGTTTATGAGACAGAAAAAAGACACCAGCAATCCTACCATTGTGTAAAACAATTACAGGCTTTCGTTTTACACTCACTTAACAGGACGGTAGTACCTCCCTTGGTGGTTGCTGTCTATCAACCTACTACCTAGAACTTTTTTTTAATTATGGGAGTGAAATAATTTTCTCCAAAACTAGGATACACAAACAAGGAGAGTGCATCTTAATAAAAATATATGTTTGAATGTTAGCTTTAAATTGAACAGAGTGGACAGAGTGAGGTATAGGCTGTGATAGGAGCTTATAGAAAATATTTATAAAAAAAAAAAAATTGTGGATTAGCTAGATGGTTTGTGGATCTAATGAAAAATTGGTAACCGTAGGAAGTTCGAGAGGATGTACATGTGAGAGGTTACCTATATGATAGCTCTTAGTTAATGAATAGAGCTGATAATCTAAGAAAATATGTACAGTACTATTAATGTTTTTAATAAAATGTAATCATATGCAGATGAATCTGATGATGAGGAAGATAGTGGCAGTGAAGAGGAGGAGGATGAAGAGTGTGGAGGTACGGAAGAGGAGGAGGAGGAGGAAGATGACAATGAAGAAGATATGGAGGGAACGAATTTTGGAAAAAGTGGTGGAGATTCAACAAAATATCTGGTATGTCGGCATGTTTACATAGTTTGCATTATCTCATTGTCAATTCAGTATATATCTTTTTCAGATGTAAAGCTTAATGAAGGATTTCTGTAATATAAAAGATATTGTTTCAGATTACTTTTAGAAAGTACTGTGGATTTCTGATGATTTTTGCTTACACTCAGGCAGCAGCATCTTTGAGTGTAGGAATGGGTAGCTTTGAAGACCCTCCAGAAATCCCTGGCCTGATGCACTTTTTGGAGCACATGGTCTTCATGGGTTCTGAGAAGTATCCAAAGGAGAACGCTTTTGATTACTACATCAAGGTGAGGCATCTGGTATCAGGCACTGTGTATATATACCTTTGCAATATTATATTTTTTTTTTTTTTTTTTTTTTTTTTTTTCAACAAGTCGGTCGTCTCCCACCGAGGCAGGGTGACCCAAAAAAAGAAAGAAAATCCCCAAAAAGAAAATACTTTCATCATCATTCAACACTTTCACCACACTCACACATTATCACTGCTTTTGCAGAGGTGCTCAGAATATAACAGTTTAGAAGCATATACGTATAGAGATACACAACATATCCCTCCAAACTGCCAATATATTTTTTTATATATAATATTTAGTTTTGTAGTTTTTATGTGTCTGGCGGTAGAGTAAATCACACCACATATTGATCTCAGGACACATTCTGCTGCTTCCAACCTCCTCCTTACTAAAGTTAACAATTTATTTCTAAAGATTCCTTACTCCTTGATTCTGGTGAGAGGCTCTTGATTCAAGGAACTGAACTTATCTTCTCCTTTCTTAGATTGAACCTAAATGCCTACCATTCCCCGGGTGCTATGTGACTCCTGTGGGTTTAGTGCTTCCCTGTGAATAAAAATAAAAAATGCAGATTCTTCAGCACTCCTGTTTTCTTTTCCCTCTCATCTAATCTGAGGTTCACCTTTTACTTCATAAAACTATCAGGTAATACACAATTTTCAAATACAGTACTGTGTCTAAACTTATTTACTTTCTCCATGCTTCTTCCTTCCAGTCTGTCTTCATATTGTTCATTTTCCTGGGTAGAGGCATGGTTGACAAATAGGCAGCAAAGAGTTTGCATAAATGGGGAGAAATCAGAATTGGGGCACGTCACAAGCGGTGTTCCACGGGGGTCAGTGTTGGGCCCCTTGTTGTTCACAATTTACATAAACGATATAGATGAGGGAATAAATAGCGACATAAGCAAATTTACTGATGACACCAAAATAGGCCGTCCAATTCATTCTATTGAGGACATTAGTGCACTCCAGGATGATTTGAATAGACTGATGTAGTGGTCAGAGAAGTGGCAGATGCAGTTTAACATAGACAAATGCAAAGTGCTAATTGTTGGGCAGGACAATAACCATGCCACTTATAAACTGAATAGTGTAGATCTTAATACTACTGATTGCGAAAAGGATTTAGGAGTTCTGGTTAGCAGTAATCTGAAACCAAGACAACAGTGCATAAGTGTTTGCAGTAAAGCTAACAGGATCCTTGGCTTCATATCAAGAAGTATAAATAATAGAAGTCCTCAGATTGTTCTTCAACTCTATATATCCTTGGTTAGGCCTTATTTAGATTATGCTGCACAGTTCTGGTCACCATATTACAAAAAGGATATAAATGCACTGGAAAATGTACAGAGGAGGATGACAAAGTTGATCCCATGTATCAGAAATCTTCCCTATGAGGATAGACTGAGGGCCCTGAATCTGCACTCTAGAAAGGCGTAGAATTAGGGGGGATATGATTGAGTTGTATAAATGGAAAACAGGAATAAATTAAAGGGATGTAAATAGCGTGCTGAAAATATCCAGCCAAGACAGGCTCGCAGCAATGGCTTCAAGTTGGAAAAGTTCAAATTCAGGAAGGATATAGGAAAGCACTGGTTTGGTAATAGAGTTGTGGATGAGTGGAACAAGCTCCTGAGTACCGTCATAGACGCTAAGACGTTGTGTAGTTTTAAAAATAGGTTGGATAAATACATGAGTGGGCATGGGTGGGTGTGATTTGGACCTGACTAGCTTGGGCTATCAGGTCTGGTGCTGTGCTCCTTCCTTAAGTGGAAGTGACCTGACTAGGTGGTCATTGTTCTAGGTTGGGGGTGGCATGAACCTGCTTTGTATGGGTCAGTAGGCCTGTTGCAGTGTTCCTTCTCTCTTATGTTCTTAATACTTCTATTTGTTTTCATCACCATATTTTTTTTTTGTGTGTGTGTCCCCCCAACTATTTCCTTCTATTATACGCTTCCAAACTTTTCCACCAATGTATGCAGGATGTCTTCTTATTTTTCCAACAGCACAATGTCATCTGCAAATAACAACTGTGACAGCTCCCACTTTATATCTGATTCATTATCTTTTAAGACCACAAATCTCTGACAAATAGCATTTATTCACCTAACCATTTTAAAAACACATTAAGCAGACATGGTGACATCACGCTTTTTTTATCCTATCTTCCCCTGATAGGAACTTTTCCATTTTCAATTTTTTTTTTTCACTAGTTCCGTATATATGTACACTGCTATCTACATTGCTCTTCTGTCTGCTTTATCATGTTATTTTCTTGCTCCATAAAATCAGAAACCACTCCTTTCCCATATTTATGTTTTGCTCACTTGTGTGTCGAAATGTAATCATTTGATCCATACATCCCTGTCCCTTTGTAAGTTCACCATTCTTCTGCAGTTATGCTGCCTGCCTTTCTGGCAGTGAGCACTATTATAATTTTTTTCTTTTGCTAAAAGAAATAACAAAAGTATTTACCTGCAGTCTGTAGTTGCTGTCAAGGATGTGATTATGCTATATGATCATGTGGATGGCTGCTTGATGCTGGAAAGAGGAGAGGTGTTTGGGTTACTTCATGTATGTTATGGACCATGCAGCTAATACCATAGCTTTATTTTGTAAGGTATTGAGGAGTGTGCAATCACTTCTCTTAAAGCATTATGTATTTTTTAACAGAAACATGGAGGCCACGATAATGCTCATACTGATATGGAGCACACAACCTTCTACTTTGAGGTTCAGGAACGCCACCTGCATGAGGGTCTTCATAGGTTTGCTGAATTCTTCATCAGTCCACTCATGAAGCAGGAGGCAATGACTAGAGAAAGAGAGGCAGTCCATAGTGGTAAGGCTAACATGAATATTGGTGAGATTATTGTATATTGTAAACTTCAGCTAATTACATATCATAATCTGTATACAGTTTGAGTATTGGTGAGATTATTTTATATTGTAGACTTCAGCTAATTACATATCATACTCTGTATACAGTTTGAGTACCCTATTTCAGTTTAATTGAAGCTTGGGAGCAGGCAACAGCTTTTGGACTGTACAGTACGAGTACCTCTCTCTCCTCTCTTCTTATTTGTTCTCATAAAACCATCTTAGCAGTACCAGTCAAAAGCAGATCTTTCATGAGTTGGTATCAGTTTATAGTAAGCATTATAGTATACTTTAATTATCTCTGCCTGGTGGAAATGCATCTTATTTTAGCAATTATGGTTCTCACTGGCCTGTGAGTTTTAAGAAATGCCTGCCATAGGTTCATGTCCTGCCCATTATGTAATTTGTCTGAAACCATTTTATTATGATTTTGTGAGCTGTACATTAGTGATCACCTGATTTCGATAGAAAAGAAACTGATAAATTTGAACATAAGGCATGTTGTATTTAGGCCTGTGTTATTACTAGATCTCTATATATCAGTATAATATATAATAGTTTATATCAATTTTCTTACATGCAGGCTACTTGTACACTCCATTCTTAATTTCTTTTGACTTACTATGGTCCTTAAAAAACTAGCCTCTAAAATTCTGTATTACCATATTGACGATATATGTTTTCCTCCTGCTTTTAGCTTATTTGTGTGTTATCTTCAAGAAATGTTATTCATATGACATGAATCTTCACTTCATAATGTTCTCCAGAGATTTTTTTTGTTGTGTAGACTTAGTTTATCACCACCACATATACCTATTTTAAAAAAGTGAATATACACCTACCATCCGACTTACGACCTGCTCGACTTACGACCACTCGACTTACGACCATGTTTTTTATGCCAAATTTCTGGGAAATAAACAACTATTTGTGTTGTACACAGTGTTTATCCTAAACCTTACAGTATAAAATACAGTGCTAACAACATAAAAAGTAAAGTAAAACATGAAATACCAAAATAAAACAATAAAATAAAGTCATTACAAAAATGTTTTGTTGATATTCAGTAGTAAAGTTCGACTTACGACCATTTCGAGTTACGACCGGTTTCTCGGAACCTAACTCGGTCATAAGTCGGATGGTAGGTGCATTTATAATAAGAGACAATTTTAATTACATTGAATTATGATAAATTATACTCAAACAATTCGTTCCTGCATCTAGGTAAAGTTGCCTTAAATTTGTTAATGTTGTTATCTGAAAACTTGTAGGATGTTCTGTACTGTAGCCACTTTAATTATCAATTAACTTTTGTTTAGAGTTTCAGATGGCTTTGCCAGATGATGAATACAGAATTCAACAATTGTTTGGGAGCCTCGCTCTCGAGGATCATCCTATGAGCAAGTTTACATGGGGTAATGAATCAACCCTTAACACTGGAATCCCAGATGAGGAATTACACAAAAAACTACATGAGTTACGTCTAAAATATTATTCTGCTCATTACATGACACTAGCAGTGCAGGCGCGAATGACATTAGACTGTTTACAAGAATATGTTTGCAGCATCTTTTCTCAGGTGAATGCCTAAGTCTTAACGTTTTACTTGAAGCATCACTAGATGTGGTGATTGGTGTCATGTACAGCTTTAAAAGTTTGTTTATTAGACATAAAAGTGTAAAATAAAATATATTGAGTGATCATAAATGGATGGATAGAATGAGTGTTTTAATGTTTAATTTTTTTAACACATTGACTGCCTCCCACCAAGTTTTTCTTCTTTTTACATTTAGTAATTTATACAGGAGGTTTTTTAATGATTTGTCAACAAATTAATTAGTTTAACCCTTAAATGGTCCAAACGTATATATACATCCACGCACGTAGTGCCCCAAACGTATATATACGTCCACGCACGTAGTGCCCCAAACGTATATATACGTCCACGCACGTAGTGCCCCAAACGTATATATACGTTTTCTTTGTCATTCATTCAACATTGCCACAATAAGCCTGAGTCACCTAGACATGAGAGAATGGGTGTGCACACTCACTGTGTGCCATATTAAAATAATTGGGGATGCCTGGGTACCATATGCTCTTTTTTCCTTTTAAAAGAAAAGATTGTTTTTTTCCTCAAAAAAAGTTGGGGCGCTACGCGAGTGAACGTATATATACGTTTGGACTGTTTAAGGGTTAAAATGTAAATGCTTTGGTATTAACTGTCCACTATGAGAATAATCAAGAGTTTTGATAGTGAAATTGTGCATTTTCAGCTCTATGTCTTAAGGTACAAGAGGGCTCCACTTATACAGCAGGTTAGGTTCCAGGCTCCCACTGTAAAGCGAAAATCGTTTTTTTTTTTATCAATTTTGAATGCATATTAAAACCTAATAACATGTTTACACTCTCATATATTAAGTGAGCAATAGAGCTAGACCTAAAAAATGCACATATGATACACAAATTACTTACCTTAAAATATTTTTGTACTTAGCATATAGTGAGTGATGTATATATTTATTGTAGGAAGTCTGAATAAAAGAAGAATAGGTACAGTTGAAAACTGCTGTATTAGTGATACACTGTAAAGTGAAGCGCTGTAAAGTCTGGCCCTCCTGTACTGTGTTTGGGAACTTTTTGGAAACTAAACTTCTTTATACTGAAATAGCTTCCATTTATTTTGCATAGTTTCACTCTGGATGAATCATTCTAGGAATGCATCCTCTATTCAGAGAGATGAAATTCTGTATTGTGGTACAATATTTGCCAGTTGTCTTATTAAATCTTGCCTTTCTGAAATTATCATTGGATTTCAGCAGAGGTGTCTTCTTGAGAATTTCCAAATCCAACTCGACTCATGGGTCTAGGTAAAATGCTAATTTTTGTGACCCATTAATTTACAACTGAGGAATTTTGGCTAAGAGTATATGGTAGTACAATACAGTGGACCCCCGGTTAACGAACTTTTTTCATTGCAGTAGTATGTTCAGGTGCCAGTACTGACCGAATTTTTTCCCATAAGGAATATTTTGAAGTAGATTAGTCCATTTCAGACCCCCAAACATACACGTACAAACGCACTTACATAAATACACTTACATAATTGGTCACATTTGGAGGTAATCGTTATGTGGGGGTCCACTGTACTTTCATGCCATACAATATTTACAAGCTCACCAAAATCAGTATTTTTTCTACATGTGAATCTCTTCAATATTCACTTTCATCTAACATTTCTTGTATACCTGTTGATAAATGCTAATGATATGGATTTTTGTAATCAATATACACTGTATATGTATTGATAAATTTTTTTATTAAAATCATGTATAAACATGAGAAGAAGTTTTTGAAAGCATTGGTTATTATTTACAGATTCCAAACAATGGTATTGAAAAACCTACCTACAGTCACCTTGAATTTCCCTTCCCATTGGTGACGCTCCACCGTCTGTACCGTGTAGTACCAACTAAAGAATACCACTGTCTGGAAATAACGTGGGCCTTGCCTTCCTTTCTCAAGTATTATCACACCAAACCCCTTCACTACGTGTCCCATTTGATAGGACACGAAGGTCGAGGCTCCATCCTCTCATATCTCAAAAAGAGGTTAGTGACACTGATTTAGTTTTTGGCGATTATCATCGATTATAATGTGACATTATATGTTATTATCTATACACAATGCACAAATAACCCGCACATAAAAGAGAGAAGCTTATGACGACGTTTCGGGCCGACTTGGACCATTGACAAAGTCACACTAACCAGAGGTGGAGCAGGACGGCTATATATAGGCAGGAAGAGGTGGTGGTAGTAGTAGTAGTATTAGTACAAGATGAAATTAAGACACATGCACAACACCCGGGCATCCCCAACGTAGACGTTTCGCCATCCAGCCAGCCACTGGATGGCAAAACGTCCACAACAAAGACAACCAGACGCCGCACATGTGTCTTAATTTCATCAGTAGTTGTAGTAGTAGTAGAAGAAGAAGAGGTAGTAGTAGTGGTAGTGGTAGAAGTGGGAAATAAGGAAGACGAGCCAGTCAAATACAAAGGAAGGGGAGCACTGCAAGAGAGCTAGATGCCCACAGAGGGAGAGCAAGCGCACAGAGGTGCGTGAAAGGGGAAGTGGTGAAATAAATGAAGAAGGAACAGAAACACGAGACAGGAGAGAGAAAGACAACCCAGAGGAGAAAAGGAAAGAGGAAAGGGGAAGAGGAAGAAGAAGAAGAAAAAGAAAAAGAAAAAATGAGGATTCAGGTTAAGTCACGGGTGTTCTGAAGTTTGGAGCATTTTACAATGTAGTGGGAGAGGAAGGCATCTACAGAGACGAAGCCAGGGCTAAGGTTCATACAAGGAAAGTTGTGTATTAGAGAGGATTCAACTAGACGGCGACTGTTCGAGTTGGAAGTAGGGAAGACAGTTTTAGCAGAAGACCAGTCAATAGGATGGCTATGATCTCTGACATGACAGAAAAGAGCATTGTTAGTGTCGGCAAGCCTAACACTATTTTTGTGCTCCCTAAGTCTGTCAGAAAGAGATCGACCAGTTTCTCCGAAGTATTGAAGAGGACAGGAGGAGCAAGAAATAGAGTAGACACCAGGAACATCTGTAGAGGGAGGAGAGGTATGAACGAGATTAGTGCGAAGAGTGTTAGTCTGGCGGAAGGTAAGCTTGATGTCTAAGGGACGGAGAGAATTGTTGAGATTAGAAAGACCGGAAATGTAGGGAAGGCAGAGGATAGAAGAGTTCTCATGAGTAGAGAGTTTGGGAGAGAAGAAATTGCGTTTAGCACTTGAGAGGGCAGAGTCTATGAAATGGGAAGGGTAGCCAAGACGGGAGAACGAATTATGAAGAGTGGAAATTTCTGCTGGAAGGAACTGAGGATCACAGATGCGGAGGGCACGGAGAAAGAGGGAGATAAGAACACTTTTCTTGACAAGGGAAGCATGATAGGAAAAGTAGTGAATGTACACGCGACTGTGCATAGGTTTACGGTAAACGGAAAAGGAAAAACCTGTATCTGAGCGGTGGACATGGACATCAAGGAAAGGAAGCAAGGAATTAGATTCCCATTCAGCTTTAAACTTAATGGAAGGGGCAAGATTATTAAGAGCTTCAAGAAAAGGTTGGAAGAGACTGGAGTCATGAGGCCACAGAGCAAAGAAGTCATCCACATAGCGGAGCCAGAGTGAAGGTTGCACATCGAGGGTAGGAAGAAGAACAGTCTCGAAGTATTCCATGTAAAGATTAGCAAGGACAGGAGAGAGAGTTATGTTATTATCTATATTGAGCATTCTACATTACGTAATATATATTACATGCTTGCTTCTTTTTTGTCAGATAATAGATTTTCATTTAATGCACTTAGGGGTACATTTGTTACTTTTTAAATTCAGTAGAAAATTCAAAGAGGCATTGGTTGTTTATTGATTTGTTTTATTGCACAAGTTTCAAAGAGTAAGGAGGCAAGACTAGAAAAAGCAGTTGGTAAAGATACATTGTGTAGTATAATGTCTAAGTTTATAAGTACCTATAAGTCATACAGTTGAAAGGATATAATTGGATCTGTAAAGGTAGTTAAAATTATAGATAAGACCTAAGGATAGGAGGAAAAGTTTTAGTAATTCCTGAAGGCAAGTCAAAGAAATTTGAGTCCTGGAAATCGGAAGTACAGTGCCTGCACTTTAAAGGAGGCATTTGGGATATTGGCAGTTTTGGAGGGACATCTAAACTGTCATATCTGAGCACCACTGTAAAGACAGTGATTATGTATGAGTGATGGTGAAAGTGTTGAATGATGATGATGAAAGCTTTTTCTTTCTTTTTTGGGATTTTCTTTCTTTTTGGGTCACCCTGCCTCGGTGGGAAACGGTTGATGTGTTAGAAATAAAATACAGTGGTACTCCAGATTTTGTACACACCGAATATCATACGTTTCGGATTTAGACCGATTTTTGGGGCAAATTTTGGTCCAGATTTCATACCTCCACCCGGAAATCGTACGTATCAGATACATCTGCCTGCCCGGGAAGCTGCCACTCATGTGTACATGTCTAAGTCTGGCTCTGTCACTAGTCGAGTGAACATTACTTCGTGCGCTCATCTGAAACATTTCATAATGATCCATTGTTTTTTGTGCTTAATTATTGAGTGTGACTGCGAAATATTTCCACATGGGCCCAAAGAAAGTTCATAGTGCCAGCCCTTTGGTAAAGAAGTTGAGAAACACGATAGAATTTAAGAAAAAGATTGTAGAAAAATACAAAAGTGGTATACGTTTGGCCGAGCTTGCCAGGATGTATGGGAAGTCGAAATCAACAGTCTGTTTCATCCTGGCAAAGAATGTAGAAATCAAGGAAGTTAAAGTTGCGAAAGCTCTCTTCTCTCTCCCCTCCTCGCCTTCTTCCATACGCCAACAAGAGTCTTCAATAAAGTTATGTAATAGTGATTTAAATGTTCATTTATCCATTTCATTAGTGCTTTATATTTATTTCTCATTGTTTTCTGTATGTAAAACTATAGTTATTTAAAAAATGTATTTTTTGTTAATATTTTTGGGTGTTTGGAATGGATTAATTGTATTTACATTATTTCTTATGGGAAATATTACTTCAGTTTTCGCACGTTTCGGATTGACCTTCTGGAACGGATTAATTATGAAATCTGGAGTTCCACTGTATGTGTATATTACTATCTCATTTATTGAACAGTGTATATTTAAATATTACAAAAAACTTCCTGATATGATCCATAATCTCTCTTATTCAAAATAATCCTTGCATGATAGTTTTAGAATTTTAAAAATAAATTCTGACATTTCCATTGTCATTCACTGAGCCATTACTCTCATTCAAGTGAAACAATAGTTGTTTGAAACCTTGGGCAGGAAACTGAAGCATAGTTCAGAGGACCCCCACATCTCACAATACTTAATTTTTTATTATTCACTGAGTGTTACCTCCCATTCTAAAGAACAAGACTTGATAAGGATCTACACACAGCAAAATGTTGTATTAATAAAAACTGTTTCTGCACTATTTCTTTTTTTTTCACTTTTGCTGGCAGAATACTGGATGCAGGAGTTTTATTGTCTTCTAAAAGTTGACAGATTTAACCTTGAATCTCTGTAGTTACATAATGTGTAACATTTTAGGTTTGAAACTATTATGCTCCCAACTATGTTGCCAGGAACATACACTCACATCCTTGATTATATTTTCTGCATAGTGCTCACCACTACCCTTGCTAACTCTGTCTCTTGCACACTTATAGCCCTCACTGGTCTCGGATCTTTGCATATTTCTTTTTTAGCACATCCCGCCCTGCAGCGCTGTATGACCCTTGGGGGTTTAATGTTTAGTTTTCATTGTAATACAGTGGTCCCCCAGTATTCGATGGCATCGGTATCCGTTAAATCTGGTATTTGATACATTTTAACACAAAAATTTTGCCTCGCCACTCGTTAAAAAACCCGCCACACGCGATTCGTCTGAGACGTGTCCACGTGTGGCCTGAACTGCCCCGTGCGTGCCAGTGTTTACAAGCCAGCCAGTGTGCTCGCATCTAAGGATACATTCAGTACATTCCATATTATCAGTGTTTTTGGTGCTTGTTTCTGCAAAATAAGTCACCATGGGCCCCAAGAAAGCTTCTAGTACCAACCCTGTGGTAAAAAGGGTGAGAATTAGTATGGAAATTAAGAAAGATTTTGAAGGGTTTGGGGCTAACCCTGAGAAGCCTATGCCAGTTGTGGAATCCATTGTGCCTACTTCAAAAATTAAGGAAATGTGTGCACAGTGGGTTGAACTGCAAACCTCTATGGATGAAAATCACCCTAACACAGCTATTGCAAGCCATGCTGGTGACTATTACAATGACAGTGTTGTGGCCCATTATAGACAAATCGTAAAGGAACGGGAGGTACAGAGCTCTGTGGACAGATTTGTTGTGCGACAGAGGTTCAGTGACTCTCAAGCTGGTCCTAGTGGCATTAAAAGAAGAAGGGAAGTAACCCCGGAAAAGGACTTGCTACCTCAAGTCCTAATGGAAGGGATTCCCCTTCTAAACAATAAGTTCGACACTCTCCCTCCTCCCATCCCATCAATCATCACCAGATCGTCATTAAAGGTAAGTGTCATGTATTCTATTGTTAGTAGAGTACTACAAACTGTGCATGTCTTCTTCAGTTTGTGTGCATTAAACTTAATATTTCATGTGGTAAAAAAATTTTTTTCATACTTTCGGGTGTCTTGCACAGATTAATTTGATTTCCATTATTTCTTATGGGGAAAATTAATTCGCCTTTCGATAATTTTGGCATACGATGAGCTCTCAGGAACGGATTAATATCGAATACCGGGGGTCCACTGTATTTATAATTGTCTACATGGGGAAGTGGAACAGAATTCTTCCTCTGTAAGCCATGCACATTTTACGAGGCGACTAAAATGCCAGGAGCATGGGGCTAGTAACCCCTTCTGTATACTAAATTTGAAAATAGAAATTTTTGTTTTTCTTTTTGGGTTACTTTGCCTTGGTGGAATGTGGCCGGTTTGTTGAAAAAAAAAATCATAATTGTAGTCATGTAATGTATGTTTGATGACCATCCATTTCACTTGAAGATTCTTACTTAAATGCTCAATCTTCCAGAGTGTGGGCTGTTGGACTATTTTCAGGAAATGATGAATCAGGTTTTGAACACAATAGTACATATGCAGCTATGAGTGTCAGCATAGAACTCACAGACGAAGGTTTCAAGAATGTTGATAAGGTAATTATAAAAGTGTGTAATACAGGTACTCCTCGACTTACAATGGGGTTACGTTCTGATGAACCCATTGTAAGTATTAAATATTGTAAGTTGAATATGTATATGATATGCTAAATAAATAAGTAAATAAATATGTAACTACTGTCACAGAATAAGTAAATAAACAAACAGTTACTGTAACTAACTAAATACCAGTATTGAAAAGGAAAAATGTTTGCAAGTTACAGACTTGTTGCCTTTATGCTGTGTCATTATCCTTAGGTTCATCTCCAAAGTAATTGCTTTTGCACAATCATAAAGTTGAACCATTGTAAGTCAAGGAGCACCTATGCAGATAATTTGTATACAGTAGGGCCCCACTTTTACGGCAGGTTAGGTTCCAGGCTGCTGTCGCAAAGCAAACATTGCTGGAAAGCAGAACGCCATTGTTTCCACTTATAAATGCATATAAATGCCAGATAACAAGTTTACACTAACATATATTAAGTTAGCAATAGAACTAGGCATTAAAAACAATAAAAAGTAAAATACACACACAGTACACTCATTATTTACCTCAAAATATTTGTAGTCTTAATGTAGGGCAGAAGTTGAGTAGTATTTATTGTAAGAAGTCAGGTGTGGGTAGGTATGGTTGCACTCCTGGCCACCCCACCCACATACGTATAATATGCCGTGATGCTTAAAGTGCTCTAGAGTGATAAAATGCATATTCAGTACACTCATTACGTACCTTAAAATATTTGTAGTCTTAATGGTCTTAATGTAGGGTGAGAGGTGAAAAGTATTTATTTGTAGAAAGTCAGGTGTGTGAGGGAGGTAGGGTAACCCGCCTGGCCACCCCACCCACACAGAGTACTATGTAAACAAACGACAAAGCGTCTCGTTGTGGTTCATACGCGTTTATGCAAACACCTTACATTGTGTACAAGTTGTCTCCATGGTGGTACAGTAGAATAAATAAAGACAAACACTTCCATTCTCATGTAACATTTTTAGAAGGAATGATGCTCTGACAAGTTAGTACAGAATAAATAAACAGCAACACTGCCATTCTCATGCAACACCATTTTTAGAGTGAATGAAGATATTATTATTATTATTATTAATCATAATAAAAAAGAAGCACTAAACCCACTAGGGTCGTGAATAGCTATAGATAGAGTGAAGGCATACGAAAGGAGTATTTTTCTGCAGTTAGGTAACGTAATTCTTCTGACTCTCCTACAAACTGCTTGGTAAACAAATCTCATATTTATGTCAATTTTTATACTGTGGGTGTATGTATCATGTTTATATGTTACCTAGCGTGTTCATTACATAATTTTGAAAAAAATGTCATAGATGGATTACTGGAAATGTCTATACAAATGTAATTTAGTGCGCCCAAGAGATTTTTATGATGGCGTCTTCAAAAGTAGAGAGACTGTTAGTGATTTTAATGTGCACCTGCATGCCGGCACAGTGTGTAAGTATATTTAGGTACAGGTACACATAAGTATAATTATCAGAGTATGTACATGTAAAATATGCAATAACTTTAAACACTTTAAATTTTGGAAAATTTTCAGGCATAATAGAGAGATGTGCTCATGGAGAATGTAAAGAAACTGGGTGGGGCGCGCCATACTAGAAAGATCGCTCGCCGTATAGCAAGTTTTGGTCATAATTTGAAATTCCCGTATTAGCAGAATGCTGTAAGGCGAAACACCGTAAAATGGGGCCCTACTGTACACACATGTCCCTTTTAGTGAGGGATGAATGTGTTTCCCCCTTAGGGTTACACTACTGTAGTGTAAATGGCTAATGTGGCAAAACAGTATGTCTCTTTGTACTTGTACCAAAATGTAAATAATGTACACCATTCTTCTCATAATGAACCTTACTTTCAAATTGATTAGTTTGTCTGCTGAACAAAAATTGTTACTCTTGTATAGAATATTTTTACTTTCATTTGCAGGTTTTGTGTGTAGTGTTCCAATATATAGATATGATTCAGAAAGCTGGACCACTTGAAAAAATCTTTAGGGAAATTCAGCAGATGGAACAGTTAAACTTTGACTATGCAGAGGAACTAACAACTATTGAAAATGTTGAAAATCTTTCTGAATCAATGCAATTCTTTCCTCCTGTCGACTACCTCACAGGAGACACCCTGATGACTGATTATAACCCTCAGGTAAGTGAAGAATGTATTTAATATTGCAGTTAATGGTATTTGAATTATGATATCTGCACTTCTGGTAAAATAGCTGATGAATGAGTGATAGTAAATGTGTTTCCTTCTTTTGGGTCGGCTTGCCTAAGTGGGAAAAACCCTATGTGGTAAAAAAAAGTAGATGAGAGATGCTTTCTTATTTTTTGTCTTTATCAGATTTGTTCTTACGGTAGTGAGTAAATTATTTGACTGATGTCTTTTGAATGAAAAGGTGCACCTTTCAGACAAGGTCAGTAGTCAGTGACAAATTGGGTGCCTGTCCCAGATATTCCAAGAATCTTCTACTGTATTTTTATGCGCATCTCTCAAGTTATGTGCCCTTTAAAAGGGACTGAGGGCTTCAGTACTAGTGAAGGCCTCATTATTCAAGAAATTGAAAGTGCCCTTTTCTTCTTTGGATCAAACCTATTTACCACCACTTTCACACTCTTCTGCTCATACTCCACAGCGGCATTCTAGTTTAAGGGGATATTTAAAGTCTCTAGCCTCAGTTTCATTCTCTTTGCTGTGTGTCCATTAAGAGCACCATTGTCAGTGTCCCTTACTATATGTCTTTGGTGCTCTCTGTGGGAATTTTCTTTTGTGTGTGAAAGTACAGACAAGGAAATTCTTACCATTAACGCTTATATTTTGATTATTGTGATAAATATAGGTTGTTGTATCGGGAGAACAGCATAGCTCCATGCTGTTCTCCTGACTCTTTGACTCCTTGTTGGTAGTTTACTCTTGATTTGCAGAATGCTCTCTCCTATAGACATTGGAAGCCTTTAACCCTTCACTTATCTTGGTAATCCAGCAGTAATTTTATGTTATCTCTGTGAGAGAAGTATTTTGGTGATCTAATGTGTATGTCGATATGGAGGATAGACATTCACGTATTCTTCATGGAAGGTGTTTAGATGCCAGTGAGAGGGCTTTTGATCCAAAAAATTGCAGCTACCTTTCCCATGGATCAAATCTCATTATCTGCCATTTACCAAATGCATAACCCCTGTGGGTTTAGCACCTCCTCTTAATGCAATAATAATACTAGGGATCCAGGCATATTATCCCTGCTTTATAACAATTGAATAACCTTAATGTTCACACCAGATTCACTAGAGATAATGGCTGGGAAATGAATAAAAGCAAATATTTCTTGTAGGTTAGCCGGTTAGCTGTACTTGAGTCTTGGATGTGGGCAGTACAGTGCCTGCACTCTAAAGGAGGGGTTAGAGATATTTGCTATTTGGAGGGACATCTAAACTGTTGTATCTGTGCACCTCTTCAAGAGAGTGATAGTGTGAATGATGGTGAAAGTGTTTATATTTTCAGGTCATGCCGCCTTGGTGGGAGACGGTCACCGCATTGAAAAATTCTTGTAAGATATTAATTATTATTTTATTTATTTTTATTGGATATTGGCTGTCATTGTTAATTCCCATTTTTATTACAGATTCTGAAAGAATGTCTTGATTCCTTGATTCCTGAAAATTGCAACATTATAATCAGTTCCAAGACTTTTGATGACCAGAACTTATGTCAACTGACAGAAAAATGGTTTGGAACCAAATATTCTGTAGAAGGTAGGAACATCACTTATGAGTATTTGCCAAACATTTTTAAAAATGGGGTCAGTACGATGGGGGTTCACTTGGTAAACAATGGACTGTGATATCTGTGCCTGTCTAGAAAGGTAGTTAAAGAGTGAGTAATGATGAATGTTTTCTTATTTAGTTCACTATATCCTAGTGGGAAACAACATGAGAAATGAACTTACCTTATATATATAACACATTGTTAGCCATTAATGTGGTATAATGTAACATCATTAGTCATTAATGTGGTGTATATAACATTGTTAGCCATTAATGTGGTATAATTAAGGGATTGTTAGCCATTAATGTGATATACAGCCTCTCCTCACTTAGCGATGTACGTTGTTTACCGACGACTCGGACTTAAGATGGGCTCTTTGACCAGTATGCATACCTAAATAATGTATATTAGAGCTGATTTCCTCTATTCTGTTTATTACAATATACAGTACACTACTCTATAAACATTTAAAAATATACAGAAATGTAATAAATGGTACAAAGATGACATTAAAACAGTATCAAAGATGGTTGACACAAACCCATTACCATTATAGTATGCTCCTCACTTTGCGACGAATTCATTTACCATTGTGGTCTTAGGAATGGAACTTCGTCATTAAGTGAGGAGAGGCTGTGTATATATATATATATGTATAATCCTGTAGGGTAAGGAACGCAGGGTAGGGGTTGTCCTCGAAAATGATGGAGGGAGGGGGTAAAGGAGGCTTTGTGGGCGAGGGGCTTGGACTTCCAGCAGTGTGTGTGAGCGTATTAGATTTTTTTTTGTTTTTTTCAACAAGTCAGCCGTCTCCCACCGAGGCAGGGTGACCCAAAAAAGAAAGAAAATCCCCAAAAAGAAAATACTTTCACCATCATTCAACACTTTCACCTCACTCACACATTATCACTGTTTTTGCAGAGGTGCTCAGAACACAACAGTTTAGAATCTTTCTTCTTCTTTCAACATACCAGCCGTATCCCACCGAGGCGGGGTGGCCCAAAAGAAAAACTAAAGTTTCTCTTTTTAAATTTAGTAATATATACAGGAGAAGGGGTTACTAGCCCCTTGCTCCCGGCATTTTAGTCGTCTCTTACAACTCGCATGGCTTACGGAGGAAGAATTCTGTTCCACTTCCCCATGGAGGTAAGAGGAAATAAACAAGAACAAGAACTAGAAAGAAAATAGAAGAAAACCCAGAGGGGTGTGTGTGTATATATATGCTTGTACATGTATGTGTAGTGTGACCTAAATGCAAGTAGAAGTAGCAAGACGTACCTGAAATCTTGCATGTTTATGAGACAGACAAAAGACACCAGCAATCCTACCATCATGTAAAACAATTACAGGCTTTCGTTGTACACTCACTTGGCAGGACGGTAGTACCTCCCTGGGCGGTTGCTGTTTACCAACCTACTACCTAGAAGTTTAGAATCATATACGTATAAAGATACACAACATATCCCTCCAAACTGCTAATATCCTGAAACCCCTCCTTTAGAGTGCAGGCATTGTACTTCCCATTTCCAGGACTCAAGTCCAGCTATATAAAAATAACCGGTTTCCCTGAATCCCTTCATTAAATATTACCCTGTTCACACTCCAACAGATCGTCAGGTCCCAAATACCATTCGTCTCCATTCACTCCTATCTAACATCCCCTCAAGGAAGGTTCCTTGATGTTGTGAGGGGCTCTTGATTTAGGGAATTGGATCTGTGCTCCAGTTCCCTGAATTAAGCCTGAATGCCTTCCACATCCCTCCCCCAGGTGCTGTATAATCCTCCGAGTTTAGCGCTTCCCCCTTGATTATAATAATAATAATCCTGTCTAACACGCTCATGCACACCTGCTGGAAGTCCAAGCCCCTCGCCCACAAAACCTCCCTTACCCCTTCCTTCCAACCTTTTCGAGGACGACCCCTACCCCTCCTTCCTTCTCCTACAGATTTAAATGCTCTCCATGTCATTCTACTTTGATCCATTCTCTCTAAATGACCAAACCACCTCAACAACCCCTCTTCAGCCCTCTGACTAATATTTTATTAACTCCACACCTTCTCCTAATTTCCACACTCCGAATTTTCTTCATAATATTTACACCGCACATTGCCCTTGGACAGGACATCTCCACTGCCTCCAACCGCCTCCTCGCTGCTGCATTCACAACCCAAGCTTCACACCCATATAAGATGTTGGCAACTACTTATACATGTACCCGCCTCCGTAACAACTTTTTTCATCCATAGTATGTACTCAGGTGCACGTACTGACCATTTTTTCCCATCAAGAATTTGAAGTAGATTAGCCTCATTTCACCCCAAACATACCTACAAACGCACTACAAATACACTACATATGTCCGCAGTGAGTGATCTGAAAGCGGGTCACTGTACTTTCATACATCCTCTTCCCCATTAGATAAACGTTTTTTTGATCCACATATACCTCAGTCACCTTCACCTTTTTTCCTCATATTCTACTGATTCAACCTCATACCTTATAACCATCCCCGACACTCAACTCCCAATACTAAAACATCACTTTCTCATACTCTGAACCTCCCAATTGATATCACATTTTATCTTATCCTAAATATTGATACCTCATCATTACCATTTTCTATTTATTTCACTCTACCTTTAATACACATTCCCAAACTCATCCACAACCTTTGCATTTCTTCTTTTAGAACCTCCCATAAGCACAGTATCATCCAAAAGTAACCTGTGTCAATTCATTTGTATTGATCCCAATTAATCCCACCCTTCCTGAAACCCACATTACTTTTACAACCCATCTGAAATATTTTACACCATCGGTGACATTACACACCCTCTAAACCTACTTTCCGGAATATCTCCCTCTCTTACACACCCTAACCTCTACAGCTATCTATAAAACTTTACAGCATTCAGTATACTTACTACTATTCCAAACTTGCAAATCTGCCACATTGCTCCCCTATCCACTCTATCATATGCCTTTTCTAGATCCATAAATGCAATAAAAACTTCTCTACCTTTATCTAAATACTGTTCACATATATCCTTCAATGTAAATACTTGATCTACACATCCCCTACCCACTCTGAAACCTCCTTGCTCATCCGCAATCTTACATTCTGTCTTACCTCTAATTCTTTCAATTATAACCCTACCGTAGACTTTTCCTGGTATACTCAGTAAACTTATTCCTCTATAATTTTTACAATCTCTTTTGTTCCCCCTTCCCTTTATATAAAGGGACTATACATGCTCTCTGCCAATCCCTAGGTACCTTCCCCTCTTTCATACATTTATTAAACAAAAGTACCAACCACTCCAACACTATATCCCCCCCTGCTTTTAGCATTTCTGTCATGATCCCATCAGTTCCAGCTGCTTTACCCCCTTTCATTCTACGTAATCATGTTAGAAAAAAAAAAATATGTATACATAAAACAGAGCATTAGCCATTATTTTTTCCATTACCATAAGGATTCTATTTTAAATTTAAGGGTTCATACTGTATATATATTCTGCTGTCACATGAGAAAGTACTTACTAAGCAACTAAATCTCATTTCCTTTTACAGATATTCCAAAAGAGTGGGAAGAGCAGTGGGCTAACCTTCCTAGTAATACAGAACTGCACATTCCAGCTCCTAATCATTTCATTCCAAACAATTTTGATTTGTTGACTCCAGAGAAAGAAGTTCCAGAATATCCTGAAAAGTTGTGCCAGGATGAGTGTGGTGAATTATGGTTTCGACAGGACCAGAAATTTAAATTACCTAGGTCCTACTGCTATGTATATCTAATTACTGAGTTGCCTCTGCAGTCTCCCAGATTGTGAGTCAACATTTTTGTATTTGCTACTTTTTAAACTTCTTTATTCAAATTTTGGATAAGGTACATGAAACTTTAATTAATATATGTAGCAGAAGCATTAGCTCAGTGTACCATTTTGGCGTAAAGTTTTATGGGACTAAATATATTTTTTATTTATTTACATAAATGGAGCTTAATTCAGTGAATATGAAATTTGTACTTTTCAACTGACACATTTAATGCATTTGCTTCTCTCAAGGTGGGCTAGATGCTGGTGAAGGGCTCTTGATCTGATGAATTTGAGTTACCCTTCCTTTCCTTGTACAACATCTGATCATTTCCCATTCCTTAGGCACTGTATGACCCTTACAGATTTAGTGCTTCTTCATGACTATTGCACCTGAAGAAACATGTTAAGAAACTGGAGAAAGTGCAAAAGTATACAACAAGACTAGTTCCAGGGCTAAGGGGCATGAGCTATGAAGAGATGCTAAGGGAATTAAATCTAATAACCCTGGAGGACAGAAAGATCAGGAAAGACACAGGTGGGAAACAGGTACTCAGAGGCAGAGCTGAAAGTTAAAGATTCAGATGTGTCACAGATATGTCAGGAAGTATTTCTTCAATCTCAGGGTGGTCAGAAAGTAGAATTACTTCAACAAAGAATTGGTGGAAGCAGACTCTATACATAGTTTTAAGTTTAGGTATGATAGGTCCCACAAGTCTAGGAGAAAGAGAGAGAATCTGGCAGGCAGCAAGTTGAGAGGCAAGGCCAGAGCTAAGACTTAACCCCTGCAACCATATATAGGCAAATGCAGTGATTGAATGAAAAACATCAAATGTGTTTCCTCTTTTTATTTTGGGGGGAGGGGCAGGGAGAGGATCACCATACCTCATTGTGGCCAGTGTAAAGAAAATAAAAATAAAAGAAGAGTGAACAAAAACTAGAGGGGTACATTAGTCCCCTGAATGCTGTGTGTAAAATGTATGAGAAGAAAGGGCTCAAAAACACAAAAAACATCTAAAAGCAAGCAAATGACATTGTTTTAAATTTAAAATGTATTAAATTATTTTTTTACCCATTGCAGAGCAGCTCTTCTAGACTTGTACTTGAACCTGTTTGAGCAGCAAGTAATGGAGGATGCTTATCCGGCTAGTATGGCTCAGTATCAGTATTCCATCAAAGCCACTGAACAAGGGCTTGTTATAAAGATGAATGGATTTAATCAGAAGCTTTCGGTGAGTCAAAATTTTTAATTTGTCTTTTGGGAAATAATAGCAATCATATATGATTTTTTTAAATACTCTTACCAAAAATAAGTATTTAATTTGTTATGTTGTATGAGCTCATGACAGTCCATTCTATCTCTCGATATCTAGAAGAATTCGTAATGTTGGTGTTTTAGACATATTGTAATTGAAATTTTAGGTTCAGTCTACATTTTTTTTTTTTTTTTTCAACAAGTCGGCCGTCTCCCACCGAGGCAGGGTGACGCAAAAAAGAAAGAAAACAATTTTCTTCTTCTTATTCTTTTTAGTAATCTTTACAGGAAAAGGGGTTACTAGCCCATTGTTCCCGGCATTTTAGTTGACTTTTACAACACGCATGACTTACGAAGGAAAGATTCTTATTCCACTTCCCCATGGATATAAAAGGAAAAGTAATAAGACCAAGAACTATTGAGATAAAATCAAAGAAAACTCAGATGAGTGTGTATAAATAAATGTGTACATGTATGTGTAGTGTGACCTAAGTGTAAGTAGAAGTAGCAAGACATGCCTGTAATCTTGCATATTTATGAGACAGACAAAAGACATCAGCAATCCTACCATCATGTAAAACAATCACAGGCTTTCGTTTTACACTCACTTGGCAGGACGGTAGTACCTCCCTGGGTGGTTGCTGTCTACCAACCTACTACCTATTCAGTCTACATATAAATAACAAAATATGCAGCATAGTTCATGTAAACACACATTATTGTATAAAATATTCACCCTAAACTGCTTTTTAAGGAAAAAAATTGCTCAAAATTTAGGTAATGTAATAGTTGAAAATATTTTGTAAAGTTATAAAATGCTTCAAACATTGTATGACTAAATATTATGACTTAAGGATTATCTAATAATTTTACGATACTCAAACTGAGAATGTTAAATCAATATATGACTTGTGAATTTTTGAGAACAAATGACGGGACACAGCAAGTATTCAACTTCTCAGTAACAAAATGGCTCTCGAAATGTTTACTCTTCCTTCTTCCAAAAATTCATCAGTTTTAAAGTACATTCTTTTTGGCAGCAGAGTTAAGGTTGGCCTTGTGGTTGGAGCCATTTTTCTAGTCTGTACAATTTTTTTTTACCTATGCTCAGTTTACATCTAGGGTGGTGAAAAACCATGATATTTGGAGTATTGGAATTCTTCTTTTATTTGAATTTATTTTTTAACACATTAGGTGTTTCCCACTGATGCAGTGTGACCCGAAAAAGAAAAAAACATTTCAACGTTACTCGCTCCAGAGGCATGCTAATACTGCAGTTCAAAAACTGCAACATATCAACATTTTTATTTTTTTCAACAAGTCGGCCGTCTCCCACCGAGGCAGGGTGACCCAAAAAAGAAAGAAAATCCCCAAAAAGAAAATACTTTCATCATCATTCAACACTTTCACCACACTCACACATAATCACTGTTTTTGCAGAGGTGCTCAGAACACAACAGCTTAGAAGCATATACGTATAAAGATGCACAACATATCCCTCCAAACTGCTAATATCCCGAACCCCTCCTTTAGAGTGCAGGCATTGTACTTCCCATTTCCAGGACTAAAGTCCGGCTATATGAAAATAACCGGTTTCCCTGAATCCCTTCACTAAATATTACCCTGTTCACACTCCAACAGATCGTCAGGTCCCAAATACCATTCGTCTCCATTCACTCCTATCTAACACGCTCATGCACGCTTGCTGGAAGTCCAAGCCCCTCGCCCACAAAACCTCCTTTACCCCCTCCCTCCAACCTTTTCGAGGACGACCCCTACCCCGCCTTCCTTACCCTACAGATTTATATGCTCTCCATGTCATTTACATATCAACATATTGTATATTATTGCTAAGATTTCATTTATTTTAGCTTCCTGGAAAGCTTGATGTATTTTGTTTAATGACATAAATAATTGTTCCATTTCTGCATAAACCTTTGGAGTAAGATATTTCTTCCTAAATTTTTCTTATATTTTGTATATTCAGTATATAATTTTTTGTATAATTTGTTGCCTGGTCCATTGTAATTACTGTATGTACCCTTTGTTCACATCTCCCTTAGGGTATTCCTGTATTGCTGACTTGCGACTTTCTGTAGTTGCTTATACTTTTTTGTAAGAAATTTTCAACTATCTTAAATTTACCCCTACAGCAATTATTAGATCTTCTCCTGCATCACATGGAAAGCTTTGAAAATAATCTGAATGAGGAAACTTTCCAGGGAATACGACAGCAGCAAATGAAATCCTACCATAATGCTATTCTCAAGCCATGCATTGTTCGCAAGTGAGTTTAATTTGGATTTGTCACATGTGTAATTCGAGCATTCATTTCCTCATTTTAGGATGATCATCTCTGTTGCTTAATTTAGGCTGAATACAATAAATGACATTACCATTTATCTATCTGTCTGAGATTAATGTCTGTGGTGTGGTATCATGTTTGGACATTACGCTCTTAAAACATGTGTAACTAGATGTATAGTAGGACTCCATCTTATGATGTTAATGTGTTCCTGGAAATTGTTCATAACTCAATTGTTCAGAACTGAAGCCAAGAAAGCAGTGCTTAAGCTTATGTAATAAGGCTAGCAGATTTCTTGGAATTATCAAGAAGTCCAGGGTGTACTACTGCTCAATAAATCATTAGTAAGGCCTCACTGACACTATGTGATTCAGTTCTGATCTCCATACTATTGAATGGATATTCTTCTTCTTTCAACAAACCGGATGTATCCCACCAAGGCAGGGTGGCCCAAAAAGAAAAACAAAAGTTTCTCTTTTACACATTGGGAAGTGTTAATGATAAGTTAGAAAGATATAAGTAAGAAGGGTTGAATTTGAGGAAGACTTGCTAGTATGGGCCAGTAGGCCTGCTGCAGCACTTCTTTATTATTATGTTCTTATTAGGTTCACAAACATTTTTTGCACACATCAAAATAATACCCAATACAGTACTTTAATTTAAAAACATTGCTCTGTTTTCCCTATGAACTAGGATAGACAAAGACTCGCATATCTGGGCTATACCCATTTATACATTGTGGGAGTGAACACTTCATCATTGCTGTATGTTCGAGTTGTGAGCTTAACTTTTTTTTTTCAACAAACTGGCCATATCCCACTGAGGCAGGGTGACCTAAGAAAAAATAATGAAAGTATTTCTTTTTTAAATTTAGTAATTTATACAGAGGAAGGGGTTACTAGTTGGCTTAACATATATTGTAAATAATTCTTTAGCATTTAAGTATCCAGTACATTATAAGTGTCCTTCTCTGCTGTATTTACCCATGTTTTCCTAAGTGGGAGATGGCCGACTTGTTAAAAACAAAAAAATATCTGAATATCTGAAGCTATGTAAAAAAGTTGTCAGTGCTGCATACATAATTCTCATGATTTAATTTATATCATCTTCCAGTGATAATATTTTGTCCACATTAAGATTTTTTTTTTGTTGTAGAGATATTCGCCTTTCTGTTATACAAGAAGTACACTGGACAAGTCACCAAAAACTGCTAGAGATAAAGACTGTAACAAGTAAGGACCTTCTTGAAGAATTTGTATCTAAGCTGTTTCCCAGTTGTCACCTACGAATGCTTGTACAGGTAAGCTTAAGGCCTTCTATGATGATACTCAAATTTATGAGAGATACCTCGAGTTCCTGTTTCTCACCTTTCAAACTTATCCCTGCCTCATCAATTCCCCTGAGTATCTTGTATGTTGTTATCGTGTTTTCCGTTTCTTCCATCCTCCATTGTTGTTAGATTTAATTCCATTAGCCTTTCTTTATAGCTTATGCTCCTTATCTCAGGAACAAGCATAGTTGCATACTTCTGCATGTGTGCTCACATATTTCTACTTGCCTATTTGTGGTTGCAGGGGTTGACTCTCAGATTGTGGCCTTGCCATTTAGCTTGCCTTTCTCCAGATTCACTCCCTTCTAGCCTCATGGGCCCTATCATACTTGGTTTTAAAACTGTGTATGGAGCCTTCCTCCATCACTTCCTTATCAAGATCATTCCACCTCAGTTACTCTGCTGAAGAAATACTTCTTAACATCTCTGTGATTATGTGTGAGTGAGGTGAAAGTGTTGAATGATGATGAAAGTATTTTCTTTTTGGGGATTTTCTTTCTCTTTGGGTCACCCTGCCTCGGTAGGAGACGGCCGACTTGTTGAAAAAAAATAAAAAAAATTCTGTCTTGTGTGTTGTGTATGTGTGAGCATGCATACATGTGTGTGTGTATGGGGGATATGTTTTGTGTACAAAATAATATCTTAAAATTGCTTGTATCTTGAGTTTTTTTTATTTACATAGTTATTTTGGTGCAAGAGACCAGGAATTTCTTCTTTATAGATTTTGCTAATGTGATGAAAACTTATCTAATAATTACTACAATGTTGTCTTTTTATTTTTACCATGAATGGCTATTATTGATGAAGTAAAAGAGTTAATTTAACACAATTTACAATGTTTTTGTTAATTTTCTTGGTTTCCAGGGCAACACCACAGCTTCTCAAGCCATAGATATGTATAAGATGGTGAAAGCCAGAAAAGGGGAATTACTTTCTTTAGAAAAGTATCCACTTTCAAAGGTGAGTGACTCATAATATTTATTGGTATACATCAGTATGTTGCAGTTTAGAAGATCATTTGAATTATATCTGTGCACTTCTGGCAAGACAGCTAGAGAATGAATAAAGGTGAATGCATCTCTTTCATTTGTGAGAATTGGCTGATAAGTTTAAAAATCACTTTTATCTCAATGTGTGCAAGTACTCATCATGTGAGATGCATATTATGTGGTAATGTATGCTGTGTGATAATAGATGTAAAAAAAATGAATGGGAAATTGAACCATGGTCCATACATGTAGCAGGAATGCTGTAACCATGGTTTATTCATTGAAAGCCATTCATTATGATGTACCTTGACTTTAAACACTAAATCTAACCTAGACTAGCTCATTAATGGGACTGTTTTGTGTATTACAACTTGCTTCAGTAAACACACTAATTAATTTTTAAAATGTTTACAAATAAGTTTTGCAGTACAAGTACTTAGAGATATACTTTTTTTTTAAATATGATTTCTATGGACTAAGAACTTTTCCTCATGAAAATTACAATAACTGTCCTAATCTTAATAACATTTCCACACTAATTGCAAATATGTTTGAAAAGAATTTGCAATTCACTGTTGATAAATGGCCTTTGTTAAAAAATTTTCATTGGTTTCACTACTGTATATTACAGTAATACAGCATATTGAATGCTCTTAGCAGTTTCACAGTATTTTTTAAGCCATGACTTAAATATTAAACATGTGTTTAGGTTGTAGCACAAGATTTCATTCTAGTTACGCACTTTGGAATTGTTGAATGGATCCTGGGTAGCTCGAGTGAATGGTTGCAATCCAGCGGACACCAATAGCTCAGTGATCAATTACTACCAGTATAAAGAGGGCAGTCTTATGCTGGAAGTTCTGCTGGAGTTTATTCATGTAAGTATGATTTGTGTAGATTAAAATGGAAGTAAAAACAAATTTCATGATTTTATGGATTGAATGATGTGCTAATTTCTCAGGTGGATAATTCTGGTACAGTAATTGGCACTAATTATGGTACCCTTGAAAACACAATCATTAGTACACTCTACTTAAAATTGTTCCCATGATTACTTATTGATGAGCATTTATTTTTCTGCAGATGGTGATGGATGAACCAGTTTTTGATATTTTGAGAACAAGAGAGCAGCTAGGCTATCATGTTTTCTGCACAAATCACATTACTTTTGGGATTCTTGGGCTGTCTCTTACAGTAAACAGCCAGGCTAACAAGTTCAGGTTAGTTAACCTGTTAACATTACTATTAATATTTGCAATTAAACTACAATTTGAAGATGCATGTGCAGCAACAGAGAATACAAAGATTATCATTCTCTCTACCACAATTTTTTTTTCTGTGATGTTGCTTCGTCCAATACATTATCTTTGGTTTGGTGTAGGTGTAATGGTACCTACTTGACACAGTTTGGTCAAGAAAGGTGGATTTTGATAACACTGTTTCTTGGAGATATGTTCAGATATATATAGGTAGTAGGTTGGTAGACAGCAACCCCGCCCAGGGAGGTACTACCGTCCTGCCAAGTGAGTGTAAAATGAAAGCCTGTAATTGTTTTACATGATGGTAGGATTGCTGGTGTCTTTTGTCTGTCTCATAAATATGCAAGATTACAGGTAAGTCTTGCTACTTCTACTTACACTTAGGTCACACTACACATACATGTACAAGCATATATATACACACCCCTCTGGGTTTTCTTCTATTTTCTTTCTAATTCTTGTTCTTGTTTATTTCCTCTTATCTCCATGGGGAAGTGGAACAGAATTCTTCCTCTGTAAGCCATGCGTGTCGTAAGAGGCGACTAAAATGCCGGGAGCAAGGGGCTAGTAACCCCTTCTCCTGTATATATTACTAAATTTAAAAGGAGAAACTTCAGTTTTTTCTTTTGGGCCACCCCACCTCGGTGGGATACGGCTGGTACGTTGAAAGAAGAATATATAGGTAGTAGGTTGGTAGACAGCAACCGCCCAGGGAGGTACTACCGTCCTGCCAAGTGAGTGTAAAACGAAAGCCTGTAATTGTTTTACATGATGGTAGGATTGCTGGTGTCCTTTTTTCTGTCTCATGAACATGCAAGATTTCAGGTACGTCTTGCTACTTCTACTTACACTTAGGTCACACTACACATACATGTACAAGCACATATATACACACCCCTCTGGGTTTTCTTCTATTTTCTTTCTAGTTCTTATTCTTGTTTATTTCCTCTTATCTCCATGGGGAAGTGGAACAGAATTCTTCCTCCGTAAGCCATGCGTGTTGTAAGAGGCGACTAAAATGCCGGGAGCAAGGGGCTAGTAACCTCTTCTCCTGTATATATTACTAAATGTAAAAGGAGAAACTTTCATTTTTCCTTTTGGGCCACCCCACCTCGGTGGGATACGGCCGGTGTGTTGAAAGAAAGAAAGAAAGTTCAGATATATTTTATTTTTTTAATAGTGATTTGTTCCAGTGACCTCAGAGGTGTCTAACAGGTGATCTTGTATATGGGTGAAATTCTGCTGCATATTATTTGGGTATTAACATAAGAACATAAGAATGGAGGAACACTGCAGAAGGCCTACTGGCCCATGCGAGGCAGGTCCAGGGAATGGACAGCTGACGGATAATGAACTGGAAATGTGTTCCTTATTTAATGACTATTTTTTGTCAGTTTTTACACAGGAAGATGTAAATGAGATTCCAGTAATTAACAATTATTTAGTTCCTGATGAATTTAAGTTAACTAATATTACTGTCACGAGGGACATGGTTATTAAACAGATAGACAAACTGAAGCAAAATAAGTCCCCGGGACCCGATGAGTTGTTTTCCAGGGTACTTAAGGAATGCAAGATGGAGCTTAGTCAGCCATTAACGAGTGTATTCAATGCGTCCATCCTTACCGGTGTTGTGCCAGAGTTGTGGAAGATGGCTAATGTGGTTCCTATATTCAAATCAGGGGATAAGTCCACTCCTTCAAATTACCATCCAATAAGCCTGACATCTATAGTGGGCAAGTTATTAGAATCAATTATAGCTGACATTATCAGAAGTCACCTTGAAGAGCATAACTTGATAAATGAATCTCAGCATGGATTCACGAGAGGTCGTTCCTGCCTGACAAACTTACTGACGTTCTTCAATAGAACATTTGAGGCAGTTGACAGTGATAAGGAATATGATATTGTTTATTTGGATTTTAGTAAAGCCTTCGATAGAGTACCTCACAAGAGACTCTTAAGAAAAGTGGCAGCTCATGGTATAGGAGGTAAAGTTCTAGCATGGATTGAGGCATGGCTTACCAATAGAAAGCAGAGAGTTACCATTAATGGAGTGAAATCTGAATGGGGATTAGTCACTAGTGGCATTCCACAAGGATCAGTTTTAGGCCCTCTCTTGTTCATAATTTACATTAATGACCTTGATGAAGGGATTACGAGTGACATGAGTAAATTTGCTGATGATACAAAGATAGGCCGTATAATTCACTCTGAGGAGGATATCAATGAACTCCAGGACGATTTGGACAAATTAATGTCTTGGTCTGAAAAATGGCAGATGAAGTTCAATGTGGATAAGTGTAAGGTACTTGTAGATGAATGGTTCAGAGAACCGACATGTTGATAAATTAGACACATGTGCAACTCTTGGGTATCTTGGTAATGAAAATAACCCTCGAAGCTATAATCTAGGTGAAGTAGAGCTTGATCATACAGAATGTGAAAAAGACTTGGGAGTCATGGTAAGCAGAAATCTAAAGCCAAGACAGCAGTGCCTTAGTGTGCGCAACAAGGCCAACAGATTACTTGGATTTATCTCAAGAAGTATAAATAACAGAAGTCTGAAAGTTATTTTACAGCTCTATACATCACTAGTGAGGCTTCATTTAGATTATGCTGCTCAGTTTTGGTCCCCTTACTACAGGATGGATATAGACTCATTAGAGAACATACAGAGAAGAATGACTCAAATGATTTACTGTGTAAGAAACCTCCCGTATGCAAAGTATTATTGTGCATGACCTCTGAAAAGGTTTATTATACAGACAGAATTTAGTGGTATAGCTGAGCATTGATTATCTGGGAATCACCTGGGGTCTTTTTCATACAGAACATCAGAAAGATAACCACAGTATGAGTGGGGTTAGAACCCATGGCAAGTGAGTTGCAAAACTCCAGGCCAGTGCATAAGCCACTTACCATGGGTTCTAACCCCATTCATACTGTGTTTTGTTTGCATTCATGTTATTATGATTTTGTGAGTCTTGAATCTGAAAGATAATGTGAAAAAAGGTAATGCAAGCAATAGAGACCATAAAAAAATTTTGTTATTAGTGTTTTTGAAAATCTAGCAGAAATTTTCCCATGCCTGGAATGTTCTGCATGACCTTGTACTGTATGCGTTCATTCAGGTGTCGCCCATTTCTGTATAAATAATGTATTGTGTGGAAATAAACTTGAATTTGAATGTTGGATAATCAGTGATTTACAGTGTGTATCTGAAATTTCAAATTTTTCCAGAACATCTAATAAATTTTGGGGAATTTTGCTATATTTAAATTCTGAAGAGTGCATAATTAGGGGCAGTATATCACAATATTAAAAAAAAAGTGCCAGTTAAAAAATCTAGGGCTAGATTGTATCTGTTAGAAACTTTTGATGTTAATATCTTCAGGGGTGTCTAAAAAAAGAAAATTGATAAAATGAAAATAAAAAATAAAATTAATTAAACCCCCCTGATACATTACTAAATTTTAAAGAGAGACTTTTTCGTTTTTCTTATTGGGCCACTATGCTTGGGGTGGGATATGGCCGTTGTTTTTATTAATAAAAAATAATAAATGCATTTTTTTTTTTTCAAACAAGTCTTTTGTCTCCCACCAAAGGCAGGGGACCCAAAAAAGAAAGAAAATCCCCCAAAAAGAAAAGCTTTTCATCTCATTCAACCTTTCACCACACTCACACATTATCACTTTTTTTGCAGAGGCACCAGAATACAAATTTTAGAAGCATATACGTATAAAGAAAAACCCAGTCCCTCCAAACTCCCAAATATCCCAAATCCCCCCTTTAAAAAGTGAAAGGCTTTGACTTCCCATTTCCAGGATCAAGTCCGATATATAAAATAACCTTTTCCCTGAATCCCTTCCTAAAAACCCTCTCACCCCAACAGATCGTCGGCCCCAAGTCCATTCGTCTCCTTTCACCCAATCTAACAGCTCACGCACGCTGCTGGAAGTCCAAGCCCCTCCCCCACAAAACCTCCTTTACACCCTCCTCCAACCCTTTCCAGGACGACCCCTACCCCCCCTTCCTTTCCCCCAAAATTTTATATCTTCCAGTCATTCTACTTAAAATGCATATAAAAAATAATTCCCTTAATCCTTTTGAACAGAGTTACTTCATTAAATATGTCCCTAATGTTTTTTTTAATTTATTATTATTCACACGGGCCGATTCCCCCCAAGGGGCAGGGGCCCGAAAAAGAAAACTTTCACCATCATTCACCCTCACTGTCTTTCCAAAAGGGTGCTTAAAACCCACAGTTTTTTTAAAAATGCAACATTAACACCCCTCCTTCAGAGGCAGGGACGTACGTCCCATCTCCGGACTCAATCCGGCCTCCCGGTTTTTTCCCTGAAACCCCTTTAAAAATTTACTTTGCTCCCAAACCCCAAAAGCACGTCAAATATTTAAAAAACCCTTTGTCTCCATTCATCCTATCAAACACGCTCACGCATGCCCCGCGGGAAATCCAAGCCCCTCGCACACAAACCTCCTTTTTCCCCCCCCCCCAACCTTTTTCCCAGGGCCAACCCCTACCCCCCCCTTCCCTTTCCCCTACAGACTTACATCTTGAAATCACTCTGTTTCGCTCCATTCTCTCTACATGTCCGAAACCCCCTCAACAACCCTTCCTCCCCTTGGCAAAAAGTTTTGGTAATCCCCCCACCTCCTCCTAATTTCCAAACTACGAATTCTCTGCATTATATTCACACCACACATTGCCCTCAGACATGACATCTCCACTGCCTCCAGCCTTCTCCTCGCTGCAACATTCATCACCCATGCTTCACACCCATATAAGAGCGTTGGTAAAACTATACTCTCATTCATTCCCCTCTTTGCCTCCAAGGACAAAGTTCTTTGTCTCCACAGACTCCTAAGTGCACCACTCACCCTTTTCCCCTCATCAATTCTGTGATTCACCTCATCTTTCATTTCAAATTCAAATTCAAAGTTTATTCTCTATAATGATTACAATGTTGAATTTACAGAATTTGGTTGTTGTGTGGTTTACATGTAGTTAAATAACGATTACAGAGTGTACCACTAGAACGCCTAGCATGGCTAGGCATTTCGGGCAGACTTAGTTTAATTCTTTATTTTAAAATATTACAAATATGAGGTAATTGGTATTATGGCTAAGTGACTAAATACTAGTTTGTGAGTTTAGCAATGTGAATGCTTTTGTTTTGGCACAGTACATAGTTTCAGTATTGGAGTATCAAGGATTCATTATTTTAAGACTGAGATTAATATTTCTGTTTATGGTCAAATGGGTGAGTGAGTGTAAGTGTGAACCACCAGGTGGTATTCGTGTAGTTAGTTGATGGGGTTTTTTCAGGAGATAAGATGTTCTCTAATGGTAGTTTTGAAGGTGATGAATGTGTCTGCAGTTCTAGAGTTCTCAGGTAGGGTGTTCCAGATTTTAGGGCCTTTGACATACATTGAATTTTTGTAAAGGTTTGGTCGGACATGGGGAATGTTGTAGAGATGTTTGTGTCTGGTGTTATGTCTGTGGGTTCTGTCACAACTATCAAGAAAGCGTTTTAGGTCAAGGTTGATATTGGAGTTTAAGGTCCTGTAGATGTAGATTGCACAGTAGTAAGTGTGGATGTACTGAACAGGGAGTAAGTTTATCTGAATACATTTTATCCTGCCAAGTGAGTGTAAAACTAAAGCCTGTAATTGTTTTACATAATGGTGGGATTGCTGGTGTCCTTTTTTGTCTCATAAACATGCAAGAATGGAGCGAAACAGAATGACTTCAAGAGTGTATCAGTCTGTAGTGGAAGGAAGGCGGGGTAGGGGTTGGCCTAGGAAGGGTTGGAGGGAGGGGGTAAAGGAGGTTTTGTGTGCGAGGGGCTTGGACTTCCAGCAGGCGTGTGTGAGCGTGTTTGATAGGAGTGAATGGAGACGAATGGTTTTTAATACTTGACGTGCTGTTGGAGTGTGAGCAAAGTAACATTTATGAAGGGGTTCAGGGAAACCGGCAGGCCGGACTTGAGTCCTGGAGATGGGAAGTACAGTGCCTGCACTCTGAAGGAGGGGTGTTAATGTTGCAGTTTAAAAACTGTAGTGTAAAGCACCCTTCTGGCAAGACAGTGATGGAGTGAATGATGGTGAAAGTTTTTCTTTTTCGGGCCACCCTGCCTTGGTGGGAATCGGCCAGTGTGATAATAATAAATAAACATGTAAGGTTTCAGGTACGTCTTGCTACTTCCGCTTACACTTAGGTCACACTACACATACATGTACAAGCATATACATGTATATATATATATACACCCCTCTGGGTTTTCTTCTGTTTTCTTTCTGGTTCTTGTTCTTGTTTATTTCCTCTTATCTCCATGGGGAAGTGGAACAGAATTCTTCCTCCGTAAGCCATGCGCATTATAAGAGGCGACTACAATGCCAGGAGCAAGGGGCTAGTAACCTCTTCTCCTGTATAAATTACTAAATTTAAAAAGAGAAACTTTTGTTTTTCTTTTTGGGCCACCCTGCCTTGGTGGGATACGGCCGGTTTGTTGAAAAAAAAAATATGTGCAATGATTATTATGTCTTTTATGTACTATTACCTGGAGTTTACCTGGAGAGAGTTCCGGGGGTCAACGCCCCCGCGGCCTGGTCTGTGACCAGGCCTCATGGTGGATTAGGGCCTGATCAACCAGGCTGTTACTGCTGGCTGCACACAATCCAACGTACGAACCACAGCCCGGCTGGTCAGGTACCGACCTTAGGTGCTTGTCCAGTGCCTGCTTGAAGACAGCCAGGGGTCTGTTGCTGATTCCCCTTATGTATGCTTGGAAGCTTGCCAGAAATGTTTTGCATAACCAAGGGCTTTCCATGGATATTATCAAATGTTATCCAATCTTGTAAAACTATGTACCATATCTTGTGGAAATAAAAGTTGTTTGTTAAAATAGTTATAATACTATTCTAGTAAAGCAAACTATTATTTAGGTTTTCATTTTTGTAGCTACTTCTCTGTATCTTAATTTTTTTTTTCAACAAACTGGCCATTTCCCACTGAGGAGTGTGACCTGAAAAGAAATATGAAAATTTCTTTTTTTGAATTTAGTAATGTATACAGGAGAAGGGGTTACTAGCTCCTTGCTCTCTGTATCTTAATTATCGTATATTATATACTTTATCTGTCTTTAGTAAAAAATTTCATGTCTTTTTCCTGATACAGTGTTGCCCATGTTGATGAGAGGATTGAAGCGTTCCTACAGAAGTTTGTGGATATTGTGAAGAACATGATGGCTAGTGAGTTATCAGAACTTAAGGAGACACTCACCAGTATGAAACAGACCATTGATTTGACACTGAGTGAAGAAGTTGAGAGGAACTGGAATGAAATTGTGAATGAGGAATACATCTTTAACCGACTGAAAAGACAGGTACTGTATTATCCTGTATTTTAATGATATGTATATAATTTTTCTCTTTATTCTTGTGTTTGTAATGGTTACCATCATTACTTAATGATGTGCATGTATGTTTTGAGGTCAAAAATGTATTTTAAAGATCATGTTGATCAAGGAGCTTAGCTCTGTTCTTTGTGCTGCAAAGAACAGAGCTATATTACAGCAGAAAACTACATAATTTTCTGCTGTAATATAGACTGGTTAGACTTCATCTTAGATGGGCATTATCTTAACTAAAATAAACTTCAATAAAATCATCAATAATCATAATTAGTTAGGATTGGCATGCTTCTGGCAAGACAAAGATGGAATGAGTGATGATGAAAGTGTTTTTTTCTTTTTCGGGTCACCCTGCCTTGGTGGGAAATGGCTGATATGTTAAAAAAAAAAAATGGTTAGGATTATCGTTGTGCAGGGTAAAAGTGCTAGGGGCTTTGTTTTCCTGTTCATTATTCAAGCATTATACAAAAATCACACATAAGATATTTGATTGATCAGGCAATGATAATTATGAAGTTCTGTTACAGATTGAGTTGATTAAAGACATTACACACAAGTCTGTCATTGAGTGTGTACAGGACATTATATCAAGCAAAGACAACCCAGGATATAAAAAACTGAGTGTACAAGTTGTAGGTGCTTCAAAGCCTGAGGATGGAACTCCGCCATCGTTGGAGAATCTACTGGGTAAGCGTTTACATGTTTAATAAAGCTATAATTTTTAAGGCCCTTCATTTCTACAGTGGAGTTTTAGTAATTTCACATCCATTCGTTGTTGGGGTTTACTTGACGTTGATTCCTGGGGTCACTACCCTTGTAGCCCATCAGTAGAGATACCTTAAGTGTTACACATGTGTCTTTACCATCAACTTGTCAGCATTATATACTATTTATATTATACAGGCATCATGGTATATCCATTCACAAAATAAGTTACCAGGTTTGTTACTTCAGTGGTGGAATTATTTTTTTTTGCATACCTTTTCAAACTCTCTTACTAGTCTTTGTAACCTCTTTAAAGATTTTCCCAATAACATTGTTCTCTTCCAACAGCATCTGTGAGAGTGTACTCGAAATCAGTTTTTTTTTTATCTTTTATGACTGCACCTCTTCCAAGCTCACTGGGCATAGAGTTAACCATGACATCCTTGCTATAGGCAGCATTTTAAAATAAAAATGCTAATCATGTTAAGAAACATTAAAAAATGAATATAACTAAAAAATATAGAAAAAAGATAAGTTACCTCTGTATAATGTGCTTAAGTGCACTTTTTTTTAGCTTCAGTAATCATTGCTAGTCATGTTGCATAACTTCTAAATACTGTATATTGTAACATGCACAAAATATGCTTTATTTGTTTTTTCAAGTGTATGATGTATTTACACTATACATTGGTTATCATGTGGCATGTTTTACCATGTGTTATTCTTTGAAGCAAGTTGAAGGAAAATAAAAATTTTGATGCTTTCCATTTGCACACTTATTGGCAGTCTCACAACGTGAATCTCGTAGATTTATTTGCAGTTTGCTCACATTTACTTTTTTAATTTTTGTCTTTTTCTCTGAATTTGTGAATTTCATTTTTTTTAACCATATCTAAGTATTGCTTGATCATATAGTTCAGTTGAATCACTTGATCCAGTACTGTAATTTTTGTTTACACTCTCTGTATCTAGCAAATGGTTCAGTCATAACAGTACTTTTTATTTTTCTTGCAAGATGAGGACTGCTCTGTAGATGGCTCCAGGAATCATTGCCCCTGTGACCTAGTCTCAGACCAGGCCTAGTCATTGATCCCCTGATCAGTCATGCTGTTAGTGCTTGCTGCTTCGTTCACACAGGCACCACAGACTAGCTGATTAACTTTTTTTTTTTTCAGGATATTGCCAAATTTTCTCTGGAAGAAAGACAGTAAACTTTTCTTAAATTTCCCTATATACATGAGAAATGTTTTTGTATAATCTGTTATACCTTCCAGCAGGCGTGCGTGAGCATGTTCAATAGGAATGAATGGACACGAATGGTATTTGGGACCTGACGATCTGTTGGAGTGTGAGCAGGGTAATATTTAGTGAAGGGATTCAGGGAAACCGGTTATTTTTATATAGCCGGACTTGAGTCCTGGAAATGGGAAGTACAATGCCTGCACTCTAAAGGAGGGGTTTGGGATGTTGGCAGTTTGGAGGGATATGTTGTGTATCTTTATACGTATATGCTTCTAAACTGTTGTATTCTGAGCGCCTCTGCAAAACAGTGATTATGTGTGAGTGAGGTGAAAGTGTTGAATGATGATGAAAGTATTTTCTTTTTGGGGATTTTCTTTCTTTTTGGGTCACCCTGCCTCGGTGGGAGACAGCCGACTTGTTAAAAAAAAAAAAAAAAAAATTTCATCACAGCATCAACATGATACAGTAATGCAAAAAGTTTCATGTACTGTACTCTATATTTAATTTTTACCTTTTTAATGTCAACTTCTTTACAGGACAATCAAATGTTGTGCAGCTGCTGGGGCCAAATGAAGATGACTCAGACAGAAATTTTCCACCAGATCATTTCATCACAGATATTGCTAGCTACAAAAAACAACTCAAGCTGTACCCCATAACAAAAATTTGTTAACACTGTTGTATTGGCCTGGTCCCAGGTCAGGTTGTGAGGGGTAGAAAAACTTTTAATCAGTCACAGGAATATCACAGAACTTTTATCAGACAAAATATTCATATTTGTTGCTATGGGGCTCAATTACTGGTAACTAAAATTGAATGTGTAATAACAGTGAATACATTGAGTTAAATACATTTTACAAGGACTGAAAATATAAAGCAAGTACTAAATATGTTACCTTTTTAATGATGTCTTTAATTTGTTATGTACGTTGCACTTTAAAAATTAAAGAAAATACTTATCCTTTTATTATTATTACACTCATGGGGAAGCACTAAATCCATACGGATCATAGAGCACCTAGGAAGCATTCAGGTTTAATACAAGGAATGGGTGCACAGGTCCAGTTCCTTGGATTGAAAGCCATGCACTGACTTCAAGGAACCTCCCTTAAGGGGTTGTCTTTTTATATTATTCTTGAATAGAATGTTCTACAGACATTACAGTGGATAAGCTAGAATACGTGAAATATATTAGCATATTTATGTTGTAAAAAAAGTAGTAGGTTGGTAGACAGCAACCACCCAGGGAAGTACTACCGTCCTGCCAGATGACTGTGAAACAAAAACCTGTAACTGTTTTGCATGATGGTAGGATTGCTGGTTTCTTTTTCTGTCTCATAAACACGCTAAGATAACAGGGATATCTTGCTACTCCTACTTACACTTTGGTCACACTTCACAGACACGCACATGCATATAATATATACATACATCTAGGTTTTTCTCCTTTTTCTAAATAGCTCTTGTTCTTTTTTTATTTCTTCTATTGTCCATGGGAAGTGGAAAAGAATCTTTCCTCCGTAAGCCTGCGTGTCGTATGAGGCGACCTAAAATGCCGGGAGCAATGGGCTAGTAACCCCTTCTCCTGTATACAATTACTAAAAAAAGAGAAGAAGAAAAACTTTAAAAAACTGGGTTGCTTAAATGTGCGTGGATGTAGTGCGGATGACAAGAAACAGATGATTGCTGATGTTATGAATGAAAAGAAGTTGGATGTCCTGGCCCTAAGCGAAACAAAGCTAAAGGGGGGTTTAGGAGATTTTTCAGTGGGGGGAAATAAATGGGATTAAATCTGGAGTATCTGAGAGAGTTAGAGCAAAGGGAAGGGGTAGCAGAAATTTTAAATGATCGTTATGGAAGGAGGAAAAGAGAATATGAATGTGTAAATTCAAGAATTATGTGGATTTAAAGTAAAGGTTGGATGCGAGAAGTGGGTCATAATAAGCGTGTATGCACCTGGAGAAGAGAGGAATGCAGAGGAGAGAGAGAGATTTTGGGGGATGTTAAGTGATGTATAGGAGCCTTTGAACCAAGTGAGAGAGTAATTGTGGTAGGGGATTGAATGCTAAAGTAGGAAGAAACTTTTAGAGAGGGTGTGGTAGGTAAGTTTGGGGTGCCAGGTGTAAATGATAATGGGAGCCCTCTTTTATTGAACTTTGTTTTAGAAAGGGGTTAGTTATAGGTAATTTCTATTTTAAGAAAAAGAGGATAAATAAGTATACACGATATGATGTAGGGCGAAATGACAGTAGTTTGTTGGATTATGTATTGGTAGATAAAAGATGTTGAGTAGACTTCAGGATGTACATGTTTATAGAGGGGCCACAGATATATCAGATCACTTTCTGTTGTAGCTACACTGAGAGTAAAAGGTAGATGGGATAAAGGAGAATAGAAGCATCAGGGAAGAGAGAGGTGAAGGTTTATAAACTAAAAGAGGAGGCAGTTAGGGTAAGATATAAACAGCTATTGGAGGATAGATGGGCTAATGAGAGCATAGGCAATGGGGTCGAAGAGGTATGGGGTAGGTTTAAAAATGTAGTGTTAGAGTGTTCAGCAGAAGTTTGTGGTTACAGGAAAGTGGGTGCAGGAGGGAAGAGGAGCGATTGGGTGGAATGATGATGTAAAGAGAGTAGTAAGGGAGAAAAAAGTTAGCATATGAGAAGTTTTTACAAAGTAGAAGTGATGCAAGGAGGGGAAAAGTATATGGAGAAAAAGAGAGAAGTTAAGAGGGTGGTTTAAGCAATGTAAAAAGAGGCAAATGAGAGAGTGGGTGAGATGTTATCAACAAATTTTGTTGAAAATAAGAAAAAGTTTTGGAGTGAGATTAACAAGTTAAAAAAGCCTAGAGAAAAAAATGGATTTGTCAGTTAAAAAAAGGAGAGGAGAGTTATTAAATGGAGAGGGTTTGAGGTATTTGGGGAAAATGGAAGGAATATTTTGGGGGAATTGTTAAATGTTGATGAAGATAGGGAAGCTGTGATTTTGTGTATAGGGCAAGGAGGAATAACATCTTGTAGGAGTGAGGAAGAGCCAGTTGTGAGTGTGGGGGGAAGTTCGTGAGGCAGTAGGTAAAAATGAAAGGGGGTAAGGCAGCGGATTGAAAGGGATAAAGATAGAAATGTTAAAAGCAGGTGGGGATATAGTTTTGGAGTGGTTGGTGCAATTATTTAATAAATGTATGGAAGAAGGTAAGGTACCTAGGGATTGGCAGAGAGCATGCATAGTTCCTTTGTATAAGGCAAAGGGGATAAAAAAGAGTGCAAAAATTATAGGGGGATAAGTCTGTTGAGTGTACCTGGTAAAGTGTATGGTAGAGTTATAATTGAAAGAATTAAGAGTAAGACGGAGAATGGATAGCAGATGAACAAGGAGGCTTTAGGAAAGGTTAGGGGGTGTGTGGACCAGGTGTTTTACAGTGAAACATATAAGTGAACAGTATTTAGATAGGCTAAAGAGGTCTTTGTGGCATTTATGGATTTGGAAAAGGCGTATGACAGGGTGGATAGGGGGGCAATGTGGCAGATGTTGCAAGTGTATGGTGTGTAGGAGGTAGGTTACTGAAAGCAGTGAAGAGTTTTTACGAGGATAGTGGAGGCTCAAGTTAGAGTATGTAGGAAAGAGGGAAATTTTTTCCCAGTAAAAGTAGGCCTTAGACAAGGATGTGTGATGTCACCGTGGTTGTTTAATATATTTATAGATGGGGTTGTAAGAGAAGTAAATGCGAGGGTCTTGGGCAAGAGGCGTGGAGTTAAAAGATAAAGAATCACACACAAAGTGGGAGTTGTCACAGCTGCTCTTTGCTGATGACACTGTGCTCTTGGGAGATTCTGAAGAGAAGTTGCAGAGATTGGTGGATGAATTTGGTAGGGTGTGCAAAAGAAGAAAATTAAAGGTGAATACAGGAAAGAGTAAGGTTATGGGATAACAAAAAGATTAGGTGATGAAAGATTGAATATCAGATTGGAGGGAGAGAGTATGGAGGAGGTGAACGTATTCAGATATTTGGGAGTGGACGTGTCAGCAGATGGGTCTATGAAAGATGAGGTGAATCATAGAATTGATGAGGGAAAAAGAGTGAGTGGTGCACTTAGGAGTCTGTGGAGACAAAGAACTTTGTCCTTGGAGGCAAAGAGGGGAATGTATGAGAGTATAGTTTTACCAACGCTCTTATATGGGTGTGAAGCGTGGGTGATGAATGTTGCAGCGAGGAGAAGGCTGGAGGCAGTGGAGATGTCATGTCTGAGGGCAATGTGTGGTGTGTGAATATAATGCAGAGAATTCGTAGTTTGGAAGTTAGGAGGAGGTGCGGGATTACCAAAAACTGTTGTCCAGAGGGCTGAGGAAGGGGTTGTTGAGGTGGTTCGGACATGTAGAGAGAATGGAGCGAAACAGAATGACTTCAAGAGTGTATCAGTCTGTAGTGGAAGGAAGGGGGGTAGGGGTCGGCCTAGGAAGGGTTGGAGGGAGGGGGGGGTAAAGGAGGTTTTGTAGTGCGAGGGGCTTGGACTTCCAGCAGGCATGCCGTGAGCGTGTTTGATAGGAGTGAATGGAGACAAATGGTTTTTAATACTTGACGTGCTGTTGGAGTGTGAGCAAAGTAACATTTATGAAGGGATTCAGGGAAACCGGCAGGCCGGACTTGAGTCCTGGAGATGGGAAGTACAGTGCCTGCACTCTGAAGGAGGGGTGTTAATGTTGCAGTTTAAAAACTGTAGTGTAAAGCACCCTTCTGGCAAGACAGTGATGGAGTGAATGATGGTGAAAGTTTTTCTTTTTCGGGCCACCCTGCCTTGGTGGGAATCGGCCGGTGTGATAATAAAATAAAAAAATTATGTTGTAAAGTAAGATGACAACAAGAAAGTACAGAGAGTAGAGAAAAAAAATAATTGTGAGAGGAGTGTGAATACAGTATGAAGAAATTGTAACACACCACCATACACTGTGAATGTAGCCAGAGAAGCAAACTCAGTGTGAGAATGAATTGGCTTCTAATTTACAAACTCCGTGATAGTGCTGCTGTAGGTAAAGAAAGTCACTAGGTCTATTACCTATCCTCTCATGTTCCCAAACTGGTGAGGGGATCTTGATCTAAAACACTAGACTTACCTTCCCTTTCCTTGGATCAAACTTGACTACCTCTTATTCGCCGGGTGCTATATGAACCCTATGGGTTTAGCACTCCATTAAAATTAAATGTACTTTAAGTTAATCAAGAAAGTAATGGAAGATTGGCAAAAGTAAAACATATGCATGTATTATTATTATTATAATCAAGGGGGAAGCACTAAACCCGTAGGATTATACAGTGCCTGTGGGGGATGTGGAAGGTATTTAGGTTTAATTCAGGAAACTGGAGCACATATCCAATTCCCTAGATCAAGAGCCCCTCACCAGCATCAAGGAACCTTCCTTGAGGGGCCTATGTGTCTATTACAAGTAATTTTAGAATTAAAAAAGCTTCATTTTTTTTGTGAGGATTGTCAGGTTGCTTTTAAATAAAAAAATTTTGATTGCTTGTGCAGTTCATCAGAGCACACCAACTCCATCTGAGGCCTTCTCTAACACCCTGACATGCTTGCCCTGTCTGCTCTCCTCACAGCCCTACCTTTGCTTGAATTTCCTGACTGATACTGTTTTAATTCAGTTGTAACTACAATCTTATAATTATTATTATTTTAAGTGCTAAACCCACAAGGTGGTCATATAGCACTGCACCATCCTTTAAGCTGTTGTCCTTTCCTAGACACTTGCCTCTCATATCCACCCACTTTTATCCTTCTGTGCAGCACTTTATGACTTTTTTATCACAACCAAGTGCTAAACCATAAGGGTCATACATTTTAAATTCCTGTTAAGTGGTAAATTCTTGTGGGTTATTCAGTACTGCTGTATTTTTTATTATTATTATAATCACAGGGAAGCGCTAAACCCATAGGATTATACAGCGTATGTGGGAGGGATGGAAGGTATTCATTATTATTTTTTTTTTTTTTTTTTTTCAACAAGTCGGTCGTCTCCCACCGAGGCAGGGTGACCCAAAAAAGAAAGAAAATCCCCAAAAAGAAAATACTTTCATCATCATTCAACACTTTCACCACACTCACACATTATCACTGCTTTTGCAGAGGTGCTCAGGATACAACAGTTTAGAAGCATATACGTATAAAGATACACAACATATCCCTCCAAACTGCCAATATCCCAAACCCCTCCTTTAAAGTGCAGGCATTGTACTTCCCATTTCCAGGACTCAAGTCCGACTATATGAAAATAACCGGTTTCCCTGAATCCCTTCACTAAATATTTCCCTGCTCACACTCCAACAGATCGTCAGGTCCCAAGTATCATTCGTTCTCCATTCACTCCTATCTAACACGCTCATGCACGCTTGCTGGAAGTCTAAGCCCCTCGCCCACAAAACCTCCTTTACCCCTCTCTCCAACCCTTTCGAGGACGACCCCTACCCCTCTTTCCTTCCCCTATAGATTTATATGCTTTCATGTCATTCTACTTTGATCCATTCTCTCTAAATGACCAAACCACCTCAACAACCCTCTTCTGCCCTCTGACTAATGCTTTTATTAACTCCACACATTCTCCTAATTTCCACACTCCGAATTTTCTGCATAATATTTACACCACACATTGCCCTTAGACAGGACATCTCCACTGCCTCCAACGTCTCCTCGCTGCTGCATTTACCACCCAAGCTTCACATCCATATAAGAGTGTTGGTACTACTATACTTTCATACATTCCCTTCTTTGCCTCCATAGATAACGTTTTTGACTCCACATATACCTCAACGCACCACTCACCTTTTTTTCCCTCATCAATTCTATGATTAACCTCATCCTTCATAAATCCATCCGCCGACACGTCAACTCCCAAGTATCTGAAAACATTCACTTCTTCCATACTCCTCCTCCCCAATTTGATATCCATTTTTTCTTTATCTAAATCATTTGATACCCTCATCACCTTACTCTTTTGTATGTTCACTTTCAACTTTCTACCTTTACACACATTCTCAAACTCATCCACTAACCTTTGCAATTTTTCTTTAGAATCTCCCATAAGCACAGTATCATCAGCAAAAAAGTAACTGTGTCAATTCCCATTTTGAATTTGATTCCCCATAATTTAATCCCACCCTCTCCCGAACACCCTAGCATTTACTTCTTTTACAACCCCATCTATAAATATATTAAACAACCATGGTGACATTACACATCCTGTCTAAGACCTACTTTTACCGGGAAGTATTCTCCCTCTCTTCTACACACCCTAACCTGAGCCTCACTATCCTCATAAAAGCTCTTTACAGCATTTAGTAACTTACCACTATTCCATAAACTTGCAACATCTGCCACATTGCTCCTCTATCCACTCTATCATATGCTTTTCTAAATCCATAATGCAATAAAACTTCCCTACCTTTATCCAAATACTGTTCACTATATGCTTCAATGTAAACACTTGATTACACATCCCTACCCACTCTGAAGCCTCCTTGCTCATCCACAATTCTACATTCTGTCTTACCTCTAATTCTTTCAATTATAACTCTACCGTATACTTTTCCTGGTATACTCAGTAAACTTATTCCTCTATAATTTTTACAATCTCTTTTGTCCCTTTCCCTTTATATAAAGGGACTATACATGTTCTCCGCCAATCCCTAGGTACCTTCCCTCTTTCATACATTTATTAAACACAAAGTACCAACCACTCCAACACTATATCCCCCTGCTTTTAACATTTCTGTCATGATCCATCAGTTCCAGCTGCTTTACCCCCTTTCATTCTACGTAATGCCTCAGTACCTCCACCACACTTACATTCTGCTCTTCTTCACTCTAAAAGATGGTATACCTCCCTGGCCAGTGCATGAAATTTACCGCCTCCCTTTCTTCCTCAACATTTAAAAGTTCCTCAAAATATTCTCGCCATCTACCTAATACCTCCCTCTCCCCATCTACTAACTCCCCTACTCTGTTTTTAATGGAAAAAACCCATACTTTCCCTAGGCTTTCTTAACTTGTTTAACTCACTCCAAAATTTTTTCTTATTTTCATTAAAATTTCTTGACAGTGCCTCTCCCCCCTCTTTCATCTGCTCTCCTTTTGCACTCTCTCACCACTCTCTTCACCTTTCTTTTACTCTCCATATACTCTGCTCTTCTTATAACACTTCTGCTTTGTAAAAACCTCTCGTAAGTACCTTTTTCTCTTTTATCACACCCTTTACTTCATCATTCCACCAATCACTACTCTTTCCTCCTGCCCCCACCTCCTATAACCACAAACTTCTGCCCCACATTCTAATACTGCATTTTTAAAACTATTCCAACCCTCTTCAACCCCCCACTACTCATCTTTGCACTAGCCCACCTTTCTGCCAATAGTCGCTTATATCTCGCCCGAACTTCCTCCTCCCTTAGTTTATACACTTTCACCTCCCTCTTACTTGTTGTTGCCACCTTCCTCTTTTCCCATCTACCTCTTACTCTAACTGTAGCTACAACTAAATAATGATCTGACATATCAGTTGCCCCTCTATAAACATGTACATCCTGGAGCCTACCCATCAACCTTTTATCCACCAATACATAATCTAACAAACTACTTTCATTACGTGCTACATCATACCTTGTATATTTATTTATCCTCTTTTTCATAAAATATGTATTACTTATTACCAAATTTCTTTCTACACATAGCTCAATTAAAGGCTCCCCATTTACATTTACCCCTGGCACCCCAAATTATTATTATTATTATTATAATCAAAAAGAAGCACTAAACCACCAGGGCTATACAGCTGGAAGGTATTCAGGCACAATTCAGGAAACTGGAGCACATCCAATTTCCTAGATCAAGAGCCCCTCACCAGCATCAAGGAATGTCCCTTGAGGGGTATTTTTTGTAATATGACTGCTTATTGTAAGGCTGTTTTTCTTTGAGTAAGGTTTCTGACCTTTTTATTTAACCCACACATGTTGTTGTGTGTAACAAAGTGAACTATTATTATAATTACCACTGGCTATTATTATTATAAGCATAACCAAGCACTAAACCCATAAGAGTCATACAGTGCTATTATCACTGGCCAACAAAGGTTACAGCTCACATTTCCAAATGTGTTTCTAACTAATTTTTGGACACTGAATTTAAATCTGAACTTAACCTTGCTCCAACACACAGTTTTCATGCAACAGAACTCCCAGTAAACCATTTCACATTATGGAGAACAGATGTCAGGGAAAACTTGATGATCAGTTTGATAGTTGGCTACTGCTGGACACTGGTACAGGAGAGCAACACTGAACAAACGAGAAGCCTGAAAACTGTGATGCATGTTCATAAGACTGTATGGAAATTTATTTTTGTTATGCATATATATAATGAATTTACATTAAGAAAGATTAGTTTTATTAGTGCATATTCCACACTTAATATTTTCATAATACCTATGACTGTTAGGCAACATATGTAAGTTCTAAAGCCTTACATAGCCAAAATATTTATCATAAGATTTCAAAAAATTTTATGAGACTAAACAAGCTCAGATTCATGAGTAGCACATCAAAGTAAGCTTAAAATAACCATATTTAGTTTGTAAAGTGGATATTATTATCATGGGGAGCGCTAAACCCATAGGATTATACAGTGCCTGTGGGGGGGGGATGGAAGGTATTCAGGCTTAATTCAGGGAACTGGAGCACAGATCCAATTCCCTAGATCAAGAGCCCCTCACCAGCATCAAGGAACCTCCCTTGAAGGGGATATTATTATTATAATAAAAAAGAAGTGCTAAATCCATTAGGGTCATACAGCACTGCTGTAAAGTGAATAAAGTTAAATTTTATTGGCTAGTGTTCTCGGTTCATTATATTGATGGAAAAGTGCTAAACCCCTAAGGACCACATACTATTTTAGGAATGGGAGGTAATCAGATTTGTTGCAAAAGGAGGTTAGCTCCCATTCCTCAGATACAGAACTCTTTACTGGCATCAAGGGGCATCTTCTCCCTCACTGAAGGGATTGAACATGAAGATGGGTCAAAGCTCAGGAGCCATTGAACAGACTGCTCTATCTTCATTGTAAAAAGAATTTTTTTTTTAACACTGGCTGTATTCCACCCAGGAAGAGTGACCTGAAAAGAAAAATGAAAGCTTTGCTTTTTAAATTTAGTAATTTATACAGGAGAAGGGGTTACCAGCCCCTTGCTTCCAGCATTTGTCGCCTCTTACGACATACATGGCTTGCGGAGAAAGAATTCTTTAATAAAATCAGTTAGCCATTAACCCTTTGACTATTTCGGTCGTATATATACGTCTTACGCGCCACTGTTTCTGACATATTTATACGCGTAAATTCTAGCGGCTTCAAATCAAGCAGGAGAAAGCTGGTAGGCCCACATGTGAGAGAATGGGTCTGTGTGGTCAGTGTGCACCACAAAAAAAATCCTGCAGCGCACAGTGCATAATGAGAAAAAAAAAACCGACCGTTTTTTGGATTAAAATGCCGACTTTGAGGTGTATTTTCGTATAGTATTTATCGTTGTATTCTCGTTTTCATGGTCTCATGTGATAAAATGGAAAACATATTACAGAAATAGGGACGATTTTGATTACTTTCACAATGAAAACGACCTTGAAATTGAGCTCAAAGTAGCGGAAATATTCGATTTTTACCAATGTTCAGGAGTAAGCAAATCACACCACACGTCCAATACACTTCAACTGGGAGGTCTAATATTCTTTCACTAGTGCACTGATATTATTTATACCATTTTTACAATAATGCATTAGTCTGCATAACAGTAAATTTTGTATTTTTTTGTATGAATAAAAAATCAAAATAGAAAGCAATAGTAATATAAGAGGGGCCTAGAGACGTGACTAATGAACAGAGGATATGTTATTTCAGTGCCAAGAATGTCTACATTGTTTATTCTGGACCCTATTTTGAAATTGGCATCTTTTTTAATTTGCGTGAAATTGGCCAAATTGCCAATTTCTGACCACTTTACTGGGTAGTTCAAATCAGTAAATGGGCAGTTTCTTGTACTCAGCTGATAGAAAAAAATGGAGTTCTAAAGAAATAGCTATGAGTTTGGTAACTGGAACAACGGAATTGGCCAAAAACAGGGTTCAAAGTCGGCAAAATCGCCGGTGCGTATATGTTGCTGAGACCGCTAACTTCGCGGGAGCGTAATTCCGTGAGTTTTTGACCAAATTTCGTACTTTTGGTGTCATTACCATCGGGAACATATTCTATCATTTCATAAGAAAAAATAATTTTTTTTTTTTTTTCAAAAAATTTATCGACATAGAATGACAGTTTCAGGAGGGGCCTGTGACAGTCAAAGGGTTAAGGCCAACTAGTGGATACTAAAGGTGAAAAATAAAATTGTATTTTTGCAAATGCTTTATAAAAGTTTATTTTACAAATATGTACTGAAAAAAAAAAATAAACAGACAGCAAAATTTACATACGTACATTTTACATAGGAGAAAATTCTAAATACGTTCGGAGAGCCACACAGCAGCTTTACAACCAGTTTTAATTACAAGAGTGAGAGCATTGTATGCTGGTGTCAATTCTGCATCATGCTTCAAGCCAGTGTCATGGTGGTCCATTTCATCATCTCTGAATTTTTTTATAATTTCAACAAGTTCCTTGTTTTCTTCCTTTCCTAAAGAAATTAGTTCTCGTAACTGTGAGTTATAATGATCTATGATAACTGATTCTACTGCTACAGTGCATGCCATTGCTGCCTCTTTGCCCATCAATGCAGTTCCTGAAATAAAATGTAGCATAAATCATTAAAATACAGTTATTCCTACATCACATGGAAAGATATTCTACATACTGATTATTTTCCAACATGCCAGGATGACCCAAGAATGAAAACTCATTCACCATCATTCTGTGTCAAACCATCTTTCCATAAGTCCCCAAGATACCATGATCAAGCAATTGCCCAGCAAACCCCAACATCTCTATCCAGCACATTACTGAAGGCATCAAACTGGCTGCCTCCAAAAACAATAGCCAATAAATATTTAAGAATGTTGTGAGAGGTGACATGGCATCTCACTGCCACTTAATTACTCCTCTTTAGAAATCTAAATCTATCCGAGTTTCAGCTGTTTGGATTTCTTAATCTGTCATAAGTTTCAATAAAACAAAACAAAAATCAACCAAAGGGCCAAACCTAATCAACAGAATTCCAGACACACAAGGCCATGCTAGAAAAAAATCTTAAAAAAATTATCCTAATTCTTTCTTTCAACACACCGGCCGTATCCCACCGAGGCAGGGTGGCCCAAAAGGAAAAATGAAAGTTTCTCCTTTTACATTTAGTAATATATATACAGGAGAAGGGGTTACTAGCCCCTTGCTCCGGGCATTTTAGTTGCCTCTTACAACAAGCATGGCTTACGGAGGAAGAATTAACATAAGAACATAAGAAAGGAGGATCACTGCAGCAGTCCTGTTGGCCCATACTAGGCAGGTCCTTTACAATCCATCCCACTAACAAAACATTTGCCCAACCCAATTTTCAATTCTGTTCCACTTCCCCATGGAGGTAAGAGGAAATAAAGAAGAACAAGAACTAGAAAGAAAATAGAAAACCCAGAGGGGTGTGTATATATATGCTTGTACATATATGTGTAGTGTGACCTAAGTGTAAGTAGAAGTAGGAAGACGTACCTGAAATCTTGCATGTGTACAAGACAGAAAAAAAAAGACACCAGCAATCCTACCATTGTGTAAAACAATTACAGGCTTCCGTTTTACACTCACTTGGCAGGACAGTAGTACCTCCCTGGGCGGTTGCTGTCTACCAACCTACTACCTAATTATGCATGTTAAACTTGAACAACTCCAACAAACAAACTTAATAATAATATTGCTAAAAAATGAAGCTATGAAATTTAAATTCTCTTTCATTCAAGAAACCTCGATAAGTGCTACATGCATACCTTGCTAATAGGATGCTTTGTCTCAGAGCACTTCACTAATACGGTGCTTTTCAATTCAATTCATGTTTATTATTTTCAGCAATGATGCGCACATCAGGTTAGCAATGCAGTACTGTAGAATTTTATTTACTTGACTGCCTCCCATTTCCCTAGGTGTCGTATGACCCTTACTGATTTACCACTTCCTCTCGTGAATATTAATAATAATAATAATAATAATAATAATAATAATAATGATAATAATGTGCTATAATAAGTCCAGTTTATTATAGCATATGTATTTGACACAGTCTAAATATCACTTTAAAATTATGAATGCCCTAATTTAGGTCACCAAGATAGTGTGATCCAAAGAAAGAAACTTTCATCATCACTGATTCTCCACTTGTTTTTAAATTATATTTATTATTATTACCATCACTGTATTAAAAAATATATGGTTAACCTGTATCACATACACAGCATTTGTTTTTCTAGAGATGCACAGACATCATTATTAAAATTTTGTTGATATTTTGCCTGGAGATATTTCATTCTGATGACTATTTTCAAGAAAAGTTAGTTCTAAAATCCTTAGCAGTAATGTCCTCTACAATGTGATTACAATATTATATTCATGGGGAAGCACTAAACTCTTAGGGGTCATACAGTGCTTGAGGAGTGGGAGGTCATCACATTTAATCTCAAGAAGCACAAATTCCTTGGAACAAGAGCCCTTCACTGACATTAAGGTAACCCCTTTAAGTTGACAGGGTGATGACTAACCTGCACCAAGGACATAACCAGCCACATTCCAGATGGGAACAAGAACAGTAGGCCGCACTCTGTATTTTGGTATCAACTCTTCAAACTTTGCTTTATGCTCCTTTTCTTGGTCCCACATATGCTGGATGACTGACCCCACACTAGATTTACCTGGTATAAAAACATATAATTTAATTAAATATGTTTATTCAGGTACAATTACACAATCTTTGGATAATAACAAATGTCTTTCATAATAATGTGTGGAAATTACCAACGATAACCCTAAACAAGTCACAGTAAATTATTTCTCAGCAATGTACATGTTGTACATCTAGCAGTACAACAGTAATTAAAAATATGCAAAATATAACAAAGATTGTGTTTATACAAACAAGTATCACATGACTGCACTAAGAAATAGCACTGGAATGCTAGTAGAGTACAAGTGGGCCCCACTTTATGACACTTTGCTTTATGGCGTTTTACTAACATAACAGTTTTCAGTTATACCCATTCTTCATTTATTCAGACTTCCTACAATAAATATATTCACCATTCACTACAAGCAAAGGATGAAAATATTTTAAGGTAGGTAATATGTGTACTGTATATTGATTTTTAGGCCTAGATCTATTGCTTACTTAATTTGTGATAGTGTAAGCATGTCATCAGGCTTTTATATGCATTTGAAATTAAAAAAAAAAATATCTATGATTCATTTTACAGTGGTAACCTGGAACCTAACTTGCTGCATAAGCAGGGCCCTCCTGTATACTGTAACTCTGTTAAACTTTGACTTCTGATTTTCTTTATACTGCATGTGCAGTAATGTTTTATGGTACTGTACACAGTTTAATAAACTTTATGACAAATGTAGTATTTATAAAAATCACTTATATTACCATCAATGCTGTAATTATACCTGCAAATTCATTAAGTGCTTGTTATATCATAGTTTCATGAGGCTACCCAAGTGTCTTATTCAGGTGTTGTCACGATGCACAAAAATTACTTCAACAGAATGACACAGTAGATAGTGGCAATTAATAAACTTGAAGTAGCAAGTCATACCCAAACTGAAAAAAAAATTGCATAGATGTTATTACCACTGAAAAAGTTCAAATACAAAAGTGAAGCTGCAGCAGTGACGTACCCAGCACTGCCATTTGTCCTGCATAAATGCGGTCGGCTCCCAATTCTCCAGCATGGTCTACACGAATGATACGATCAATCAATTCTCTTTTCCTTGTCGATTTTGTACTGTACAGACGTAATCCATGAATTATTGAGGGGCGATACATAATAGTTTAATTCTCTGAAAAAAAAAAAAGAATAAAATGTTTACTGTCAATCTTGTCATTTTACCTGAGGTAATAATGTACTGTATAATATACTATGTTAATCTCCAAATTTATCCATATCAATGATGACATACAACAGTCTTTACTTAAGGAAGAAAATGCAAGTGCACATTCAGTACATAGTGTTTTAATAAAAGTAAAAATGTGGAGATCTGTAAATTGTGTATCAATACTATCTCAATTGCTTATCTGTCAAAAATATTTATTGCTCATAAAGGTATTGTATAATATAAAATGCTTAGACAGTATTCATTCAAACCTAGCAATCAGTACTCTGATTGCTAGGTCATTTAAAGTTAGCAATTAGTACTCTATGAAACTTTCTCTGGTTTTTATAAAATGGATGAGATATATAGTAGCAGCACTTCATTTACTTGAGTATATGAGTACCAAATAACTGAAAAGTGAATAACTATGATTGTACTAGTTCTGCCTATTTCCAATTATCCAGAAAGTCTCCAGTAATCTGAGGTGAACTACTATTTTAAGCGTGTACTCTATTGTATTATGGAAATATGAAATGTCCACTCAGGAGTGAAGATAGCAACAAACTTTAGAAAATCATATGTGTTGGAAAATCACATTGTTCAGCATAAAGAGCTTTGTTAATAACAGGGCAAAAAATAGCAATACAGCATAAACTTTAATTTACTTTATTAACACATCGGCCGTGTCCCACCAAGGCAGGGTGGCTCGAAAAAGAAAAACTTACACTACAGTTATACAACTGCAACATTAACACCCCTCCTTCAGAGTGTAGACACTGTACTTCCCATCTCCAGGACTCAAGCCCAGCCTGTTGGTTTCCCTGAATTACTTTATAAATGTTACCTTGCTCACACTCCAACAGCACATCAAGTCCTAAAAACCATTTGTCTCCATTCGCTACCTAACATGCTCATGCATGCTTGCTGGAAGTCCAAGTCCTTCGCACATAAAACCTCCTTTACCACCTCCCTCCAACCTTTCCTAGGCTGACCCCTACCCTGCCTTCCCTCCACTACATATTTATACACTCTCAAAGTCATACTATTTTGTTCCATCCTCTCTACATGTCCAAACCACCTCAACAACCCCTCCTCAGCCCTCTGGATGATAGTTTTGGTAATATCTTTATTTACTACAAGTACATGTACATGGTATACAGGCCAAGCTGACATCAATGACATATGTACTACTGTATAGAAAGCCCCTTGTTATGCTGAGCATTTCGGGCAAATTAGGTCAGTTTTGTCCCAGGATGCGACCCACACTGGTTGACTAACACCCAGGTACCCATTTTAAACTGATGGGTGAACAGGGACTGGGACAACAGGTGTCTTATGGAAACACGTCCCTAATGTTTTCCAGCCGTACCTCCTTTAGGAGCATGAACTATAATGGATTTATAATAAGAGCAGCCTGACTGAAGGTGATCAAAAACAAAGGTTTTCTTCAGATAGTCATAACTGGAATACGACAGCTTAAATTTCCTAAAATCTACTTAAATAAATTGTGTTGCATTGAGTGGGTTACAACGTAAGTTTGTAACAGTGTCCACTCAAGGCAGCTTCCTTGATGCTGATGAGGGGTTCTTGATCAAAAAAATTGGATTTGTCCTCCATTTCCTTGGATTGAACCTGATTACTTCCCATTCCCCAGTCATTGTATAATCCCTACAGGTTTAATGTATCCCTCTGAATAAAACAACAATAATAGTAATAATAAAAACTGTGGCACAGTGGATGAATTAGTATCAACGAACCAGTTTCTGCTAGATAAAATAAGAATTATTTACAAAGAAAAGGCGATTAGCTAACAAGAATAAACAATCTTGTAGTGCAGATCCTTATGTCCCTCCTAGAATGCCTTGCTGTTTATAATATAATCATGTCCTCAGGTAAAAGAAAGTCAAGTTCCATGCCTTGGGATCTGTAAAAAGCTAATTCATGAATCTAGGGAATTTAGCTGTGTACATATTGTACTGTACATGTACATTATTATATAGTATAAAAAACCAAGCATTCAACCCATGATGGTCAATACTGACATTCTGGACAATAAATCATATCTGTTGGCTTCAATATTAACTATGTATGCTCATGGCTCAGATGATGCATGTCCTGATACACAACCTGGGTTTACTCCCCTGTACAAATGAAAAGTGGGCATGCTTCCCGACACGTGCTATCCCTGTTCACCTAGCAGCAAGCAGGTACTGGGGGTGTTAGTTAACTGTTGAAAGTCGCATCTTGGGGGAGAGGATTAAAAAGTCCCATTGGAAATACGAAGCCTTATGATGCACTGACTATTGGGTTATCCTGGGTGGATAACCCTCCAGATTGAATTGTATCGCATACCTGGAGAGGATTTCGGGGGTCAACGCCCCTGCAGCCCGGTCTGAGACCAGGCCTCGCGGTGGATGAAGGTTTGATCAACCAGGTTGTTACTGCTGGCCGCATGCAGACTCACGTACGAACCACAGCCTGGCTGGTCAGGTACTGATTTTAGGTGCCTCTCTAGTGCCTTCTTGATGACAGCCAGGGATCTACTGGCAATCCCCCTTATGTATGCTGGGAGGCAGTTGAACAGTTTTGGGCCCTGGACACTTATTGTGTTGTTTCTCAGTATACTCGTAGCGCTCCTGCTTTTTATTGGGGGAATGTTGCATCTCCTGCCGAGTCTTTTGCTTTCATAGCAAGCTTTCCAAGTGTATACAGTACTATCATGTATCTCTCTCGTCTGCATTCCAGGGAATATCTTCCATGAACACAATATCTTAGACATACATACATGTATTATGATCCCATTTTACTTTTCTTTAGGGGAGGTTATTATTATTATGATCAAAATGAAGTGCTAAACCTACTAGGGTCATACAGTTAGGGGAGGTAAATCTTGAAGTTAGCAGTGCTATCTTCTGATGGCTTAACCTAGGATATCCTTATAATCCCTGAAAAAAATATATTTCCATCAGGGTCCCAAATGGTATGCAACTCATTTAGATGTAAGCATATCTTTAATATTTATAAAAAAAAAGTAGCCCTCACTTTTGTATTAGTTTTAATATTATTGTAATTATTATTTAATGAACATATATATATATTTCTCAATGTAAAAGAAAATCCTTTATAAGTTATTGCAAGTGCTTTTCTGATAATATCTAATTAGGTTTATTAGTTAATTAGTTCATTATTAAGCCAAAGAACTTGCAAGATAATTTCAGAAGCTACATACAGTATTAATAAATTTACATTTAAATGCGAATAATCAACAATTCCAGTCATTATATAGTTGCATAGTATGATAACCTTGCCTAACATGGGCAAATATTGTACTGGGGTGTCTGAATTTCTGCTGGGATATAAATTTTTCTACTGGGGTCTGACTTTATGCTGGGATTCTGAAATTCTACGGGGGGGGGGGGTATCCGAATTTCCACTGGGGTCTCAAATTCTACTAGGGGTTTCTAACTTCATACCAGAGTTTTTGAAATTCTACGGGGGTTTTGGAATTTGTACTGGGGTCTCTGAATTTCCAATAGAATCCTTGAATTCCCATGGAGCCCTAAATTAAAACTGGCTTAATAACAATTTTAAGGACCCCTAATAAACATAATCTTTATTTCAGATTGTAAGTTTATTTAAGTGATTACAGTATCCATAAGGCCCAGGCTTAGCCTATGTCAACTTCTACCTAACATACTGTATAAAAAACACTGCAAAATAACAAAACTTAGGTACGAACTCTTAAAAAAAAAACTTACTTGGAAACATAAAAATGTGATGTAATGTCACTTTCCCAGGACCCAATAAACTATGAAAATATTTTTTTTTTCCTTATCTCATTTTGCTACCAAAATCTATATACATTTTCTCTCTCTTTATGACAGGATAAGATAGAAGGGAGGCAGATATGATGATAATTTCTTCGTTATTAAAAGTTTTTTGGTAATAGTTTTTTTTTTTTTGTCATATGGTGACTGTATTAGTGGTATTTTGGTCCATTTTCTAGGTATGGTAAGCTATATTTAGCTACCTATACAAATTATTTTAGACTGCTATATTATTTTTTTCATATTTGTATTTAGCACATTACAGACAATGATGAAACATTATAAAATGTTGACTTAAGACAATATAACATGACAAAATATGATTTACGGGTCAAGAGCATTAACCTGGGTTACAAGTATTATATATACACCTATTAAAATAAAATCATCATAGGTCACATTGTTAGATATAATACGGATAAAAGTGTGTGGGCGGAGTGTCGTCTGCTGTCACCCTGCAGTAAGACCCAAAATACCGCCCGTGACCATAGAATCAGCGACCTTATGTAACTGCGACTTTCCTCCCGACTCGCACCCTAAATCAAATTTTACTTTGATAAAAGTTAACTCTGGAAGCAGGTTCATAGGTGGAACAAATAAGAGATATAAAGAGGTAGATTACCTGCTGAAGTGGCCATGGTTTGAGTTTAATATAGAGGAATGTAGGGTAGAAAAGGCTCAACAGATGGCGTTGGCGACCCTCGTTCAAAATCACTGCTTAGATACGCCGTTCTGTCCTCCTTTCTCGCCATCTTCCTGACATTTTTACCACTTTTCCGGTGAGTTTCGGCCCTATTTGCCCTCGAAAATATACCAAATAAGGGGTAGAAGAGGGCAGAATGTGCCCCAGAAGGGTGGTACGCCCAGGGTTTGTGTTCCCGCCGCAAATATCTTCTGCTAAGCATTGTTCTGCGCAGACTCAATATGGCAGGGGGTCGAGGGAGGGCTGCAAGCCATGGAGAAAATCAATATTTTTCCCTCTTGCCACAAACAATTCACCAAGAAATTTAACAGTGCCGTACCCTGGTTCCTGGTGCCCTACCTGGATTCACTAGGATTGCGAATTACGTGGAAATAGAGGAGTGAGGTGAGAGAAAAGAGAGGAGTGAGGAGGAGAATTGAGTGCAGGCCGCTGGTAATATGTGCGTACGCAGCCCAGGCAGGACTCTGTCCAAAATTTGCTCATTTGGGCCTGCTCAGTGCCGTACCCCCGCCCATCTTGCGCCAAATGTCACTGAATGGCACCCTTGGCATGCCTCCTCGGCGCACATAGTCATGAACGAGGCATGCACAGGCTAGAGTTGATAAATTAGATGAAGGAAGGGCTGCAAACTGATATAAAACTATGTAAAAAGGCATGTAATGTGTGACGAGGGGTTGTAATAATCCATTTCTATTATATGTACTCCATTGGCTGGAGAAATGCTCTTACTAGATAGTTAGAAACTGGAAATGCAGTTTTCTATGTTTATTATTCGCATTTCTTTATTTTGTAATGAGTGGGAAATGACTTGCTGTTCTATATTAGTACACGGGAAGCAGATGGGGACCGTATGGGGCTATTTTTGGCCAGGGTTAAAATTACACTCCATCCTGACTGCCACTTTTTAACTTCCTTTGTGTAATAAAAAGCGACATAGCTTTACATCATGCAGTTAAGATGTGCACTTGCACATTTAAGACTTCCCTTTAATAGATAGTGACATTTCCTGTTACTAACAAGATTGCAAGTGGAAAGGGATAGATAGTGTAATGTTCCCCTTAGTTATTTTATTTTGGAGAGGCATGCAATGTATAGACATAAGATACATATAAATTATTTATATTTTAAACTAAGAATAATACTAAATTAAATATAGTCTTAGATATGTAACAGTGAGACTATGATGACTTAACCTAGGATATCTATTTTCAACCAGTAAGAGTGAAGGGCTCTTCATCCAAGGAATTGGGCGTGTCCTCTTCCTTGGACTGAACTTCATATCTCCCATCTCTCATGTACTGTTTGACAATCGTGGGTTTAGTGCTCCCCGTGCTCCCCTTTTATAATACACAGTTCCTCAAAATGATTCCATTCCAAGGATCCCAATGGAAATATGTCACTGACTTTTTTTTTTTTTAGGTTATCCTAGATAATTTACACATGCTACTAGGTATGATAATTGTACTTGAGTATCTGTACCTAAATAGACTTTATTACATATGAATACATAACTTTTGTCTATTTAGGTAAACCATGAGAATTTTTCGTCATGCAAAACTTTGAACTTTTGCAATGGTTATATATAGTCAGTTATGCAGAATTTTACCTAGAATAATACATAAAACACTAATTTTTAATTTAATTTTTCCTATAGTCATAATAAATAAAGTATACATTTCACATAAAAGGACCCCAATGGAAATAAGTCACTCTGTCTGACTTTTTGGGTTATCCTAGGTACTTTACACATATGCTGCTATGTATGATAATTCTTTGAAACTGTATCTGTGTATACCTGAATAAATTTACTTACTTACACATAAAGAAACATACAGTGTGTTGCAAGTTGCAATATTCCAGTTCTATCTGTACTCCATTAACTGGAGAAATGCTCTACTGGATAGTTTTTTTGGTTAATGTATAGGTGTTACATGTAAATAGCTATTATATTTGCTTGAATTGTTTTTAGTTTTTCATTTTGGATTCTTCCTAAATGATTGTTATACAAATTTAGAGTGGAAGTGTAAGCATTGCTGAGTGGATACCTTTTAATGGCTAGTGAATATTAGTGCAGTACTTGAAATTATTTTTTTCCCTGGCTTTTGTAGTGCAGTAGTTGTTAAGAAAGGTTTATTATAGGACTTAATGGTGTCTAATTAAGTGCATTTATATGAAAGTGCATTATTAAAGGCTTGTCTTATGGAAACAATTCATAATATTGTACTTGGCTTTGTTGAGTCATTCTAGTAGTATAACTTTATAATTTATTAACACTGTTTGTGTATAGTCTTGTGCTTAATGCAGTTACTGTAGAAATTTTAAATAGAAGCTTTTAAAACATTTACTTAGAGAATTGGACGTTATTGATTAGATTATTGAGCTTGCATGCTAGCATCCTCCATTTTCACTAATGAATGGCTTAGGGTTCATACTCTTGTATATTTTACCCTAACATTTAGCTAACCTAAAATATATCATCCAGAATTTCATTTACTTAATATTCTATTTGTTATGAATTGTAATTTGGTATAATTTAATTTGAACAAAAGTCATGATTAAAGTTTTTTTTAGAAATTAAAGGTATACATAAAATAAAGAATAAAAAAGCATAATACCATGACTGGAACAATACACAAATCAACATAAATGGCACCTCTGGGTATCTAATGACTATTCAGTATTGTAGTTTTGCCATTCTGGCAGTTTAATGCTTTTTCAGGTGCTCAAATGTATTATTAGTTTTGCAGTTTTCTCAAAAGTACGGGAACACAAGAGTTAAACTAAATGCTGTATGACCCTTATGAGTTTAGCGCTTTCCCATGAATATAATTTTTTTTAACACTATCTCTCACCGAGGTATGAGGTATCGTGGCCTCTCTTCCCCTTCCCCCCCAAAAAAAAGAGGAAACATTTTCACCATCATTCATTTAATAACTGTTTTGCCAGAAGAGGGCTGACAGCACAGTTCAGATGACCCTCAGAACTGCAACAGCCCTGCCCCATCCTTTAGAGTGCAGTTTTCATTTTATATATTCGGTCATCAAAAACTCATTTTTTTTTCCTCTCTCTCATAATTTTTAGAACTACTGTATATGTAATTGAAAAACATGTTTTATAGAGTTTCTTACCAAAGGAGGATTTAAGTGTCAAAAATTTAAATCTGAAAACAATGATTTTTTTTTTTTTTTTAATTTTTGCTATTATCAATTCTGTACATTTATATTCGTGGACTAAAAATTAATATTTTTAATACAGCTAAACATAGCATATTATGAAGGATGCAATTTTCTATTCTTGCATAAAATTTACAATTCCATTTTAATACAAAATTGTTTTTTTTAAGGAGTATTATATTCACAGCAGAATCTTGGAAAATACAATACAGTGATATTCCTTGCAACAACTGTATGCTTAACAAAAATTATTAATTATTATTATTACTTTTTAATTTGACATTTGCATTCCAGTATGCATTCGTCATTAAAATATTCTTTTCCCCAGACATGACTACAAATTCCTAAATTGAAAGTTGTCAGTTTTAAATTAATTCATGTTTGTGTAACAATAAAATACATGTAACCAGTAGCCACCTACCTTTTTTGCTGATACCCAGATTCATAAGCAGAAGCTCTTTCTTGAATTAAGAGTACAGTACCTTTAGCCTGGTATTTCAGAGTACAGTGGAACCTTGGTTTTTGTAATTAACTCATTTTAAAAAGTCTGATGAAAACCCAATCGTACGAAAACTGAAGCAGTATTTCCCATAAGAAATAATGTAAATCCAATTAATCTGTTCCAGACACCCAAAAATATTTAACAGAAAATACATTTCATAGAGAATAACTATATGTAGTTTTACATACAGAAAACAGTGAGAAATAAATATAAATGACTAATGAAATGGATAAATGAACATTTAACCTCACTTTTGCCTTTATTGAAGACTCTTGTTGGCATATGGAAGATGGTGAGACGGGGAGAAGGAGGAGGAGAAGTTATTGTTTGGTAGGGGATGGCTGGAACTGATCGTTGATGCAGATTTCCCGTACATCCTGGCGAGCTCAGCCATGCGTACGCCACTTTCGTACTTTGCTACGAGTTCTTTCTTGAATTCTATAGTGTTTCTTGACTTTTCTCAAAGGACTGGCACTTGGAACTTCCTTTGGGTCCATGATGGCTTGTTTAGCAGTCGCACTCAATAAACAAGCACAAACAACAATGGATTATTACGAAATGTTTCGGATGAACACGTGGGGTGATGCTCACTCAATGAGAAAGAAAGGCCGACTGAGTCACAAACACATGGGATGCTTTGTGTGGGCACTTGAGTGGCCGAGTCACACGGACGCGTTTGGTACGGACCATTTTCACCTCTACAAAAGCTGAGCGAATGTACGAAAACTGGGTCAAAATTTCGACGAAAAAAGTTGTCAAAAATCGAATCCTACGAAAACTGGGGCATACGAAAACCGAGGTTCCACCGTAGTGTACAGTACTTAGCAATCTTGTGAATCAGTTTTATAAAACATAGATTATGATTCATTGTTAATAGCAATATATTTTAGTGATTTGAGTTACTATACAGCCTCTCCTCACTTAACGACGGAGTTCTGTTCCTAAGACCACATTGGTAAATGAATATGTCGCTAAGTGAGGAGCATACTATAATGGTAGTGGGTTTGTGTCAGTCATCTTTGATATTGTTTTAATGTTACCTTTGCACCATTTATAACATTAATGGTAAATTTTTAAATGTTCCTACAATAGTGTACTGTATATTGTAATAAACAGAATAGAGGAAATCAGCTCTAATATACATTATTTTGGTATGCATACTGGTCAGAGAGCCCGTCGTAAGTCCGAGTCATCGGTAAACGAGTATATCGCTAAGTGAAGAGAGGCTGTACTACAATTTTATGTAATTAAAATTCTAGATATTTTGCAATATAAAAAATACATAAGTTATAAATGTAATACTAATTTCAGTGTATTCTTTGCCAAGGACAGTCTTGTATTGTGTATACATTAATGTATTGAGCATAGCCACAGTGAAGTGGATAGAATAGACAGACATTATGTAAGTTCTTATTCATACCAACATTTGTGTTGATAGGCACCACCAGAGCCGTGCCAGACTTGGGAACATCATCATCCTCATCATCACCACAAAGAAGGAGCCTTGGAATGTCAGGCTCTGACTCAGGTTCCTCGTATGTAAGTCTTGACTATCTTGTGGTGATTTTAATCCTCCAGACTGCACACATCACAAACTTTTGCTGCAGATTGGGTTATTTGTTCAAAAACATGCTTTGAAATACAGGTGTTCTTTGTATGTTGTAAATCTATACAAAGGTCTATCAGTCCATAAAAAATACTAAAAATCTTCAGTACATTTTGGAGACCACGTTGATTACAGTCACCGTGAATTGCGTATATGTACAGAATTACTGATAGAAATAGGATACATTATAGCAAATTTTCATAAAGCCAATCTCCATTAATCAAATCTGTGTAAAGCCAAGGAGACCTATACAGTCCATGCCTTGTGAGAATTTGGTTTAACATGCTTAATTGCCTAATTTGTTCCCAATATTTAATGATACAAAGTAATACTATTAACAATTGCCATAGCATTAAGGCCTTGCAATTCAAAATAGTGTTTTTTCCTAATTTGTAATACTGTACAGGACTAATTACATTAAATGATATTTTTAAGAATGTGAATGACAGTTTTCTGTATTCTTAGAAGCCCTTCCATATTCTTAAACAGGGGTTGGCAACCTTTTGGAGAGAGAGAGGGCCAGACAACTATGCAGTCTCTCAGAGGGGGGTTATATTATTAAATGTAATATAAATTTTTTTTCTTGAACTCAGGGTTGCCATTAGTTTTTTAAACCAGTTTTGGCCTAATTCTAATAATACTTAACACAGTTTATCACAAATAATTAAATAAACATTATTATCGAATGCAAATACCTACTGTACAGTTGTTTTACCACCAGACAACAAACTCAAACAAAAAACTCTGAGGGAGGATACGAAGTAACTTTTCCAGGGACTGCTTAACCTTGAAGTGCACTACTGCATCTGTATTTGATACTAATTAGATAATTAGTATCCAGGTGTTAAGTTGGCAGGCTGGACGAAAACCTCACATGGGCCGGATGTGGCCCGCGGGCTGGGGGTTGCTGACTCCTGTTCTTAAATCACTGAGTGCTAATCAGTTTCAAAGCATTGACAGAAGTCATACTCTTGAAGGGTGAGGCAGGAGTCATTCTAAGAGAGGGTTGGTGGACCGGGGTAAAGGGGGTAAAGGAGGTTTTGAGGGCTAGGAGTTTATTCATATTAGATCGGAATGAGTGGAGACGAGTGGTTTTTATGACTTGAGGTACTATTGAGTGTCATAGGGTAACTTTTATGATGGGATGCAGGGGAAACCTGTTAGCTGAACTTGAGTCCTGGATGTGGGTAGTATGGTGAATGTACTCTGAAGAGGGGGTGAGTATGATAGTTTAGAAGGGTCATTAACATTGTGATGTTTGAGCACTTAATGGCAAGACAACAGTTGAATGAATGATGGTGAATGTGTTTACTTCTTTGAGTCACCCTACCATCATGGGAGATGGCTGGTGGTGAAAGAAAAATGCTATTTCTTCTCCAGTATGAATCTGCCATAGATTAATTTATTTGTTAAAATTAACGGTCCTCCTCATTACCTTTACACTACTGCTTTCCTTATTATGTAATGTCCCTTTGGAATTCCAGTTGGCAGGGGAAAAAAAATAAGATTGAAGGCACTAATACACATAATATAGTTTTATTTGCAACAACACTGACTAAAAGCATAGCACCTTAGCATGTTGCCTCACTGTACCATGACATTCTCAGTACATTATCAGTGCAGTATTGATGCTTGTTTTGATGTAGTAATATTTTGCAAGTGCCAAGTCCTGTAATAAACTAGTTTCTACTACTGCTACTATTACTATGTAATTCAGGTAAGGCAGTGTACCTAGTTTATTTTAATTTATGGCAAAGCCTGGTTGAACCTGATTCTTGATTGCATGATGATCATTTTCACTCCTTTGTTTCTCTTTGTTGTTCATAGTGTTACATAAGCTTGGTTTTTATATTTTTGCCCCTCTTAAATTTCATAATTATAAATGTTTTCAGCTGGTGATGAACAGTGTTGATGCATCAGCCTTACGAGGATGGCGCGTGGCATTGGCGGGGGGTCAGCAGGTAACTGGAACCATGGTTTTTAGTTTATACCTACTCGAAACTCAATATTTAAGTATAATTTGATGATGTGAAGAGAGTAGTAAGAGAGAAAAAGTTAGCATATGAGAAGTTTTTACAAAGTAGAAGTGATGAAAGGAGGGAAGAGTATATGGAGAAAAAGAGAGAGGTTAAGAGAGTGGTGAAGCAATGTAAAAAGAGAGCAAATGAGAGAGTGGGTGAGATGTTATCAACAAATTTTGTTGAAAATAAGAAAAAGTTTTGGAGTGAGATTAACAAGTTAAGAAAGCCTAGAGAACAAATGGATTTGTCAGTTAAAAATAGGAGAGGAGAGTTATTAAATGGAGAGTTAGAGGTATTGGGAAGATGGAGGGAATATTTTGAGGAATTGTTAAATGTTGATGAAGATAGGGAAACTGTGATTTCGTGTATAGGGCAAGGAGGAACAACATCTTGTAGGAGTGAGGAAGAGCCAGTTGTGAGTGTGGGGGAAGTTCGTGAGGCAGTAGGTAAAATGAAAGGGGGTAAGGCAGCTGGGATTGATGGGATAAAGATAGAAATGTTAAAAGCAGGTGGGGATATAGTTTTGGAGTAGTTGGTGCAATTATTTAATAAATGTATGGAAGAGGGTAAGGTACCTAGGGATTGGCAGAGAGCATGCATAGTTCCTTTGTATAAAGGCAAAGGGGATAAAAGAGAGTGCAAAAATTATAGGGGGATAAGTCTGTTGAGTATACCTGGCAAAGTGTATGGTAGAGTTATTATTGAAAGAATTAAGAGTAAGACCGGAGAATAGGATAGCAGATGAACAAGGAGGCTTTAGGAAAGGTAGGGGGTGTGTGGACCAGGTGTTTACAGTGAAACATATAAGTGAACAGTATTTAGATAAGGCTAAAGAGGTCTTTGTGGCATTTATGGATTTGGAAAAGGCGTATGACAGGGTGGATAGGGGGGCAATGTGGCAGATGTTGCAGGTGTATGGTGTAGGAGGTAGGTTACTGAAAGCAGTGAAGAGTTTTTACGAGGTAGTGAGGCTCAAGTTAGAGTATGTAGGAAAGAGGGAAATTATTTCCCAGTAAAAGTAGGCCTTAGACAAGGATGTGTGATGTCACGTGGTTGTTTAATATATTTATAGATGGGGTTGTAAGAGAAGTAAATGCGAGGGTCTTGGCAAGAGGAGTGGAGTTAAAAGATAAAGAATCACACATAAAGTGGGAGTTGTCACAGTTGCTCTTTGCTGATGACACTGTGCTCTTGGGAGATTCTGAAGAGAAGTTGCAGAGATTGGTGGATGAATTTGGTAGGGTGTGCAAAAGAAGAAAATTGAAAGTGAATACAGGAAAGAGTAAGGTTATGAGGATAACAAAAAGATTAGGTGATGAAAGATTGGATATCAGATTGGAGGGAGAGAGTATGGAGGAGGTGAATGTATTCAGATATTTGGGAGTGGACGTGTCAGCGGATGGGTCTATGAAAGATGAGGTGAATCATAGAATTGATGAGGGAAAAGGGTGAGTGGTGCACTTAGGAGTCTGTGGAGACAAAGAACTTTGTCCTTGGAGGCAAAGAGGGGAATGTGTGAGAGTATAGTTTTACCAACGCTCTTATATGGGTGTGAAGCATGGGTGATGAATGTTGCAGCGAGGAGAAGACTGGAGGCAGTGGAGATGTCATGTCTGAGAGCAATGTGTGGTGTGAATATAATGCAGAGAATTCGTAGTTTGGAAGTTAGGAGGAGGTGCGGGATTACCAAAACTGTTGTCCAGAGGGCTGAGGAAGGGTTGTTGAGGTGGTTCAGACATGTGGAGAGAATGGAGCGAAACAGAATAACTTCAAGAGTGTATCAGTCTGTAGTGGAAGGAAGGCGGGGTAGGGGTCGGCCTAGGAAAGGTTGGAGGGAGGGGGTAAAGGAGGTTTTGTGTGCGAGGGGCTTGGACTTCCAGCAGGCATGCGTGAGCGTGTTTGTATAGGAGTGAATGGAGACAAATGGTTTTTAATACTTGATGTGCTGTTGGAGTGTGAGCAAAGTAACATTTATGAAGGGGTTCAGGGAAACCGGCAGGCCGGACTTGAGTCCTGGAGATGGGAAGTACAGTGCCTGCACTCTGAAGGATGGGTGTTAATGTTGCAGTTTAAAAACTGTAGTGTAAAGCACCCTTCTGGCAAGACAGTGATGGAGTGAATGATGGTGAAAGTTTTTCTTTTTCGGGCCACCCTGCCTTGGTGGGAATCGGCCAGTGTGATAATAAAATAAAATAATTTGTTTTTCATAATTTCATGGTGATCTCATTGGTTTACAGCTGGTGATGAACAGTGTTGGGGCCTCAGGACTGGCTGGCATGACTGGCAATGGAGGGGAAGTTGACCCGTTAAGTGAGGATGGCGGGGGCGGGGGAGGGGCGGGTGATAATGTTACAGCACATATTACGGGAACCAGTGATGATGATGATGACGATGTGCCATCCTCACCTGGAAGTTTCGATGACGACGACGGGTCACTACCTGGGGAAGACGACGTGACCGCCCAGTTAGCGGCGGCAGGTGGGTGGGCAGGTGAGATGAACGATACCGTTTTGTTGGTGGTGGAGGGAACCAATAGAAAACCATGATGTCTGCATGAGAGAAGTTTGTATTATTCCTGGCAGTGGTCACACCTGGACATTATTTATGTAAAAAAAAATTTCTTCCTGTCACATGTACAGTACTGTATTATATTGAACAATTAATCTATTTTTTATCATATTTTTTAATAGATATTTTGTGATAAAATTTGCAGTTCTCAGGTAACTACAATATTCTTCATAATGACTTTTATTAAAGCATTGCATCCCTTAGCTCACTTTATATCTTTTGGTCCTAAAAACATTACATATTTTCTGAAATTTTTAGTGTTATTTATTAAGAACTAAAATCTTTGTATTAGCTTATATGTGGCTATCTTATTTAATTTCTTCCTCCAGTTTACTAACAAAAGAATTTTCTCTGTCTTCATTCTTACTTTCTATATAATTCTTATGTCTGAAATTTATTTTGTATTAAGTCTAGGTTGTACAGGTGTGAGAGATAGCCTGTGGTATTTGTTACTTTTCATTTGTAGTTATAGGAGCAGAGCCAGGCTTGATTGGTTACATATTTCAATTTTTGGATTAATGTATGCTGTGAACAGGTTTCTACCATTTCTCTTCCCCCATACATCTAGTGGTTATTTTAAATCTGTAAGTGTAGCATACAAGTTTTTCAAGATATATATGTGCTATTCTGGCAGCATTCTTTTGTCTATAATGACTCCCTGATTTCTCTCTTGTCTTTACACTTTCAATATTTTATCATACAATTTATGTTTCACTTGGCCTATTACCGCTTTCTTCCATTTCCATTATATGGCACTTGGTATAAAATTCATTATCCATCTATCGTGACATTTGCTCAGTTTATTTCAAATTCTATTTGCAAATATATTTGTGTAGTTTTTACTTGCATAAATTAGATGCATTATTGGCCATGCTCTGATTCTTGTGGGACCCTCCTGAGAATACCTGAGAATACCCTCATGAGAATACCTTTACTTTTTCTTTTTTTTCACTATACATTTTTCCTTTGCAACATAAAATATCTCTTCCTCTGTACTGTAATTATTTTTTTTCCTGTTTTGTCATACCTAAATTAGTCTTTCTGATATCTATTTTAAATAAAGGTAATTTTCCCATAAATTCTATACCATTCATAGTAGCTTCATATACAGGATTGTGCTCATAGTACAGAGTTTTTAAGTCCACTTTTTTAATGTCTTTGTCAAATAAGGAAATAAGTTGTCATTAACTCAACCAAATGTATCTTTACAGGGTAAGTCAGTACCATAGTATCTACATTCAAAATCTATATTGATCTGTTTACAAATATTTTTGATCTCTTGGAAAGACCTTGAAAAGTAGGTAAATTTAGATTGGTAAGTTTTTGACCAAAAGGTACTAGTTGAGCTAAGGGTTGCAGAGATTTAAGTTGTATCTTGCAACAAACAAAAAGCAAATATATTTTAATCTTAAGTAAATATTGTATATAATAAGTCCAGCTACATTTTATGATACAGAACTCAGAGGACACTTGTTAACACAGCTTCTCTCGTACTTCATCATGCACAAGTTGGTAAAGGGAAGGGCAATTGAAGAAATCTCAAGAGCTCTGCATGGTGTTGTCCTTTCTAACAGCTGTTATGTGGTATTATGGTTTCTTTTGCTCATATCCTATTTTATTCTTGAAACTGACATATCTATTTTATTAAACTGGATGGTTATTATTTTATGTTTTGTGATTAGATTTTTGTTCTTAAATGCATGCTAATACTATTTTATTATTAGATATCAAGCAGGTACACTTTTTGTGTGTGTGTGTGTTTCCCTCTGCTTTATTTTTGGATATGACAGTGCCTCTTCCCAGGGAAGCATCTTCAACTGGAAAGCCCTGTGATTTGAAAGTTCATTCATGCTGACACACAGATCTGCTTCCTTAGTGCCCCAGACCCTGGTTCTCCATCAATATCCAATGCAGAAGAGGATAAAAATGGAGATGAATAAGCAGGAGAGAAAAAAAGGAGAGGAGAGAGGAAGAGGAAAAGAGAAAGGAGGGAAAGTGAAGAGAGGAAGAGGATTGGAGGGAGGGAGGAAGGAAGGAAGGAATCAGGGAAAGAATGGAGAGGGAAATAGGGAGGAAGGAAGAGGCATTTGTTTCTAAGATTGTTAATATTGTTTGTAGTGTGGGATACTGGGATAAGACTGGTCCCTCGTTTATCCAAATATAATTTTACGCTTAATATTTTTTTTAATTATGGAGGGAAGAAGGCATGTTCTGAATATTTTTTTCATAGAAAGGTTTTTTGAGTCATTTACTGCAGAATTATTTTGAGATTTTTTTAGTTAGCATGTTTTTTTTTTTTATTTTTTTTTTTTTTTTTTTTTTTTTTTTTACATTTCATTTCATTTTAAATCTTCATTCACTTAGTGATTTTTATGTCTGTTATTTATTTGTATCTTCCATTTCTTTAAAAGCCACTTGAAAGCTCAGTGTCAGTATCATTCGCCAGAGAGCATTGCCAAGAACTTGCCCAACTCCCGTTCCCTCCACCGAGGAGAGGACAGGGCTTTTTATTCGTTGTTTCTTCCTTGCATGGTACAGGACCTGTTGGGGTTGCTGCAGCTGCTGCTATTGCCTCTGCTAAAAAACGTAAACGACACCACAGTTTTGAGCTCAACCCATCAATACGTAAAAGACAACAGACTCGACTCTTAAGAAAATTAAAGGTGGGTTTCTATTTTTGGTTGCACTCAAAATTTTTTTTTTTTTGTTTGTTTCTTTTTTGAAATGAGCATTGATCATATACAGCTTCTTCCCACTTAACGACGGAGTGCCGTTCCTAATACCGCATTGAAAAACGAGGAGCATACTATAACGGTAGTGGGTTTATGTCAACCATCTTTGATATTGCTTTAATGTCACCCTTGCACCATTTATAACATTTTTAGTATATGTTTAAATGTTTATATAGTAGTGTACTGTATATTATAATAAACAGAATAGAGGAAATAAGCTCTAAAAAACATAATTTAGGTATGCATACTGGTTAGAGAGCCCGTTGTAAGTCCGAGTCATCTGTAAACGAGTACGTCACTAAGTGAAGAGAAGCTGTATTACAAAAAATTAATTAAAATGGTTTACCTATTTTGCTGTAAAATTTGCAAATGGAGGCTAGATGTAATGTATTTTAACTATATCTACTACTATTTACCATTAAATGCCCCTCAGGGGAGGTTCCTAGATTCTTGTATGGAGCTTCAATTCTTTTGAATAGTTTTGTGTGGATTCAGTTCTTTGAATAGTCTGAATGCCCTCCATTTCCTGTGGTGCTATATGATCCCTGTGGATTTAGTGCTCTCCCCCATGCCATGAATGTAATAATGTTTACCATTAAAAAAATGCTTGTCTTTAGTTACAAGAGCACTAAACTACAGACCAGTGTCACTGACATGTATAGTATGCAAAATCATGGAGAAGATTATCAGGAGAAGAGTGGTGGAACACCTAGAAAGGAATGATCTCGTCAACAACAGTCAACTTGGTTTCAGGGACGGGAAACCCTGTGTCACAAACCTACTGGAGTTCTATGACATGGTGACAGCAGTAAGACAAGAGAGAGAGAGGTGGGTGGATTGCATATTCTTGGACTGCAAGAAGGCGTTTGACACAGTTCCACACAAGAGATTAGTGCAAAAACTGGAGGAGCAAGCAGGGATAACAGAGAAGGCACTACAATGGATCAGGGAATACTTGTCAGGAAGACAGCAGCGAGTCATGGTGTGTGGCGAGGTGTCAGAGTGGGCACCTGTGACCAGCGGGGTCCCACAGGGGTCAGTTCTAGGACCAGTGCTGTTTCTGGTATTTGTGAACGACATGACGGAAGGAATAGACTCTGAGGTGTCCCTGTTTGCAGATGACGTGAAGTTGATGAGAAGAATTCACTCGATCGAAGACCAGGCAGAACTACAAAGGGATCTTGACAGGCTGCAGACCTGGTCCAGCAGTTGGCTCCTGGAGTTCAATCCCACCAAGTGCAAAGTCATGAAGATTGGGGAAGAGCAAAGAAGACCGCAGACGGAGTACAGTCTAGGGGGCCAGAAACAACAAACCTCACTCAAGGAAAAAGATCTTGGGGTGAGTATAACACCAGGCACATCTCCTGAAGTGCACATTAACCAAATAACAGCTGCAGCATATGGGCGCCTAGCAAACCTCAGAACAGCATTCCGACATCTTAATAAGGAATCATTCAGGACCCTGTACACCGTGTATGTTAGGCCCATATTGGAGTATGCGGCACCAGTTTGGAACCCACACCTAGCCAAGCACGTAAAGAAACTAGAGAAAGTGCAAAGGTTTGCAACAAGACTAGTCCCAGACCTAAGAGGTATGTCCTACGAGGAGAGGTTAAGGGAAATCAACCTGACGACACTGGAGGACAGGAGAGATAGGGGGGACATGATAACGACATACAAAATACTGAGAGGAATTGACAAGGTGGACAAAGACAGGATGTTCCAGAGATTGGACACAGTAACAAGGGGACAGTTGGAAGTTGAAGACACAGATGAATCACAGGGATGTTAGGAAGTAATTCTTCAGCCACAGAGTAGTCAGTAAGTGGAATAGTTTGGGAAGCGATGTAGTGGAGACAGGATCCAGACATAGCTTTAAGCAGAGGTGTGATAAAGCTCACGGTTCAGGGAGAGTGACCTAGTAGCGATCAGTGAAGAGGCGGGGCCAGGAGCTCATACTCGACCCCTACAACCTCAACTAGGTGAGTACACACACACACACACACACACACACACAACACACACACACACACACACACACACACACACACACACACACACACGCACGCACGCACGCACGCTTGCTGGAAGTCCAAGCCCCTCGCCCACAAAACCTCCTTTACCTCCTCCCTCCAACCTTTCAGGGACGACCTCTACCCCGCCTTTCTTCACCTACAGATTTATACACTCTCCAAGTCATTCTACTTTGTTCCATTCTCTCTAAATGACCAAACCACCTCAACAACCTCTCTTCAGCCCTCTGACTAATACTTTTTGTAACTCCACACCACCTCCTAATTTCCATACTACAGATTTTCTGCATAATATTTACATCACACGACATCTCCACTGCCTCCAACTGCCTCCTCGCTGCAGCATTCACAGCCCGAGCTTCACACCCATATAAGAGTGTTGGTACCACTATACTTTCATACATTCCCTTCTTTGCCACCATAGATAACGTTTTTTGTCTCCAAATATACCTCAACGCACCACTCACCTTTTTTCCTTCATAAATTCTATGATTAACCTCATCCTTCATAAATCCATCCGCTGACACGTCAACTCCCAAATATCTGAAAACATTCACTTCTTCCATACTCCTCCTCTCCAATTTGATATCCAATTTTTCTTTATCTAAATCATTTGATACCCTCATCACCTTACTCTTTGCTGTGTTCACTTTCAACTTTATACCTTTACACACACTCCCAAACTCGTCCACTAATCTTTGCAATTTTTCTTTAGAATCTCCCATAAGCACAGTATCATCAGCAAAAAAGTAACTGTTTCAGTCCCCATTTTGTATTTGATTCCCCATAATTTAATCCCACCTCTCTCCCGAACACCCTAGCATTTACTTTTACAACCCCATCTATAAATACTGTATATTAAACAACCATGGTGACATTACACATCCCTGCCTAAGACCTAGTTTTCCGGGAAGTAGTCCCCTCTCTTCTACACACCCTAACCATTATTTTTATGTTTGGAGGGATATGTTTGGACTTCCAGCAAGCGTGCATGAGTGTGTTAGATAGGAGTGAATGGAGATGAATGGTATTTGGGAACTGACGAGCTATTGGAATGTGAGCAGAGTAATATTTAGTGAAGGGATTCAGGGAAACCGGTTATTTTATATAACCGGACATGAGTCCTGGAAATGGAAAGTACAATACCTGCACTCTAAAGGAGGGGTTTGGGATATTGGCAGTTTGGAAGGATATATTGTGTATTTTTATACGTATATACTTCTAAGTTGTTGTATTCTGGGAACCTCTGCAAAAATAGTGATTATGTGTGAGTGAGGTGAAAGTGTTGAATGATGATGAAAGTATTTTCTTTTTGGGGATTTTCTTTCTTTTTGGGTCACCCTGCCTCGGTGGGAGACGGCTGACTTGTTAAAAAAAAAAAAATGCTTCTAAACTGTTGTACCTGGGTGCCTGTGCAAAAACAGTGATTATACATGAGTGAGGTAAAAGTGTAGAATGATGATGGGAGAATTTTCTTTTTGGGTCACCCTGCCTCGGTGGGAGATGACCGACTTGTTAAAAAAAAAAAATGGGTGTCTAAGGAAAAAATCCTTATCAGGGATGCATTAGGGTTGTAAGTGGTGATCTACTGTTTCAGTGTGGGTTTGTCAAGTGGGGGATACTCAGAATGACAAAATGTTTATTACAGTTAAGATTTCTATCTTGTTGACACTGTCATTTGCTTAATCTATATTAGCAAGTAATTTATACTTAATCACTACGGATGACTGTTTATAAATAGGTAATTTAATCAGTACTTACTATTGTTGATTACCTCTACTATATACAGTGGTCCCTCAATAATAGTCGGGCTCGATAGTTGTCCTTTTCGGAAATCTTCGCATTATTTTAGTCCAAACATTGGCTCGCAAATGGTCAGTTGACTCGCTAATCGTCGTTCGTTCTGGACGTGTACTCACGGCTCTGAGCCGCCTCGGCCCCCCTTCCCAGCCAGTTTGCCATTGTTTACCAGTGAGCGACAGTCCCCTCACATGTTCATATGAAATATTTCATAATATTCCATTCATTTTAGTGCTTGCAAGTGCTAAATAAGCTACCATGGCTCCAAAGAAAGCTCCTAGTGCCAAGCTTTTGGTAAAGAAGGTGAGAAATACAATTGAATTTAAGAAAAACATCATTGAACAATACGAAAGTGGCGTATGTGTGGCTGAACTGGCCAGGATGTATAACAAATCCCATGCAACCATATCTTCCATCGTGGCCAAGAAAAAGGAAATCAAGGAAGCTGTTGTTGCAAAGGGGGTAAATATGCTGACAAAAATAAGTTCACCAGTACTCGAAGAGGTTGAGAAGTTATTATTGGGATTACCAAAACTGTTGTCCAGAGGGCTGAGGAAGGGTTGTTGAGGTGGTTCGGACATGTAGAGAGAATGGAGTGAAACAGAATGACTTCAAGAGTGTATCAGTCTGTAGTGGAAGGAAGGCGGGGTAGGGGTCGGCCTAGGAAAGGTTGGAGGGAGGGGGTAAAGGAGGTTTTGTGTGCGAGGGGCTTGGACTTCCAGCAGGCATGCGTGAGCGTGTTTGATAGAAGTGAATGGAGACAAATGGTTTTTAATACTTGACGTGCTGTTGGAGTGTGAGCAAAGTAACATTTATGAATGGATTCAGGGAAACCGGCAGGCTGGACTTGAGTCCTGGAGATGGGAAGTATGGTGCCTGCACTCTGAAGGAGGGGTGTTAATGTTGCAGTTTAAAAACTGTAGTGTATAGCACCCTTCTGGCAAGACAGTGATGGAGTGAATGATGGTGAAAGTTTTTCTTTTTCGGGCCACCCTGCCTTGGTGGGAATCGACCAGTGTGTTAATAATAATAATAAAATAAACGAGAAGGAGGAAGGAGGAGGAAGAGAGATGGAAGAAGGTGCCTTCTTCAGAAATTAAGGAGATTTTTGAAATGTGGGGTAGGATGGAAAGATTTATGGAGAAACATCACCCTGAGAAGGATGTTCCAAGTCATATTGGCAACTTGTACAGTGACAGAGTCTTGGCCCATTTTAGGGAAGTTTTAAAGAGACGCCAGAAACAGAGCTCTCTGGACACTTTTTTTTGCGAGACAGGACTCTAGTGACTCAAGCTGGTCCTAGTGGCATTAAGAAACAGAGAAGAGAAGTAAACCCAGAAAATGACTTGGTACCTAAGGTGTTGATGGAAGGGGATTCCCCTTCCAAACAGTAACTAATCCAATCTCTCTCCTCCTCCAGTCTTCCATACACTAAGAAGAATTACCAATAAAGGTAAGTTTTATTCTGTTAATGTTTCATTCATCATGTCCCATTGTATTGTTTATGTACTACATCTATATTTCATGTAAAAAAAAATTTTGTTTTAATACTTCTGGGTGTCAGGAACAGATTAATTGTACATTATTTCTTATGGGGAAAATTGATTCGAAAATCGTCTTTTTCGATAATCGTCGCACTTTCAGGATTGGATTAACGACGATAAACGAGGAACCACTGTATGCTGTAGATCATCGGTTATCCAGTTCCTTTTGGGACTGAGGTGTATTGGATTTTCAGTGATGCATGACGATAATTTTTTTGTGGTTCCTTTATTTTGCATACTTCTTTATCACATTATCTGTTTAGATGCTGGATCAAACAAGATTATCAGATAATGTTGGAAGCTGAGTAATGAATCGTCAGATAATCGATGATCCACTGTAAATAGGTAATTTAATTTTTGCTTTCTTTTGTTAATTCCCACATAATGTTCTTTTGAAATGCATCCATTAAATATTGTTTTTCTTTCCCAGGCTACAATAGATGAGTATTCTACAAGAGTTGGGCAGCAGGCAGTGGTAGTCGTTGCCACACCTAGTAAATCGGGAAATAATTTCAAGTGCTTTGGTGCGAAACCTCTAGAGGATGTAGTAAGTTTATATTCATCACATGGTTTTATGTAAATAGAAAAGCTTTATATAAATAGAAAGGATCAATTAAATATCAAGGAATAATTAGCATTCTTCAGAAAGTGTGTTAAATGCAAGGTTTGCATGCTAGTTCAAGGCCTCCACACTCATTCTTCTGGCCCATGGACAACTTGAGCATATTGGGAGTTTACATATTGCACTTATATTTTCATTGACAGTCATGGATGGTTCAGTAGATGTAAGGGTTGAGGAAACTTAATAATGGTGTGTGAAGAAATTGATAATGATGACAAAAAATATTAACAAATTTATGATAATGTTTGCTTTCATTATTAAAATTGGTAATTGCAGGTTTTAATCACTTTATGCAGGGTTCATTTTATACAAATTTACCAAAATTGTGCCCTCTTGTTCTCCTTTCATCTATTTTCTTGTATCTTTTCATGGTCTTCGGTGATAGTGATCATGTCTTTTTCTTCTCGTACAGTATCAGTATCAGTTTCTTTTCTTACAGTACAGTGTTTTATATACTGTTTACATACCGTACTGTGTTATCTACGTTTATTAAAGCAAGATCCTATTTCACAGGTGCATTTTCCATTTACCGGATGTATGTGCTGTGTTGAGGTTCAATACATTTTTATTAGAAGCCTGTTTATTTCTCCCTTGACAGGTTAAAACATTACGACAAATGCTGATGACCGAACTGGAAAGTGCATTAGCTCAGCAAGCCCCTCCTCCTCCTCAAGATGACCCATCCCTTCATGAACTACCGCCACTTGTTATAGATGGAATCCCAACCCCGGTTGAAAAAATGACCCAAGCACAATTAAGAGCATTTATTCCTCTTATGTTGAAGTATTCCACAGGTACACTTTCCTGGTATATTATGTTTTTTTAACAATAAAGCTTTAAATTTGGTAATAATTAGTTCATGATTAACAGTCAAAGAAGGATTTTATATAATGAAGATTGGTTTCAAGTGGCATGAAAGATTAATTATGAAATTACTGGGATGTTTATAATTTAATTTCTGAACTTTTTGCTGGTATTAATTAGGTGTAAAAGTCTTATTATTTTTTATTAGAACCTTATGTCATTTATAGCACACAGTTGAGTTAAAGGGATCATTAACTACAAACTTTTTTAAAAATGTTACTTACCGAGTGCTTTTGATTTCATGGAAGAAAAGGTGAACCATAGAATGTGTGGGTTGAATATCATGTCTAGAGGTGTCAGAGCATAGGAATTAAAAGGCAGTGTGGGGTCACCAGGGGTATAATTCAAAGAGTTGAGGACAGGTTGTTAAGGTGGTTAGGACATATAGAGAGGAAGGAGAGGGATAGGCTGACAGAGAGGTTGTATAATTCTGGGATGAAAGGTATGGGAGAGAGGGGTAGTCACAGGAGTGGCTGGAGGAAGGGGTGAAAAAAGAAAAAGCTTTTAGATTTAGGGGCTTGAGCATCCAGCAGATTTATGCGAGTGTGCTAAATAGGAGTGAATGGAGAAGAGTGGTTTTTAACTCTTTCAGGTTCAGCAGGCCCTCTCCTAAACTTGTTCTCAGGGTTGGAAATTTTTCGAAAAAAAAAAAAAATTCTTTTGAAATGATAGAGAATCTTTTTCCCAATCATAATGACACCAGAAGTATGAAATTTGATGGAAAACTTAGGGAATTATGCTCTTGCGAAGTTAGCCGTCCTGCTGATGTTTATGCATTGGCGATTTTGCCCACTTTGAGCCCTATTTTCGGCCAATTCCAATGTACCAGTCGACAAAAAATCATAACTATTTAGCTAGAACTCCATTTTTTCTATTGAATGAGTACAAGAAACCACCCATTTACACATTTCAACCATCCAATAGAGTGGTCAGAAATTGGCAATTTTGCCAATTTCACACAAATTTCAAAAGATGCCAATTTCCAAATGGGGTCCAGAATAAAGAAGACAGACATTCCTGGCACTAAAATAACATTTCCTCTCTTCATTAGTCACATCCCCAGGCTTCTGTTACATTTCTTTTGCTTTCCACTTTGAATTTTTATTCTCACATAAAATAGAAGATTTACTGTTATGCAGACTAATGCAGTAATGTAGAAATGGTGTAGAAATGGTATAAATAATATCAGCACACTTGTGAAAGAATATTAGACTCACCAGTTGATGTGTACTGGTCGTGTGGCATGATTCGTTTATTTTTTAACTTTGGCAAAAATCGAACATTTCTGCTACTTTGAGCTTAATTTCAAGGTACTTTTCATTGTGAAACCAATCAAAATCATATTAATTTCTCTAATATGTCTTCCATTCTATAAAATGAGACCAGGAAAAGTAGAATACAATCATAAATAGCATATGAAAATACCCTGCAAATTCGCTGTTTTAAACCAAAAACACGGTCGGAGTTTTTTTTTTTTTTTTCTCATTTTGCACTGTGTGCTGCAGGAATTTTTTTATAGACCCATTCTCTCATATGTAGCCTTCCAGCTTTCCCTCGCTAGATTTGAAGGCACTAGAATTTATGCGTACTAGTGCGGCACCAACCCTGGCGTGCAAGCCGTACTAGTACGGCACCAACCCTGAAAGGGTTAATGGATGTGCTGTTGGAGTGTAAGGCAACATTTTTGAAGGAATTAAGGGAAACTGGTTAGCCAGACTAGTCCTGAAGGAGGGAAGGGCAGTACCTGCACTCTGAAGGAGAGATGGGATGTTGCAGTCAGAAGGTAATCTGAATTGTGATGTCAGCACAATTCTGGATAAGATATTGTTTGAATGAATGATGGTAAATGTGTTTCCTACTCTAGGTCACCCTTTCCTTGGTGGGAGATGGCTGTTGCAGTAAAAGAAAAGTGTTAAAGCTGAATTATAAATACGTTTTCTCAGTTTTTAATCAAATGCAATGACATTTTGTGTATATAAATTTATGCATGTGTTGACATTTCATGCTTGTTTGGTAGAGATTGGTCGTGTCTAATACATAGTGTTTGAGGTGGAGCAGCGGAGGTTCAAATTGCCCAACTCCATTCTCACTTTCCACTACAGAACCCAGGCATGTATTAGCCTTCAGTGTAACCTTTCCACAGGCATCTCCCGCTGTACCCTCAATAAAATAGCATATGTAAAGATCATTGTCAAATACGGTGGGAGATAGCGGCAGTCACTGTTGCTGTGTAAGTTGTGTTATGCCAGATAAGCTTTGAGAGGGAAAGGTAAGGAATGTGAGAAGAAGGGATTTAATGAAATGGGAGAGCTGGAATTGGAAGAAGGTGGAGAGAGAGACAGACAGAGAGACGGATTGACTTACTCATCTGAGTACTGTATATTGCTTATAATTTTATTGAAAATAAAATGAAGTTAGATATGGAATATTATGGTTTAGGAACACATCTCTGATTTTATAGTATGAGTTTGTGTGGGGAAACTAGATTCAGAGTTCTGAACATTTAAATAGCATAATATTTTCAGAAACACGTTAGGGTAAGATGGGGATACAGTATTCGTGTTTGCACTTCCCAGGGAAAGAATGGATTTCATAAGTTATTGTTTTCGTTTATTAATTTTTTTATTGTATATGTTGAACTTGAGATAGGCCAGCATTCTTCATGTGCCTTCCAAACACTGCCTCCTACATTTTTATTTTCTCTGTTGTGACTATATCAAATACATTTATCATTGGGACAGAATGTATTTGATGTAGATGTGGCAGGCTCCTGTTTGATGCGGTAATGTCAAGAAATATGCTTACTGATATTCTTGGAGCATAACCTTAGTTAACTCCTTGACTGTCGCAACCCCCAATCCTGAGGTGTCTCCTGGTGTCGCAAAATTTAAAAAAAAAAAAAAACTTTTTTTTCCTTTGAAATTATAGAGAATCTTTTCCCGATTGTAATGACACCAAAACAACAAAATTTGATGGAAAACTGACGGAATTACGCTTTCGCAAATTTAGCGACCTCGGCAATATTTACAAATAGGCGATTTCGCCCACTTTGAGCCCTATTTTCGGCTAATTTCATTGTTCCAGTTGACCAACCTCATAGCTATTTCTTTAGAACTCCGTTTTTTTCTATCGATTGAGTACAAGAAACTGCCCATTTACCAATTTCAACTACCCAATAATGTGGTCAGAAATTTGCAATTTGGCCAATTTCACGAAAACTAAAAAATATGACAATTTCAAAATAAGGTCCAGAATGAACAATGCAGACATTCCTGGCTCTAAAATAACATTTTCTTTGTTCATCAGTCATGTCTCCAGGCCCCTCTGATATTACTCTTGCTTTCTATTTTGAATTTTTATTCAAAAAAAAAAAATAGAAGATTTACTATTATGCAGACTACTGCAATAGTAATATTGTATAAATAACACAACCCATTCATGACTGAATATTAAAGGGCTAGTTGGAAAATTTTTTTTGGAAATGACACATTTGTTTACTTTTGAACATCGGCAAAAATCAAACATTTCCCCTTTTTTGAGTCCATTTCCGGGTTCTTTTTATAGTAAATCAATCAAAATCACCTTATTCTATAAATTTTTCCATTTATCAATAGACAAAAAACTAGAATAAACCAAAAAATACATACGAAAATAGACCACAAAGTCGGCATTTTAATTAAAAAGGGCCGGAGTTTTTTTTTCTCTTTATGACTGCGTGCTCCAGATTTTTTTTATAGGGTGCACACTGACCACACAACCCCCATTCTCTCAATGGGGGCCTACAGCTTTCTCCTTGATTTGAACCCGCTAAAATTTTATGAGTATTTTTTTTTTTATTATCACACCGGGCCGATTCCCCCAAAGGGCAGGGTGGCCCGAAAAAAAAAAAACTTTTCACCATCATTCACCCATCACTGCTTGCCAGAAGGGTGCTTTACACTACAGTTTTAAACGCAACTTTAACACCCCCCTCAGGGGAGGCACGTACTTCCCATCTCGGGACCAAGCCCGCCTGCCGGTTTTCCCCGAACCCCTTCAAAATGTTCTTTGCCCACCCCAAACAGCACGTAAGTATTAAAAAATTTGCCCCTTTTCACCCTATCAAACACGCTCACGCATGCCTGCTGGAAGTCCAACCCCCTCGCAACAAAACCCCCTTTCCCCCCTCCCCCCAACCCTTCCGGGCCGCCCCTCCCCCGCCTTCCTCCACTACAGACTGATACACTCTTAAGTCTTTCTTTTTCGCTCCATTCTCTCTAATGCCCGAACCACCTAAACAACCCTTCCCAGCCCTCTGGACAACAAATTTTGGTAATCCCGCACCCCTCCTAACTCCAAACTACAATTCTCTGCATTATATTCACACCACACATTTCCCCAGACATGACATCTCCACTGCCTCCAGCCTTCTCCTCGCTGAAACATTTTATCACCACGCTTCACACCCCCATAAACTGGGAAAAATATACTCCCCATAATTCCCCTCTTTTCCTCCAAGGACAAAGTTCTTTGTCTCCACAGACTCCTAAGTGCACCACTACCTTTTTCCCCCTCAATTCAAAATTTACCCCATCTTTCAAGACCCATCCCTGACACTCCCCCCTCCCAAAAATCTGAATACGTTCACCCCCCCCCATACCTCTCCCTCCAAACTAATTCAAACTTTCATCACTAATCTTTTTTTATCCCCAAACCCTTTCTCTTTCCTGTATTTACCTTTAATTTTCTTCTTTTGACACCCTTACCAAATTCACCACCAATCTCTCAAATTCTCTTCAAATCTCCCAAAAGCACAGTGTCATCACAAAAGCGCTTGCAACTCCCATTTTTTTGTTTTTTTCTTTATCTTTTAACTCCACGCCTCTTTCCAAACCCTCCATTTCTTTCTTTCAACCCCATCTATAAATTTTTAAACAACCACGGTGAATCACACATCCTTTTCTAAGGGCCCACTTTTACTGGGGAAAAAATTCCCCCCTTTTCCCACAACCTAACTTGAGCCCACTATCCTCTTTAAAAAACCCTTCCCGCTTTCCAAATTAAACCACCCCCTACACCATACATTGCAAATCTGCCCCATTGCCCCCTACCACCCTGTCATACCCTTTTCCAAATCCTAAATCCAAAAAGACCTTTTTTTTATCAAAATTTACTTTCACTTATTGTTTTCCTGTAAACCCGGGGTCCCACCCCCCTACCTTTCAAAAGCCTCCTTGTTCATCTGCTTCCTATTCCCCGTCTTACCTTAATTCTTTAAATTTAAAACTCAAACCATACATTTTACCAGGTACATCAACAGACTTATCCCCTAAATTTTTGCCTCTTTTTTAAAACCCCCTTTTGCCTTTTTTAAAAAAAGGGGAATATGCACTCTCTGCCAATCCCTGGACCTTACCCTTTTCCTACTTTTATTAAATAATTGCCCCAAACCACCCCCAAAACAAAATCCCCCCTGCTTTTTAACTTTTTCTATTTTTTTCCCCATCAATCCCGCTGCCTTCCCCCTTTTTCTTTTACCTACTGCCTCACGAATTTTCCCCCCACACTCACAATGACTCTTCCTCACCCCCTACAAGATGTTATTCCCCCTTGCCCTATCCGAAACACAGCTTCCTATCTTCATCACATTTTAAAAAATTCCTAAAAATTTCCTTCCTCTTCCCCAATACCTCTAACTCTCCATTTAATAACTCTCCCTCCTATTTTTAATGACAAAACCATTTGTTCCTAGGCTTTCTTAACTTTTAATTCCCCCCAAAACTTTTTTTTTATTTTTCAACAAATTTTTTTGATAACATCTCCCCCACCTCTATTTTTCCTCTTTTTTCATTGCTTCAACTCTCTTAACTCTCTCTTTTTCTCCATATACTCTTCCCCCCCTTGCATCACTTCTACTTTGTAAAAACTTTTCATATGCTAACTTTTTTCCCTTACTACTCTCTTTTCATCATCACCACCAATCGCTCCTCTTCCCCCTGACCCCCTTCCTGTAAAACCCCAAAAATTCTGCTGAACCTCAACACTACATTTTTAAACCACCCCTACCTCTTCGACCCCCCTTGCCCCATGCTCTCATTAGCCCATCTATCCCCCAATGCTTTTATTTTACCCAAAGCCCCCTCTTTTTTTTTAAAACCCTTTTCCTCTCCTTCCTGATGCTTTTTATTCTCCTTTTATCCCCCTACCTTTCTCTATGTCTACAAATAAAAGTGATCTATATATCTGTGGCCCTCTATAAACATGTACATCCTGAAGTCTACTCAACAGTCTTTTTTCACCAAAACAAAATCCAAAAAACACTGTCATTTCGCCCTAACAAAACGTGTTCTTATTTTTTCCCCTTTTTTTTTAAAATATGTATTACCCATAACTAAACCCCCTTTTTATACAAAATTTAACAAAGGGGTCCCCCTTATCTTTACACCTGGCCCCCCAAATTACCTACCACACCCTCCTAAAATTTTCTCCTACTTACATTCAAGTCCCCTACCACAATTAACTCTCTCCTTTGGGTTAAAAGCCCCTATACATTCACTTAACATCCCCCAAAAATCTCTCTTTTCCCCTCTCATTCCTCTCTTCTCCGTGCATACACGCTTATTTTTACCCCTTCTCGCATCCAACCTTTTCTTTTAAACCAATAAATCTTGAATTTTCAATTCAAATTCTTTCTCCTTTCCCTAAGATCATTAAACTTACTGCACCCCTTTCCTTTTTTCTAACTCTTCCCCGTACTCCCGATTTAATCCCATTTATTTCCCCCACGAAATCTCCTACCCCCCTTTAGCTTTGTTTCGCTTGGGCCAGGACATCCAACTTCTTTTCATTATAACATCAGCAAACATTTTTCTTGTCATCCGACTACATCCCCCGCCATTTAAACAACCCATTTATAAAATTTTCTTCTTCTCTTTTTTAGTAATTGAAAAAGGAGAAGGGGGTTTCTAGCCCATTGCTCCCGGCATTTTAGTCCCTCATACGACAGCATGGGTTTCGGGGGAAATTTTTCCCCTTCCCCCTGGGGCAATAGAAGAAATAAAAAAAAACAAGAGCATTTAGAAAAAGGAGAAAAACTAGATGTATGATTAAAATATATATGCATGTGCGTTCTAAGTGTGACCAATTTTAAGTAGGAGTAGCAAAATTCCTGATCTTACGTGTTTAGAGACGAAAAAAAAAAACCCGCAATCCAAACCCCATGCAAAACAGTTACAGGTTTTTGTTTCACAGTCATCTGGCAGGACGGTAGTACTTCCCTGGGTGGTTGCTGTCTACCAACCTACTACCTTAATTTGAGTATATATACGTCAAACACGGTACCTCGTAAGACGTATATATACGACTGCAACAGTTAAAGGGTTAAATACTATACCATATCTAACATGATTTGATTTTACACACCGATTTTCAGGAATGTAGTTCCAGCGTTTAGTAAAAGTATACTGTGCATTCTTTATTTCCATCATGGTAGTGGCTCATGGTTGGCTACATGCCACTGAGACTGCCACCAGTTACTATAATTTATGTATTAACTTTCATCCAGAGCAATTGTAAAAGTTCCTCGGAATTTACATTCTTCATGTATGGCTGACCTTGAATTATGCCTGGTTTTAGTTGAGCTCAAATTAGATGGGATGAAAAGAAATTGAACAGGTGGGGAGTTGAACCCATGGCAGTGGGATGATTTAGGTACTGTAGAACATTTTTTCTCAACTGTATGCCAAATCCTCCAGGGAGAGGAAAACCTGGATGGGGAAAAGAGTCGACAAGACCGCCTTGGTGGCCAAAAGACGTCCCGTGGGCAAATGTGAGGATGGATGCCAGATCAGATGATCAAAAACAGAAGGTAAATTAATCTTATGAATGTTGTATTAAGTGGGGGAGGGGGGGGAAAGCATCCATATCAAAAACAGCTTTGAACTCCACTCTTGAAAATTAATAACTAATCATAAGTAATATTAAAATAAGAATTTATACAGCAGTAAATCATACATTGTAAGTTTATAGATAAAATACTAAATAAACTGTCTACCTGGAGTCTTCCTGAAGGGTGCTCCTGGGGTGAGCACCCCTGTGGCCGTGGTCAAGGACTGGGCCATGGGGGTACTAACCCCAAAAACACCATTATTGTTGCTGCATAAATTCCTATTTTTATATTATGATTAATTATTAATTTTCAATTGGGTGAATTTACACTGAATTGACCATTGTGTTAGTGCATTTTGTTCTGATTACATAAATAATGTAAAAATTAACATTTAAACTTTTAAATATCTATAAGCATGCATATTTCCTTATTCCAGCAAAACTTTTATTTGCAAAATTGTTAATGAACTGTGTTGATGCCTCTTTATTTATCATGCTTCTCTTCAGAAGCAAATTACTTAATTTACCCCATCATATTATTAAGAGGTATTTACCTTATAGAATTATAATCTCAGTAAGCTTTTTCATTGTGCAGGTTTCTTGGACAACTGCACTCCGGCAAATTGTTGTCAACTGTTACAAATACCATGGGCGAGATGATCTTCTTCCAGCATTTAATGAAGAGGAGGAAAAACATCAGGTGGAATATATGCTATTTTTTTATATTGTAATGTAATGGTTAACAGAGATGTTAAATTCTTTTTGAATGTTTTTTTTTTTTTTTTTTTTAATATACATGTATATAATTTTTTTTGTAAATATGAAGGCATGCATATGCAATTGTATTGTTAATCTTTTACATTCTTAATAAGTCTTTGATCTGTGGAATGGTTCAGGGAATCAGGTGGCATGAGTTATAAGCAACAGTGATTGAAAACAGTTGATCAGTAGATATGTGAATAGGGCACTTATTAAGCACTAGCAAAATCTTGGGTTTAGTGTGCCCCAAACTCCACAATGCTCCTTCATGTATATTCTCCCAATATTTCTTGAACCATTTGATAGTAGGATCATCTAAGGCATGCCACATTATTAGACTTGCAGTGAACCAGTAACATATTTACACCTTTGAGTTCTCCTTGGTAAGCATTTGCTGATTGCTGACAATTCACACTTAGTGTATTGGAGACATTAGCACAGATCAGAACCTAATTTTCTTTTGATTGTTGATCCCAGTCATTGATTTCTCATTCCTACTAACATTAAAATCTTTTTACATTTCACTAGATTAATTTAGTCTCTGTCTATGAAATTTTAAAACCTGTTGTCATTATACATATATGATACATACAGTTTAAATTTAGGATAATAAAACAACATAAAAATTATAGGTTGGAGGGCAAGCAAACTCAGTGTACTCTGGTCCAGTAGTGCAAACTATCAGTAATCCTGACGGCACAGTATCTATTGTCCAAGTGGATCCAAGTAACCCTGTAATTCAGTTACCAGATGGAACTACAGCACATGTTCAAGGAATTGCCCATGTAAGTTGGCAATATTCGTCTGTAAGTTAAAAGTAATCATGCGTTTGAATTATATGAATATTAATATGAATATATTGTACAGTAATTTCAAGATGCTATTGCACTGACCTTTCAACAAGGCTTCACTAAAGAGTGCATCAGGTCTCGATAATATCAAAATTTGTTTATGCATATATTTTCACATTGTAGACCATCACTTGTTTAGTAATTAAATATAGTAGCATTTTTTATCTTTTTATCATATTTGAAAAATTTTCTAGAGTTTTGTATTCACTATACTAAATAAAATTAAAATATGCTTGATGATTTGTATATCCAGCAATATGGAAAGGTAAAATTTTTAAAATGTGATGGTTTTGCAGTATATTGGTGTGTTCACAGCTTGAAAGATTGATATTATGAGCAATAGTTCAATAAATTAAAGGCAGTAACATATGTAGGCCTTAATAGCTCATAGATATATAATCCTACTTTTGCACTTTTTCATTCTTTACATGGACTTTTCTGGAATAACTTTACTGTTTCCTTTCACTTTCCTTATTTCAAAAGGTTTTATCAGGTTCTAAAAGGGGAATGTATTTACTTGAGGTAAACTACAGAATAGGGGAGGGTGAATAGATAGATGTGATGAGGCATCTGTGGAAAAGAAGTTTATGAAGGCAGATAGTGGAATGTAACACATTATAGTGGTACCAGTACTTTTATATAGGTGTGAAGCATGGGCATTAAGTGGAGGAAGCTAGAGACAGTGGAGATGTCATGTATGAGAGTAATGCTTGGTATGGATATTGCCGAGAATTCTGTAGATATTAGAAGACTTGGTTATGTTACCAAACCTTTTGAGTAGCTATTCTCAAAGAGAGATGACACATGAACTATCTGGGTGATTCCCTATAAGGTGAAGAGAGTTAAAATAGATTAATTGCAATTTTTTTTAACATTTAGAGTTATAATCTTAATTCCATGTTACTAATGAATTAATATAATTTACAATTTCTTAGGATAAACATACCTCTGACGGTACAAGTAATAAAAGCTATAAGAGTATGTACATTACTCTATGGGACAAATTCATCATTTTGTTTAATCATGAAGTGTTCTAATAAAAAACATTTTTGAATTTAGTAATGGGAAATGGGGTTTGGAACCATGCACTTCTCTATGCTTAATTAAGTTTGCTTTGAATGAATTTGCTCTGAATGTGATGTTTTTCCATGAACACATTTACTGTCCAAAATGAGGGAGTACTGTTTTTAACATTGCTTAGATGGCACTGAAGGATCAGATGGTACAGGCATTGAATGCAGGGCATATTGCATTCTGTAGTAACATAATGGCTGTTACATAAAATTTTGATACAATTTTAAAGTTGTGAATACATCATTCTACCTCATCACCATGCCTTAATTATTATTTTTATTACAAATATTTAGTGCAACAGTATTTTAATTATTTAAGAAGACAATTACTAGTGTGTGATATATTTGATGTGTATATTTACAGTACTTTAAGTGCATGCATTTGGTGTTTGCTTTTATTTTCTAACCCAGGGCTGGAGTGCATTTTATTACTTATTGTTTTCCTAGCTGAGTATTGCTTCTCTCATGCAATAGTTAAGATATGCATTATTTCTAGTAGTTTTATCAAAGTAATATGCTAAGATTTCTCAGCTGGAAGCCTCAACATGTGCTTATTTACACAAGCTTATTAATAAGCTAGGAGTTGGTTCTCCAAATTCATGGTGGTTAGGTTGATAAAGGTCATGTGAATCAAGACACTACTAATACAGGGTGACCCTGTAATTCATGGTTTGGAGATGTGAATCTTGAAACTTCATAGAGTAGAAAAATCTGCATTAGTGAATAATATAAAAGTTTTATCACATTTCTTTAAATGTTGTTCTTATCTGCTTATTATTGACATTCATGATAAAGTTTGAGTCCATTTTGAATGAAATCCTAAGGTTAATTATCAGTTAAGGTGTTGTGTATCAACCAAATAAGCCTGGGCACCGAGAATAATCGAAGAGATCTGTGAATCTGCCTTCAGTCAAACATTATACTGTACCATCAGATCACACGGATTACAAAGCGAGTGAATTTTGTGGTTTGACTGTACCATTAAACTTTGTATATTATAATGCCTTCTTTTTAGGGAGGGAACACATTTTGTGTGCCAAAGACCATATAACTTGGTTGTTTTGGCTTTTGGTGCTCTTGTTCTTCAATAAACCAGATTGGATAACACTAAAAAACATGAAAATATTTAAAAAAATCCTTTAGTTAAAATGTTAAATAATCAGTATCATCAAATTTTATAGTAGTACTGTGAATTTTGATACAATAACATACTGTGAGTGTGAACAGGATATAACATACTATGAGTGTGAGCAGGGTAATATTTTGTGAAGAGATTCAGGGATACTGGTTAGCCGGACTCGAGTCCTGGAGGTGGGAAGTACAATGCCTGCACTTTAAAGGAGGAGTTTGGGATATTGGTTGTTTGGAGGGACATCTAAACTGTTGTATCTGAGTGCCTCTGCAAAGACAGTGATTATGTATAAATTAAAGGTAAAAATTTTTTTTGGAACGATGATGAAAGTTTCTTTTCTTTTTTGGGTCACCCTCCCATCAGGGGGAAAAATTGGCTGACAGTTTAAAAAAAATTTCATTTTTTTCAGTTGAAAAAAAAAGACAAAATCGTGAATATGAAAGTAAACCGGAACTTTTTGCACATTTAAGATGCTAGTAAGGTATCCAAGGGTTTGTTATAACCTTTGTTTTGTAAAAAGTTTTGAAATTTAATCTGCTTTAAAAAATTTTTATGGTTTTAAAGACTATATTTACAAAAAGGGTTTAAAAAAATTGTTTGACTACTTCCCAAAAAAGCCAGTGAATGAAATTTTTACAAAAAGGCCCAATATTTTTTAAAGAGAAAAAAAATGGGGGATTTAATTTACACTTTTTAGTGCACAGTAGAAAAATCATTTTTTAAGGCCCTTGAAAAACATTTAAATCCACCCAAACCATTTTTAGAACACCCAAAAATACAGTCCTTTCTTTTTTCTTTAAACACCGGCCGTGTAAAGGCTTCTCACCCCTGTAACAACTTCAGCCCAGTATTCCCAAGGCTGGCCCTTTCTCGGGAAAAATTTTTGTGAAAAAAAGAAATAAAAAAAAGACAAAATAAACACTTTATTTATAGAAAATTTTAAAACATTAAAATGAAATTTTTAACCCTACATTAAAGAAAATGAAAAATAAAAAATTTATTTTGTTTAACTGAATTCACGTTTAATATATATGGGGTGTTTTTTTGGGTTTTGGTGACCCCAGTGTTTTTGAAATCTTTGCATTTTGCTAAATGAAGGCCCCCTTAAAGGGGGGGCCCCTTGGTTTGGTGAAGAGGCTTTGGTTGAGGAATTAGCCCTGGCGGTCTTTTTTCCTCAGCCCGCAAAATTTAAATTTCCCCCCATTTTCCCCCCCCCTATCCCTTTCCCCTCCCCATCCCCCCTTTTTTTCCATTCCTCCTCCTCCCCCAAAAACCCCGTTTTGCCCTTCCTTTTTTTGGGGCCTTCGTGATTTCCCCCACAGGCGCGCAGTTCCTAGGTGGGGGAAAGGACCCCGGGGGTCCCTTCCCTTTCCCGTTGAGGTTTTTTTGGGGTGGCGTATTTTGCCGGGGAAATTTGGATTCCCGGGGGGAAGCCCCAAATCCTTCCGGTTTTTCCCGGAGTAGCTTTGGGTGTTTTTTGGGCAAAGGGTGTATCTCTGGAAGCCACCTTTCGGTTTCCCGGGGGGGGGTTGGCTGAAGGGGTAGGTTTGGGGGGGTATGGGCCGCCCCCCTCTCTTTTGCCCACGGGTTTTAGCTCGGCAGTTTGTGAGGTTGCTTTTCCCAGATTGCTGGTTTACGGGAAAGAAGGGTGGGGTTAGGGCACGGGTTCCATGCTGCATCTGCCTACTTAGCGGGGTCGAGTCCCTTGGGCGCGGAGGGGGGATTTTCCCGGCCCCTTTTATTCCTCCCGGGAATATTCCTCCCGCTCCCCCTTTTTTTTTTTTTTTTTTTTTTTTTTTTTCTTTTTTTTTTTTTTTTTTTTCTTAAAAAAAAAAAGCAAAGGAGTAAACCCAACCATTGGGGCCCAGTCCATTAAACCCCTACCCCCCGGGCCCCCCTTTTTATACCGCACCCCCCTTCTGACCCTGCCTTGTGTTTAGGGCCCCCCTTTGGCACTCCTGTTGCCCTGTACCTTTGCTGGTTTCTGTTTCCTCGGGCCCCCCTTTAGGTAACCCGGGGGTTTTGAATAACCTTCGGTTTTTCTGAAATCCGCTTCTTTGACTATGCTTCCGGCTTTCCCCCTACGGTACGGCAATTTTCGAAACGCCCACCCATTTTATGCCGGCCAACTCCGGGGCCAAATCCCAAACGCCAAGTCAATTCCTGTTTATGCCCCCCTTTTTTTTTTTTCTTTTTTTGGCCCCCTTTTTTTTTTCCCCCCCCCCCCCCCTTTACCCCCCCTTTTTTTTTCTTTTCCCTTTTTTTCTGTTTCCTTTTTACCGGAAAAGCCCAACGCGCCCCCTCTCCCCGCTCAGGTTGGCCCTGGATAAATTTTTTTACCCCTTTAAAAGGACCAACCCTTTTTCTTCCGCCTTACCCTTTTTCTTTTGAAAACGCCCTCCCTCATTTGGAAAAATTTCTTTACGCTTTTTTGTTAGGGGACGGCATTCTTCCCCAAATGTCCCCAAAACTTTTTGATTTCTCCTTTTTGAAATGGGAAAATAATTCCCAAAACCTTAAAAACATTCCCTTTCCCCAATTCCCCTTTTAAGTGGGCTGTTTTTTTTGAAAAAGCCCAAAAAATTTTCCGTCCGAAGTGGGGGGAATTTTTGGAAAAAGCTGGAAAAACGGAACCCAACCCCAACAAAAATAGAAATTTTCCTTTTGGGGGGGGGTTACCCTTCGAAAAAATTTGGTCTTTAATTTTTAACCCGCCTTTTAATCCCGCCTTCCCTTTTTGCGCAAAATCGGTTAATTGAAAGGGGAACCCCACCCCTTTAGAAATCCCGGCCCTTTTGGGGCCCCCCAAATAAATTTTAAAAATCGGTTGCCGTCGTGGGCAGAAATTCCCCAAAAACATGGGTTAACCCCCATCTTGCCTTAAGGAATGAAAAACTTATTTCGGTTTACCCCCCCTTTGGGGTCCACTTTCTGAAAACCCTTCCTCGGGTTCCCCCCCTTTTGCCCAGGCATTAATCCTTTTCCGGTCCGGGGCTCCCGGGAGGAAAAGTCCCCCCCTTTTTAAATTTGGTTTTTTTCCCCCCCACCCCTTTCCCTTTTTTTGTCCTTTTCCTCCACAACAAACCTTTTTTTTATTCCCCCCACAAGATCGAAAAATTCGACACTAATAAACCCAAAAGCCCCTTTTACTCAGAAGTCCAAAAAAAACCAAAATTTCTCAAATCTTCTTTGCCCCTTTTTCCCTTCTTTCCCCCTCCACACTTTTCCTTTCCAGTCTCTTACCTTTGTTCTTCCCCCCTTCTGGTATATTACAGTGTGGGATTCCCCTCCTCCTCGTTAAATATGCCTTCCCCCCCGTCCCCTCCCAAATTTTTCCCTTTTTCGTAATCCCAGGTTTCTGCCTCTTCTGTCCCCCCCCACCCCTTTTATTTTCCGTCCCCTTACCCCCTTTTTCCCTTCCCCCCTTTCTTTTTTGGGACAGTCCATTACTCCCAATCTTTATCACCCTCCCCCTCCTATCCCAAAATTGGGCTCCCATACATCTTTGGGAAATTTAAAAAAACACTTGAAAGCCATTTCAGAAAAATATTGCAGGACTAAACCTTCAAATGGACATTTTATTCACTTCCCGTTCCTTCTCTTCCCTTTTCCTCCATCTTCACAAAACCCCTTCTTCGCAACGCTCCCTTCCTTCGTACTTGAAATCTTCCCCCAAAGCCCCCACCCGTTGGGGGCTTTTCAAAAACCCCCTAGTTTCCCTAGGGGCCTTTACTAAGATTCCTGATCTTTTCTTCTTTGCCCAAAAATTGGGCCCTTTTTTCAGTTTGGGAAAATCCGCGGCCCCCAGGGGTAAAGGGGTGAGCTTCAGTTGGTTTCTTTCGGTTTTCCCCCGTTGGTGCTTTTTACAAGAACCAAAATTACCTCGGCTTTTTTTCCAACCTATCTCAGGGTATTTAATTTTTTGTATTTTTCGGATCCTTTTTTCAGATGGGACCTTTAATGAAAGTGCCCCTTTTTTCTAAAGCAATGATATTCCGTTACTGTCAACTTTTGTCCCTTTCCTCGCTGCATTCACTGCAGGCCCCCTATCCATTGAATAAATGGGGTTTACAATATGTTCTTTATATCTCTTCCTTCTCGAGCATTTTTTTATCCCAGAAAATTTGCCTTTTTTTGTTTTTAAACCTTAACCCCCCCCCACTTTTTTTTTTTGTTACTTTGGGGGATTTTAATTTCCCCCCATTTTTTCTGGGGGGGGGTCTCTTTTGACTCAAAGTGGCATTTAGTTTGGGGCTTTTCTTGTTCACCCCCTCCATGTTTTTAAATACGGGGACTCCCCCCCATTTTTTATCCTCGTAATAAAACTTCCCCTTGCATCGGGTCTAAACAGTCTGCTCTTCCCCCACTGCACTAGACTTCCCTGGTCTGTTTTTACCAGATTACAAGACGCGGGTTTATTTTTGATCTTTTTTTCTTCTCCTTTTCCCATTCACCACCTTTCCGGGAGCCCCCGCTGGGAAATTTTATCGGGCAAAATTTTTGGAAACTTTACTCACACCTCAGGGTTTTAGGGGGGTTCCCTTTTTTTCATCCCCCATTGAGGGGCTCCTACCATTTTTCTCGACACGTTTATACCCAGCTTTCCCCTTTTACCCCCAAACCCCAGGCAGGCTTTTTCCAAAAAGTGGGTGCCTTTGGGGGTTTCCTGTTGTGCCGTTTCAGTCGTTTGAAAAGTGGGTTTCATGGGGCAGGGAACCCGGGACAAAAGATCGAGAAAGGGCTTGTTGATTTTAAGCAGAAACGTGCATCGTCGCCGTTGGGCTCCGTTTAAGTAAACCACTTGTTGGGAGACTATGTTTCCACCACCCTCTGCTTCTTCTTTTGGGGGGCAAATTGGGGAAAAAAAATGAGGAAAATTTAGTGGTAAATACTCTCCTGAAAGGCTCCCGTTCTTTCGGGTTACTGGGTTGGGTATAGCAAAAACCCCCTCGGTTTTCCATTGAACTTGGGCAAAACCATTGGTCCGTATTTCCCCAGGGCTCCATCTATGCCCCCCGTTTCTTTCCTCAAAATCTGCCAGAGAGTTAGTACCCTTGGACTTTTCTTCTCTCGGAGAAGAACAGTATAATGTGTCTTTTACACTTAAAGAAACTGGAGGCAACGCTCTCAGCTTGCCGTCATCTGCAGCTGGGCCTGATGAATTCATATTCGTATGTTACAACAATTTACATCGGTCAGCCCTTGTAGTCCTCTTACACCTCTTCAATCTTATTGGGCACAAGGAGTTTTTCCCCAGCTGTGGAATCTGCCATTGTTCTCCCTTTCCGCAAACCGGGTACTACAGGACATGATGCCTCCCACTATCGCCCCATCGCTCTTACAAGTGCATTTTGCAAGTGATGGAACGCCTCGTAAATCGACGTTTAATGTGGTATTTAGAGACTCACACAGTCTCTCCGTAGTCAATAGGGCTTTCGTAAGGGTCGTTCTACCATAGACCCTTACTACGTTTGGATACGTATGTTCGTAATGCCTTTGCGAATAATCACTCAGTATTGCCATATTTTTTGACCTTGAGAAGGCATATGACACAACTTGGAGGTATAATATTTTGGCCCAGGCCATTCCTTAGGCCTCCGAGGCATCTACCATCCTTCCTTAAGAACTTTTTAACTGACGGGACGTTTGTGTTCGAGTCAATAATGTTCTTTCCCCGGACTTCGTCCAAGCTGAAGGTGTCCCTCAGGGATGTGTTCTAACACAACACTTTTTCTCCTTGCTATAAATGATTTGGCCTCTGTTCTTCCACCAATTTTGGGTCACCCACTCTTGTTGATGACTTCGCTATTGCTTGTGCAGGCGCGACTGTCACCTTATTGAAGTTTCTCTCCACTGCGGTCGACCGTGTTTCCACTTGGGCCACCACACATGGGTTTAAATTTTCAAGTACCAAAACTCACCAAATTACTTTCACTGCGCTCTGTTATCTCCGTTTCATCCTTTGTATCTCTATGGTTTCCCGTTTTCCCTGAACGTGATACAGTCAGGTTTCTAGGCCTTCTCTTTGACCGTCGGTTAACCTGGAAACCTCACATTACCTCTTGAAGGCAACTTGTCACAGCCGGCTAAAAACCTTCTTAAACCCTTGCTCATCTTTTCCTGGGGGAGCGGGTCGTCGAACTCTGCTTCGCCTACTTCAGCCCTCGTTTTATCGAAACCGATTATGGTGACCAGATTTTTTTCCGCGGCCTCTCCTGCTACTCTCTTAGCCTTAAACTCTACCCATCACCAAGGCTTAGGGTTTGTGCCTTGGTGCTTTTCGCTCTTCCCTGTTGAGAGCCTCTATACAGAAGCAAATGTTCCATCCTTGTCTGATCGCCGTGATGCCATTGCCTTCGTTACTATGTACGCTCTCACGATCTACACAATCCTTCCATTTATAGAATGGTCACCGATATTAGTAGAAAATTCTTTATTCGTCGCCGCCCCTGTTTGCTCCGTCCCTTTTCTCTTCGCCTACATTCACTCTTGTCTTCCCTTCAGTTACCACCTTTATATGTTTTATGTAGCATCTCACTTTTCCCTACCCCCCTGGGGAAATTCCCGCTGTTCGGTCTGTTTTTTTCTCACTCCCTTGCTCGAAAGCTCAACTGCCTACAGTGGCTTCCCGCTCTCTTTTTCTTGATCACTTCCACTCCCATTCTCATGCCACCGCTGTGTACCAGATGGCTCTAAGTCTTCAGACGGCGTCGGATTCGCAGCAGTGTTTTCCCGGGCAGCGTCGTCGAGGCATTTACTATCTTCAGCTAGCATTTTTTCTGCTGAACTGTATGCCATTCTTGCAGCACTTATTCGTATCGCATCTATGCCTGTGTCATCATTTGTAGTAGTCTCAGACTCCCTTAGTGCTCTACAGGCTATACGAAAATTTGATACATCTCATCCCCTAGTTTCTCCGTATCCAATTTGGCTACGCCGGTATCTCTGCCAAACATAAAGATATTGTTTTTGTTGGGTCCCTGGTCATGTCAACGTACAGGGCAATGAACAGGCAGACACTGCTGCGCGGTCAGCGTATATGACCTACCAATTTCCTATAGAGGTGTTCCATTTCTGGACTATTTTTTGCAATAGCTACCCCCCTTCGCACCTTGGCAACAACGTTGGTCAACTCTGCTCGGTAACAAACTTCATTCTATTAAACCGAGCATAGGTTACTGGCCGTCTTCTTGTCATCAGTGCGAGGTTGGGAGACCACCTCTCCCGCCTTCGCATTGGCCACTCGTCTTTCTCATGGGTATTCATGGAGAGGCACCCTGTTCCTCTCTGTGAGCAGTGTCAAGTTCCAGTACGATTGCCACATTCTGTTAGACTGCCCTCTCTATCAACGAGCACGCAGAATTTTCCTCCAACGTGTCTTCGTTCTATACTCTCTCTTTACCTTTCCCCTTTTTGCTGATGGACCCCCTTTAATCCTGACTCTCTCATTGACTTCTTGACAACGACTGATTTACTCCACAAACTCTGATGATACTTTTCGCACTCCCCTCAGCCCTTTCTAGTTCAGTCTCTTGCTGCCCTTTCCCCTTTCACCATCCCCTACCCCGCTGTTATCCGTAACCTCTTACTCATCCTCTCCCTTTTTGCCACCTGATGCCCTCGCTTCCTTCCTGCCCTGCAGCGTGTATGTCCCTTGGGGG